TCATTTTTTTCAACTCCAGAACATACATATATGTATGTATGTATGTATGTATATGTATATGATTATATATTTTTTATCCTTAGTACAATCCATAGAGCCAAGGTTCTTTTATCCAAACCATTCCATACAACAAAAAAAGTGTCTAACTAATTTAAACACATATGTATATAGTTATAACTGACTTAATTAAGAGAAAAGAAAAAAGAAAAAAAATAATGTTAAACCTTAATTCCTTTGAATTCATTACACAAACTTCAAATTCCATCCAATTAATTATCATACCTTATCAGATCATATTATTATATACAAAAATCACCTAATCAATTTAAACACTTACTAATTTAAACACGCATGTATATAATTGCATTTTTCTTAGTTCTAGCTCTAGATCATTATCCTTAAAATAATCCATAAAATCAACATTGCCTTTTACTCCATTAAACATTTTTAGTTTTCTTTTTCAGTCTAATTCTGGGTTTCTTTCTATGCCACATAGGCTTCCATAAAAGCGCTTCCCTTTCAACCAGTAAATCCATTCTTGATGCTTGTAGTAATCTTTGAAAAAATGTACGTCCCTTCCTCTACAGTAAACGTCTTTTTTCCCTTTCAACCAATAGATCGATTCTTGTTGCTTGTAGTAATCTTTGAGAAAATATAAATCCCTTCCTCTGCAGTAAACGTCTTTTTTTTAAAGGAACATTCCACAATTTTAAGCCTTCCCATGCCAGTCATCCAGAATTTTCAGTTCTACTTTCCTGTACCCTTTTACAAATTGCCAAAATATACTTATTCTTAGTTACCTTGGAAAGGCTTTAGAAAGTTCTTTCCTGCCTAGATTCTCTCCAGTCCTCCACATCCAAACCTGATTGAGTCTGGTCAATTTCACTGTCCCCTCACCACTGAAGAGTGAGGAAAGAGGGTGAAATTGACCAGGAAACCTAGAGCATTTTCTGTTACATAGAAAAACTCCGAGAAAAGGAAAAGTCTGCTTGATTTATAGAGGGCAGAAAAGCTTCGTTCACCCAATAGCCCTGCATGAACATGATTACCAGCAAGGTGTCCTCAGATACGGCTGAGGCCATCCTGTCACTGCTCTTGAATAACATGGTGGAGGATAGTTCCGTCTTCTGGCTGGGACTTAATATCGGTAAGAGGGATTGTATCCCAGCTACCAGTGGGCCATCTGAACTCTTTCAGTAAAGGAAGAGACTTTACTCCTTGACTACAATTGTTTAATGCTACATGTTGTCACTGCCTACTAGTCAAAAGTAGCATAGGTTATAGAGAAGCTGTTCAGAAAATTTTGCTGTAATTCTTATTTTCTCCTTTGCAATGGAAATACCAGCCTTCACAAGGTTACTCTTTCCCATAACCAAACTATAAGAAATGAAAGAAAATAGCTCACTAAAAGAAGTGTCCCATCTGTCTGGCAGCCAATATACAAAAGGTCATGAAGGTAAGGAACTCAGCAACCAGATCTAAAGAGTCAGTTCTGCAAAAGACCAATTGGAGCTCACTATATTGTTGGCCTATATATTATTGTTGACACTGAAGCTCCTCTTCCATGGATCATGAATTGGCCAGAAAGAGAGACTGGAGTCAGCATAAAAGGGAAATCACCTAGAATAGACTTGGGCTTATCTAGCATCAGGCTGGTGGCAATATGGAATTTCTGTGTGAGGACACATCCTCAGTAAATAGTATCTATCTCTCTGCTGCCATCTTCACACTCTTCTTTCTTTTTGTATGGCTCCTCTATTCTTTTCTGCTCTTCTTTGCACCCTTTGAGTCTCTCTCCACTGCTAGAATACTATCCAATACTATTCCCCTTTCCCACCATTTGCTTTCCAGATACTTTCTCTATCTGCATCCTGACTTCCAGCACAGGATCCCATCTTCTTTCTCTCTATTCCTGATCTTACTCTCCCCAAGTTCAGCAACTTATAAGAGAAGGGTTTCAAAGGAAGTTTGAGGAGTATAAACTGCCTTAGCAGGATGGAGGATGTGGAGGGTTAGTAGCTATCTAAAGATGCCAACTTGGGTGCCAAGCATGTCAATGAACTATACCATTCAGGGTGAATTTTACCCACTTGTTTATTAGGACTTTCATTCAAAATATAAAGAGACATTCCTGTTCTTATTGATGACTTTCTTGGAAGGATTAAAAGTAGAAAATGGATAGAGAAAAAAGCCTCAAAAGCCATAAAATAAAAATATATCTAAATTAAAAAGGGACAGAGTTGGTATTGTTTGTCCCAGTAAAAACAATTGTATGATTACTTTCTAAAGGGATCCTATGTAGAAGAAGTCCTACATAGAACTGGTAATTTGGAAGCTTTGTTTTTCTTTTTAGAAACTATATTTTTGGGATTGGGTTATGAGATAAACAAGACAGTGGCGGGCTGGGCATAGTGTTATTAATATACAGATAAGGCAAATTACAATATGAACAGCTAAGAATAGCTTGCACAGAACACTCAGTCATCATTCGGCTCTTTCTTTAGTGCTTGCTCCCTCTAGAGGTCAGATTGGAGCATAACATATGTTGGGAGCAGAAAGTGGGAGATAGAATTAGAGGTTCCGTTACAGGAATTCAGTGTAATCAGTGCCAAAAAGTGTTTTGTGCAAAAGGGATATTTTAGGAAACTATTTTAAAATGGATAGGGAGGTAAAATTTAAAATGAACATTGAAATATGCTTTAAAGGAAAGTGTCTCCTCAAATGTGAATTTTATAAAATGTTGAATCCTGTTCATTATCAAAAAAAGGCTCAAGATTCGGGGGGGGGGGAGTGACTAAAGAAACTTCCCCTTTAGATATGTGGGCTATTTATTATAGGAATTGTAGTCCTGAAAGATGGTACATTGTGATAGAATTCTGTTAAACTGACTATATTCTCTCTAATATAGTTTTAATTTCATTGTGAGTTACACAATGACAATAAAGATATTCTATTCTATTCTATTTGAAAATATGCTGAGATGTATTCACATGTGCCAACCCCTTATGTGTTTCTCAGTTTCCTTTTTTTCCCACTGCAAAATGTAAAGTTGGCATCTAGGAAAATATCCCACCTTCTTTGTATGTGTGGGAAAGGGGCTGTTTGGCTGTTTTTCTCCCTGCATTTTGGACCCAGCCAGCGCTAAATGGTGGCTGGCTGCTGTTCTCTCTCTGGTGTTCCATGTGCCTGCTTTGCTCATTCTGACCAGTGCAAAATGAACAGCTGAGTGAGTCATTCCATTTCCTGGTGGACCGTGTTCATAATGTCCTCTAAGCTCATATCTTGAACTCCCTTTTCCTCCTCCTCTCACTCCATCGTTCCCTATCTTTGCAAGCAGTCGGAGCAATTAATCATAATAATGTCATTTGAAAATTAGGTCTCTTCAACTTAAGAGCTCAAAGCTTTCTATATTAAAAAAAAAGGTTGGTATTTTTGTAATGTACAGTATGTGTGTGTGTGTTCTTCCCCATAGACAGCGAAATGGTGAGATTACTGATTGAAGGAGGAGAGTGCAATCTAACCACTATAACTGAGAAGTGTAATCATTTTTATCTGCAGTTTCAGGTTGCTCTTTAAAAGCATAAGCATGTTTATAGACCTCAGCACGGAAGTTTTATAATCACAGGAAGTTATAAGGTTGCTTTATCCCAGATCAAGCCAATGCAATCTTTTATTTACATTCCTTTAAACATTTTAATTCTGCTTTTCCAGTTAAATTTTTCTCAGCATATTCTTAAAGTCAGGTAATGGTAACAGGTAATGACAAACAGGCCTTTGACAGAGGTAGAGGACTTTTCCATTTTTTTGCTATCTGAACTAAAGAATCAAAGGAATGATCCTTTGATGCAAAGCCTATACCCTTCTCTGCATTAAAGATTCCCAACTACAGGAATTTCTGAGCTTAAAATGTATGGCCTCTGCAACATCAATAACACCAAACCAAGGACAGTCAAGCTGGCTGTGATGTCCATCAGAGTGATCAGCTAGTGGCATTAAGAAAAAGAAAGCAGAGGCAAAGGAAGATGTGAAATCACGAGGAAGCAGATTTGATAGCATTCTTTTGAGCAGTTCCTTCACAAGTATGGCAATAAACAAGATTTAGGCTGCACTTTTAAAAGCACTTTGTAAGGAATGCATCTTGCTAAGCAGAGTGGTAAAGTTGTGAGTAAGGCTATATAGAATTGCAATGCATGTTTCGAGTTGCGTTGTGTTGTGTTGAAACAAATTTTATCTTCCATAAAAATTTGAGAAGATATATTGGATAAGAATTGCAGCCCATACCCGCTTGAAACTATCCTGTACAGGAAATGTTTTAAATAACTTATAAGAAATGCACAAGCTTGTGTTTTAAGAGAAGGGCTCCAAAGATATGGGAGCAGCTTCAGAAAACAAGGCCTTATTCCATTATTGTTTTTAACTCATGCTAGAGAATGTTTTGTCAGCAGATTTTAAAAATGGCAATATAAAAGAGTTGTGCTTTCAAGCACAAAAATTTTAGGAGATGGGATTGAAAAACATTAACAAGAAAGATAAAAGAATTGTGTATTGTTCAATTGGTGGCATATGGAAGAGAAAAAAACATATTATGATAAAGAACTTGGTGACTTATTAATTATTTAGCTTGTTCTGTAAATTCCTGATGGATGGAGGGACAACTCTACTTTCTCAGTGGCTGCTCTGAAGCCATATTTCCTGACCACTGTCCCTTCTACAGTGTTCATAGTTATTCTCCACTTTCTGAGATGTCTTTAGATTGTATTATCTTGCCTTTTTATGTTGGAAACTTGAGATTTTCTTTCATCAAATCAAACAGGTTTTTTCAGGAATTCATATTACAGGCTAAATGACAGATTCACTGAGCCTTGTTCAGATTCTTTGCAAGCAGCTTAAAGCATCTGTGCATAAGTATGTGCTTTGCTATTTAAAGAACACAATTGGCTGTATGGAAAGGAGATATCTGATGGTTGCTTCTCCCATGTTTCTCTTTGTCTCCCATGCAGGCATCAGTCAGAGTCGGATCTCCCACTGGCTGTTGCAACAGGGATCAGACCTGAGTGAGCAAAAGAAAAGGGCCTTTTACCGATGGTATCAGCTTGAGAAATCAAATCCAGGTAAATAAAATCAAGCTAAGATCATTTCTTCTAAACTATGCGTTTTGTCACAGGGCTGTGAGTGTTGTTGGCTTCGCCATGCTTCAACCAGCATAGAACACACAGTCTCCCCATACTCTTTCTCCAGTCTCAGCTTGTCAAAAATTATTATTTGAAAGTAGCAGCTGAGGGGTTGGAGCACTTTGCAAATAGGCTTGACTATAATTGAGGTTATTATTTTAATTAGGCTAAGAAAATCTTTCCCTATGTCAGACATGTCAAACTCGTGACGTCACGTGACGTCGCACAATGTATCAGAGCTTTTTCGCCATTGCCGGCAATGGGGTGGGCACAGCTCCGGTATGATGAAACCGGCCCGCGGGCCGGCAGTTTGACACCCTTGGCCTACGTGGTGCTCTCCAGGTATGTTGGGCTCCAATTCCCACAATGTCAAGACCAAAAGTCATGTTGGCTGGGAATTTATAGAACTAAATTGCCACACATGTAGAAGAGACCAGGTTACAGAAACTGAAGCAGTTGTGTGTTTTCCCACCACTTTCTGTTTTAGCTCACATCCTTGATTAGTGGTAGCTGAGTGGTCTGTTGACTAGACTAAGTAGCTTCTTCTGCAAGAACACAATTGTTTTTAAGAAGAGAGAATGGTCAGGAGCATTTATTTATTATTGTATACCTGCCCACCTTAAAACCAATCTTTCGGCAGCTTTCAGTGCAATAATTCAAACAAAATATATAGCTAAAACAAAAACAATAAAACAAAAACTAGGAAAAACAAAAAACTCTGGCACTGCAACCACATATTTCTGATGCAACCCATCACATTCTTGTCCCATTAGGATTTCACCTTATCCCATTGCTTTCCAGATGGTAAAAAGAGTGGCACCCTGTCAGATCTCCAGTGGGAGGACGTTCTATAGGGCAGGGGCAATTGAAAATTACCTTTCCATGGACCCACAAGGTGACAAATTTAAGGAAAGGGACCTGGAGTGTGCCTACCTATCTGCTCTGGTGGAATGGGCAATATTCTCAGGAAGTGGCAATCCCATGGATAACCTGAAAATATTTATTTAGCTATCATGTCCTGTCCTAAGTACAAATTATTAGATTAGATTAAGGTTTCTTTAATAGCTCTTTTGGAAGGCCACATGCATGTAATCTACCCAGGTTGTAATTTTCACTCTTAGTGTAGAGCAAGGAGAGAGATGGATGTCCTAAAATATAAAAAAATCAGAGTTGAAATGAAATTTGGAAAGGATCTCAGTGGTCATATAGTTCAACCCTGACAGATGCAAGAAATCTATTATTGAGATATCCTGCCAGATGGCCATGCAGCTTTTATTCAAACCTTCTAACAAATAAAACAACTTCTGACAACTTGAACTATTCAATGATAGAAAGAGAGTTTCAGAAGATAACATCCCATTCTTCATTAGAGTGCCTGAAGAAGATGCAGAACAAAAACTTGTGAAGGTACATAGCAATATGTATTATTGGATGGCTTTCAACTGAAGGAGATGAAACTTCAGTGAGACTTCATCTGCTTAATATTTCAGAAAAGAAATTCTTCTTGCCTTGAATTTCCTTGTTTATTCTTGATTCCCAAACTTCAAAAAGCAGAGCCAAACAAAGCTTTTTTGGGGGGGGGGTATTGTAATTTAATGCCATTGTTTCTGTGCATTCCTTAATAAGATTTTTGGTGATTTTTTGCAGTTGTATGATTTTCTTCTCTCAGCTAGTGTCCTTGCAATAGAAAAGTAGGGTGTCAACACTGCTAACATCAGATGTTCTTGCTTTGACAACAGATGGAAATGCAGCCATTTTTCTCTATTGCTTTTAGAGTTAGTTGATGCTGGGAGGGGGAATGTGGATGAGAGTCCAGCTAGTCATAACAATAATAATTCAGCCGTGGGAACCCAAGGCCATTGGGCCCAGAGTTGATAGAGTTTTGGCAGGCTGGAGAGCTAATTGGGGAATTTGATTTATGACTGTTTATTGGAGGAGGAACTTGTGCTTTGTTACTTTGTATCCGGGGAGGGGAATTTAGTTTTTTGTTTCGACTATGTAGTGCCGATACTTTGTTTCTCACATAAAAGATTTTTTAAGGTAAACAATGCCTCAAAGTTCTTTTGAAGAGTTTCATCTGTCGGAACCATGACATTAGGTTCATTATATCTCCTCATAAGACAAGCGCAATATGAAAATAGAAATCTCTGTGTTGGTAATAGTTAGTATAGGAAATACCAAGATTTTTGGTGACTGTTATTTTTATGATATAAAGAACATGAACTAAAAATTAATATATCAAACACTAGGGTAGTTGCTTTTGATAAAGAAAATTAAGTGAACAATTGCAAATCATATTTAAATGTTTAAAAACTAGAGCCAGAAGATAAAGCTGTATTTCTTGGTAAAGTATTTATGAAAGATGGGAAATGAATGGAGATATTCTAAGGCATGAAATTACTGGCAGAAAGATAGTGGGGTAGCATATAATTTATTGAGTCAAATGAATGTTGAAAGAGGTGAAAAAATGCTGTGTATAAGAGTTTGCTTTTGCTCATTTTGTTACGTGGAAGTAAGAGTGGGATATTTCAGAACAAACATAAAAGTAAATCAAATGTAATGGGAATGGTTACTTAAAAACATGTGTGGTAAAAGAAGAGGATAAGGTCAAGAACATATACAGTAAGTGCTGAATGAATATGGATTGAATATGAAAGTGAGTCATCAGGGTGAAAAGAAATAGATTGAACTGATGAAATGAATCAGGATCAAATCACAAAACAAATACCTAACAGAAGAGTAAATGGGTTGAGAGGAATGGACAAACTGAGAAAGTCATGATGGGATGGAATTGATAAGAGAAGTGAAAAGTTTTAAGACAAAAAGCATGTGTGACGCAGTTTGCCAATGTGGTGAAAAGAAGAATGGTTTTCAGGAAATACCTGAAAGAACTAAAGAGGCTTCTTGGATGAGAAGTGAAACATCTTCAAGGGAAAACAAAGTCTAGTTGCCTTTTGAAAAAGCACCTTTGGGACAATTTTCAGGAAACAAAAAATATAGGGAAATACAGTGAATGGCTTTGATATAAATTAGATTAATCTGTATTTTCTTATTTCATACCTTTATTTCTTTGACATACCATGGCTTACTTCTTTTCTGCACTTTGTATAATGCTACTTATACACGACAATAGCAGGATATGTATGAATATGGAGAGTTTGCCAAATAGTTGCTTTATTCTCAAAACTTGAAAAATTAAATTGCTCCAGCTTGGAGATGTTATTGTCATTGTTAATACTGTTTTGTTTGAAGCCTATCTTTTAATTCCTGTCTATATGCATATGAGGTTACCTTGCTAAGATTAAATTTTAGTTAAGTTGTTGCAAATTGTCTTTCCTTTTTCCCTTGGTAGGCATCCCATGAACATTATGGACTTTCAGTGTTGCATATCATTTTTGTGCAAAGATACAGTATAGAATCTCTGGACATTTGAGTTTCAATTATATATTTGATAAGCAAGCACAAATGACAGCCATCTATCAAACAGACATAATTAAGAAAGACCTAGCACTCATGTTTAAATCTAAAAAAAGTATGCAAAAGGAAGAAGAATTGCTAGGGATGGGGGGGGGGACCCCCAAAACTCAGCTATTAGCTTTTGGTTGCAAAATTACTTATATAAGACACATCTTTGACCAATGTATAGGACTAGGTTGATAATTCTTTTATCATTATATACTTTATGAGAGCAAAAGTAAACGAAGTCTATAGATAGCTGAATAATAGTAAATTCTTTTAAGTATCTTTCCGTTGGAAAAATGCGTACATTTTCTCAGAATTTTGTATTCAGACTTGAGTGCTACTACAAAGGTAGACTTTTAAGACTCTCTGACAGATGTTGCAGTACCCTTGTTTTGACATCCAGAATGTTAATTCATTTGGTCTGGCTTGATTAGTCTTATTGGCAAATAGGTAGCCGGGCAGCCTCTATGAGTCGATGAGTGCATAACCTTGGCAGCACTTTCCGTCTCTTTCTCCAGGTCATCACCAATTGAAGCAGACATAGAGATGTGATGGCTTTAGCTTGCAGCCCAGACATAGCAAATGCTAAGCTTTCTCCTTGGGCTCTATCCCATGTTCTCCTTGTTTGAACATGTATGGTTTTGTTCTCTGCAAGGGGAGGAGAAGACATTCTTCTTCCATAAGACAGAAATTTGCTCAGTTTGTTAATGTTTTAGCAAGGCTTGAGTGTGATTCACCCTGTCTGGCCTACTGTTTCTAAGGGCCAGGCTAACCATGGAAATAGAAATACTCCCTCCCACTCCCACTCTCCTATCAAACCCATTTAAACAAAGGTTTTAAAAGTCCCCTTCCTTGTGATTTTCCTTTTCAAATTTTTGTGGATCAATTTTTTCCTCCCTCTGGATTTCAGGGATGGGTTCTAATAAGTTAGCTTCAACATTCCTTCTAGTCCCCATGGAAATGCAATGAGCTTTTAAAGGAGAAAAAGAGTGAAGTTACGGAATAAGATATCAGGGGAAGGACAGTGAGCCAACAAAGAGATTCTGTGTGTCTCTTTTAATTTATATTTATATTTTGTCTAACCTGAGAACACTACCAATCGGCCTAAAACCCGCCCAGGGTCACTTTGCAGAGTGAGATGGGTGGTATATAAATTTAATAAATAAGTAAATAAATGGGGGACTCCAGTTTGAAATGCATATTTCCCCAAGATATTGCTGCTTCTAAGCGTGTTGGACTATAATTTCCACAGTTCCTGTTCAGCATTACCTTTATGGGAAATATAAAAATGTACATCTGGAGGATACAAAGACTTGGATTTAATGTGTACTATCATTATTGTGGATGCATCTCTTTCTCTTCCTTTAGGCTGCCAGGTTTCTGTTGGACTGCCAAGAAACTTCCAGAAGTACATGGGCATTGGTTTTTGGAAGAATGTCAGGATATGCCAGAGAAAAATTATGTTTAAGATCCAAGGCATATAGTAATAAAAGATTCTAAACAGAACCTATATTTTTCATTCTTCCACTATCAATCAATACGGAGAAGCAGCAAATAGCACTATTATTTTAGTGGGGAGTGACATGCAATTCACATATGGTAGAAGAGAATGGAGAAGAAAGGGAGGGAACAAAATATATACTTTGGAGAAGAATCTTGACATATGAGGTAACATAATCAACAACACCATTTTTATAGAACTGGAAAGGAATAGAATAGTCACAAAAGAAATTAATGAGCACATGAAGAACCCCACAGAATTCTTAGAAAGCTTGGCTACCTCCACATCAGTTCACACTTATAACAGGTATGGTTATAAATTCTTTTCTAAGCAATGGATTCATGATTAAAACACAGCTCCAAGTCTTATAATTTCAGATTTGACCCAAGTCTTATAATTTTAGATTTGACTTGATGTTTTGCCTGGGGCTTCACTTGTTCCCTTTAATTCCAAACTTTGAAACCACCACTGTTTCAAAGAAGCCTCAACTTTAAGTTTATAGTACTGGCAAAGCCAAAGGAATATGACAATTGTAGCAATGCAAAAAAATATATGGAGTTGGGGGAAAGGAAGTGACTTCAGAAGATAGTGCCATGAAAACTGGGTTTATTTAATATCCATGTGACAATAGCTAATTTTGGTGGTTGGGGAGAGAAATTGGGAAACTGAATTGGGAAAGTAGTGGATTCACTGAAATCCGTATTAGAATATTTTGTTACAAGTCTACATTGTAATTTTTGTTCATTCCTCTAATGTCCAAACTTTTGTCTGCTTTCTAAACTAAAATGCCATAATCCTATTGCACATTTGCTTGTTTGTTACAAATATTTTTACAACAAAAATGAATCCTAATAGTTTACACAAAACTGGACACCAACCTCAGCTAAGCAAAGGTTCCCCTCACTTTTGCTGTACTTGTTTTTCTAGCAAGAGTACTTCCAAGTTGTAGCCAGCCCTTTCAGGGGAAGATTGACCCATGAAAATTGTTGGTAGAAGTAGCCAAGGAGAGTAGAGGAAGAAGAGAACAGAAACTAGAACAATGTTGAAATGGAAGTTGGAAGAAAAAGGAAGTTGGTGATGAACCCAGATGTGACTGGATCTTTGCTCCCCAAAAAATGGTGCAGGCAAAAGGAAGTGAACTATGAATGTGTGTTCCAGCAGAGCTGCAGCAACTATAGCTGTATATAAGCAGTGTGGTGGCTGCCAAATATCCTACTTTTTTCTAGAAAAGTGGGTTTTGGTTCTACCAGGCAGGCATGTTTTTCCTTTTACAGGGAGTGCAGTGTCAGAGTCATCACGTACTAAATTAAAAGTAGGCTTTGAAGCAGCAAAGCTTTCAGGGTAGTAGCCAAGTGATCTAATCTCTTGGCTGTGTTGCTCTTTTGCATGGCCATTTCTAATACTTAAGAGGAAGAACTGCAGAGCAGGGAAAACGTGTTGTGTGTTCAGAAAACAGACCTGTCAATAATAACTGATTTACATGGAAGCAGAAATATTGCTGAAGAAAATTTATAGATCTTGTTTTGTCTTCCTTTTTAGCTAAGAAGCATCTTTGAAATGCTTGTCTCATGGAATTATTTGTGTCTGTTACCTAGAAGCTAAATGGTACAGAAATTTGCTCTCTTTCCCATTCTGCCTTGATGTTCACCCAAAAAAGATTTCCAGAGAGAAGTTTTGCTTTTCAGAGCCTCCTTCAGTATTTTGCATTTGGCTACCAATACTTTATTTTAAAACAAATTTTGAAGCTGAGTAGATGAAACTGTAAATCTCATTTTTGGGAATTTTTTTTTTGAAATGAACAATGAACCAAAAATTCAGTTTTAGCTTGCAAATTTGTCCCTTCTTCCATCAAATTGTACACATTTTTATGTACATTCCTCTTTGTATACATATTTATGAATATGTGCATAAATACATAAATATATGTATTTAAATTTCCTATATGAATTTACATGCCTTGAATTGGTCAGCATACACATTTAATAAATAAATATTTCTGAATATTTTTCAACTATTTTGTCCTAATTTATATATTTGGTGGTTGTTTTAGAATTGTAGATTACATGACAACATTAAGAAAAATGTTGAATTTTGTGAATATTTGTATTCTAATTTGCAGTGTTTTGGAAATGCAGGCTGGATAAATCCATATAAAAGTTGAGATTCAGTATATATCATACACCGTTATATAGAGATTTCTCTTAATGTCGTTGGCACAGGTATTCACAACATCTCTGAATGTTTATATCAAAAACATATATTCTGTATCTTCTGGGTGTGTTGGGCTCCTGTTAAACATGAAGTATACAAAACAAGAAACATAAGCAATCTGTAGTAAATATAGATTCATTTGAAAGTCATTATTAATTTGAAGTAGCTTGACTGTCTCTGGCTTTTTTAATTAGCTTGAATATCTGTGTTTTCATATGCTTAAATATGCTGTTGTCTAAACTGCTAAGGTGTTATTGAATATTAATGAACATTCCAGCTGTTCAGATGCAAAACCCCAAATGCTCTGTACATTAGAGGGAGTACTTAATGAAAGGAGGTGCAAACAAGGAAGGAGGTAATGCTGCCATAATCTTAGGTAATAATTAGTCTTTGTGTTTGGGTGTACTTAACAGAGGAGAGAGAGCATGTAAGAACTTCACAGGAATAGTCTCTAAATGTGAGGGGGAAAGAACACAAGTATCGCTTATACTTACCAGGCTACTTACAATATGTTATAAGCCATCACACTAAATTATAGTAGTACAGCATGATCTGATGCATTAGAAATCCTGTGTTGGTAAGATGTACTGAATAGAGAAACATCATGAAAAAAATACTACTTTCATGCCAAGATCAGTTTATTTTACCCATGGGATCAAGTGTACCATCTTTGTTAATTGCTTGCTAGGAAAGCTAGGCTAAGTAACAGTGCCTAGAATCTGTCTTTCACTTATAGAGTGACAGCCTCAGAATGCTAAGAATTTCCTTCCCACTACCCATCATATTTATAGGCATTCAGTCAAAAAATGCATGACTGAATATGTATGTGCTATTCCCAATCTCTAAATGGTAATGGAACCTTCTGTTTTGGAATTCTGCATTGTAATATTAGCTGTTGCTTGAAAATGAGGTATCAGGAGACTTGACATGACAACTTGCAGGCTGTTGCACTGTTCTTTGACTTAATTTCCTTATTGGGAACTCTTCTGTTATACACACAGGGCTGTGTTTCTCTTTACTGCTAGTTATCTTAATTTTAATTTCAGAGAAACAAAGTCTCATCCCACTGGGAGTTGCTCCCTGTCATCAGCCAGCCTGGGAAGAGGAGTGGGTGTTATTTTTAGTTCCTTAGGAAACATTTTTCTTTCTGCTTTGCTTTTTCCAGGGGCTACATTAAGCATGAGACCAGCCCCTATTCCAGTTGAAGAGCCAGAATGGAGACAGACTCCTCCGCCAGTCACAGCTACCTCTGGGACTTTCCGCTTGCGACGCGGCAGTCGGTTTACCTGGAGAAAGGAATGTTTGGCTGTCATGGAAAGGTAAATATAGGAACTACACATACAATAGATGGTGAGAGTTAGAGTGGAACATATCAAGAACCCTAGATAATGTTTTTAATTCTTTTTTTTCCCCTGCTGTTGTGCGCATTCAATGCCTGGATGTTAATTCTTTTTTAATCTGAAAAGATGTGAGATTTTTTACTACTATTTTATGGTAAAAAGTTGTAACTTGGAGCCTCGGCAGGTATCATGCTTGGTTTATATCATCATCTTGATATACTGTAAATTAGTTCAGTGTTTCAGTGTTTCAACTGTTGCAAAATAAGTTTATACATTTATTTGCAACCACACATTTTAGAAAAATTCATATAAAATTACAACAATCCATATCAATTCAATACAACCCCTTTAATATTAACAGTACTATTTTCAGCATGTGCATTTGTATCTTCCTTGTGGCCACTGTAAACAATAAAACTTTTTTTGTTACATATATATCTAGATCAATCAGCAGGTTTGATTTTTTAATCTGATTTAATAAACCAAACTGATTCAGTTAGATTAACAAGGGTATGATGACTCTAGCTCTAGGTTCCTGATATAACTTACAGTGTAGTAATTAATGGCTCATATCTTCCAATAGTATTACAAATGCATAAAAATATGTATCCTTTATATCTTCCATCAAAATAGACTGTTGGCATTGTTTGAAAATGAAGTTATGTGAAAGCTTATCTCAGGGAATGGAATGTAAATGTAAATAACACATTGTAAATAATGTGACATTCCTTGTCCATCTTTAGAAAATCTTTAGAAAATTGATACCACTTTGCCATCTTAAGCTTACATGCCTGCTCTCTTTAAAGCTTTAAAAAATAATAGTGTATGATAATTACTGTCATTCAGCAGTTCCTGATAATTATCAGTTCCTGATCATTGTGAAAATAGTTTTAGGCACAAATTCATTCATTTATTATTGTTAAATTGTTCATGGAGATGCATAGCTGTTCTTAGTTGGTGGAGCAATTTGTCTGCATAATTCCGACAACAAACAAGTCTAGAGCATTTTTCAATTGTTTAAATGACCGTTGGCCACATGGGCAAGACTTATAACAATATCACTTAATGAGATTAGGAGTAAGATTTGGGACTCCGTTCTCCTGGCCCTTATTTTGAGAGTGAAGAAGGATTAAAACAGTAATAAATATATTTAAGCCTCCTGAAGATTTAATACACCAATCTCCTTTTGTGGTTTTATGATTTGATGTCAATAGAATTAAAGGACTTGAGGAATCACAAAAAGGAAGGAAGGAAGGAAGGAAGGAAGGAAGGAAGGAAGGAAGGAAGGAAGGAAGGAAGGAAGGAAGGAAGGAAGGAAGGTACTAGAAAGTTTATGGCCTGCTTACTTAGCAGGATTCAACCTTACTTCTGGAGGCAAGAATATAGAAATGGACAAAACAGTGGTGATGTAAAATGCTGAATGATTGAATGGTAGAGGATGGAAGGATTTATATTCCTCCATCTGGTCATTAGCACTCTTTTTGAGAGTCGTTAAGACTACTTGGAGGTTTATTTGTGCCTCGGGATCATCTGAATAGTGCAAATGGATGCGGAACTTTCTTGGAACTGTTAAAAGGACTGTTGTAAACAGGAGATAGGTGGTGTTGTATCAGTCAGAACTGAAGAAGCTTCAAGGAAAAACAAAGTCCAGCTGCCGTTTGAAAAGGCACTTTTGGGATAACTATGACCTGGATGATTGAAAATCTGCATAGGCATTTAGAAAAAGCAAGGTTTTATGTTGGAAATGTGCAATTTTCTGGCAGAATTTTGTGTATTCAGGATGAATGGTAACACTTCACACAATGGAGGGTGCATTAATGCAGAACCAAAAATTATTTTTCCTAACCAATAATCAGAGTTGCATTTTCCCAGTGCTCTGCTCATACTGTCCCTGATGGTACAGATTTCTACAAGTTGGCAGTATTTCTACGTCCCACATAAATCATAGAAATGAACTGTTTCAAGGATATTTCAGTGTTTTTACCATTGCTTCACATTCTAGTCCAGCTCACATATTTTGGCCACTTTTCATTTTCATCCTTTACTGTCACCCTACACAAAAAAGATCATTTGATTCTCTCTGCAATCAGCCATCGCCATCCTGACGGGCGCCTTTTGTCTAGAAAGCACAATTGCATTTGTTGAAGGTTTATCCCCAGGCTTTTGTAATCATTCATTCTGCTCATCTTGTTGCTTCCTTCCCCCACCCCATCTACTTATCCATACAGTACACTTTTTTTGTGTGTGCTTCAAAGCATTCTGAGCCTAGCATAGTCTAATCATTTTTGATAGATATTTGGGAGTGGGGACAAGTTTAATATGGTGTCAACACTCACGTATCTTTAGCCTTTATATCTCACAACCTCTCTTTCTAACATTCAGAAAATGTTTTTATGGTTTTGGGTTCATATTGATATTGGCACTATTCAAATATTGATAAACCATATAATTTCTGTGAGTGGTATAAAAGGGCAGTTGGAGAAAATCTTCAGAGTGGTAGGAATGGAAAAACATGATAAGCTTTTAACAGAAAGAGGGACAAACAGATTATATCAGTCACATTCCAGACTTTGGTATTTGCATGTCTTGACATTCATTCATTCATTCACTTATTCATTCATTCTCTATAGTTCCCCAGTCAACAAAGTGATTCTCAGATCTGCATGAAAATTGTATTTTCATATATTTCTAATTCATTTGCTTTGAAGGCTAGTCCCTTGCAGTTTTCTTGGTGAGATTTGCCATTGCCTCCTTCCTAGGGCTGAGAGAGAGGGACTGGCTCAATGTCACCCAAGTGGCTCCGACTTTCTAGCCTGATATCTTAACCATTTCACCAAACTGGCTCTTCTTTTTTATGTACATGTGTAATATTTTGAGCTAAATACTGTATTGCAACTTTAGTAGAAGTGGGAAAGATTTTTTTTTTGTATGATGTGAAATTATTAGGTGGCCAAAAGGATGGAATAAGCAGGTACCCATGACAAGACTGGGGAACACAAAAGGAGTTCTCAAATGTCTATCCCACAAATCACAAGAGTCGATGGAGACAAAAGCCAATCTCAAAACTGGGTTATAGTGGTTTTTTTCTTTTTTCCGTCCTGTGTTCTTTGTTTTGGGAAATGCGTCTCCATTCTCTCAAGTAATAAAAATAGGAAAAATGATACTTTCCATAGCTGTTAATTAATTAACTTTCTTTAACACCCCACATCTGTTATTTGTAGCAGGAGCAGTAGGACTTCTGTGCACCTATATTAATATTTGGCTTAGTGAGAAACATATGTTTTATGAACTAGAAGTTCTGGCTGCCTTCATCTGTTGCCTTTTTCACTTCCTTTCATTCTGCCCTGCTCTTCTCTACTACTCCCCCGCCCTCCAAAAAAATTACTGGGTCCAGTGGGATAAGCGTTAGCAAAGCCAGTTGAGGCATAGTCAGTGACTTAATTCTCTGGATAGCATAGCTCTATGTAACAGTGTCTCCAGTTTGGAAAGTGTGGCACTAGTGAATGAGGGTGACTAAAAAGACACCCGAGGGATAATCCAAAATAGCTGAGGAGGCTGGAGGGCTCTGGACCAAGAAGATGAAAAGGTTGAAAAATCAACATGCAGATGGACTGAATTTTGCTGGGACTTGTCCTTGCTGATCCAAACTTCTAGCCAGATTCCTTGGATTAGATAACAAAATTTGCACATTTTAAAAATATTAATGGTGTAAGTAAAAAGCTGGAATATAAATTCAACAATATAATCCAGAAATGGATTGAAATATCCCAGAAGGTAGAAAGCAACCCATGCCTCTAACCTGATCTTGAGGTTGGACAGATCTATGTTCTGATAATTCCATTTAGGACAGGGATCCCCAACCCCCGGTCCATGGACCAGTACTGGGCCACGGCATGCCAGCAACCGGTTCACACAAACAAGGAAAGCTCCATCTACAGGATGCAGGCAGCACACAAAACGATGCCCCCTCCGGTCCACAGAAAAACCTCTCTCCATGTAACTGGTCCTTGGTGCCCAAAAGATTGGGGACCTCTGATTTAGGAGTTTGCAAGCCCCATGCCCCAAAAATTTGTACATCAGAACCTCTAAGTAATTTTTAATAAATCTCACCAGCCTACCTGTTAAGTGGTCAGTTATATGTTAGCACATATTTTAGCTGTGGAGACACATTTCCGCCTTCTTCCTTACATGGATATTTATGCATTTGTCCATGATGAATGTGATGGCTGTTGTCACATTTTGCTAGTAACATTTGCAAATAATGCTAATTCATAATTTGTAAATCTCTTTATAAGACTGATATAAATCATGTCTAATGGTGACAGTTTTCTTAATTCTCTTTATATACTTATCACCAGCAGAATTTCCTTTTGAAGAAGAACTTGAAGTGCTTCTGGTTGCCTACCTCTGACTTGAACTCTGACCATTGGCTCATATGCACTATAGTTATATAGTGTTATATTTCTCCCCTTTCAAATCCAAAGCACTGAAGAGCATTATTCTTCACAGCCCGCTCTTCTGCTGAAAAGTTTAAACAAGTCTGTTTCATATATTTAAAATTGGTGATGTTTTTTCCTCTATACAGGGTTGCTTAAAGATTTGTGGCTTGAGTTTGTTGTCTTTATTTTGTATGGGTACAAAGAATAGGATTTCTAAGATGAATACACTCTCTTTCTTTCTGTAGCTACTTCAATGAGAATCAATATCCTGATGAGGCCAAGAGAGAAGAAATTGCAAATGCCTGTAATGCAGTTATTCAGAAGCCAGGTACACAAGGAAGCCAAGGAGATATATTGCTCCCTTCCCTTCCCTTCCCTTCCCTTCCCTTCCCTTCCCTTCCCTTCCCTTCTTTCTCTCCTCCCCTCCTCTTCCCTCCCCTTCCCCTTTCCCTTCTCTCTTAATATATATTTTGCCTTGTTTACTTAAATATATTTTTTCCTTATTAGTTCTAACTCAGTCATCCATGCATGTGTTAACACAGAAACTGCATGAATCCTAGACAAAATGAAAAAGAAATACAGTACCCAAATATGCTGTCAAAGGCCAGTTACTATTTTCAAAAATGACCCAATGCATTTTCACTTTCAGCAGTAATCTACCATCTCAGGACTATTTTCCATTTAAATTTAAAAATTGTAAATTAAAATTTAAAAATTTAAAAAGGGAAAGAAGAGATTCGGTACATGGGGAGAGAGAACATCTGGTTTTTGAGAGTGTTTCAAAACAGAAAAGCCTGTTTGAAAGAGAACTGTGAAGCTCAAAATATGTCAAGCCATTTTTTTTATTAAAAAACAGAAGGTGCTGAATTAACAGTGTTAAATTTCTTCTTCTTATGTTATAGTGTTCATCTGTTTCTACCTTCAGAAGGGCAGAATATATTTTTGGCAGTTGCACTGACTAATATAATATCCAGCAGGTGCTTCAGAAGGACAAAAACTAGGGTGGGATTTAAATATTGCATGTGGTTGTGAAAATAAAGTAGGTGAGCAATGTGCGGTTCTAAGTTTCTTTTTGGAGGATCTCAGAGCTGCTGCTGTTTATTAAATTTAGTGGGAAACACAAGACGACTAATTTAAGTCCTAAAATTCCTGTCCTCTTGAGTCCTGGGTACTCTTACATGTGTGATGTGGTTATACTCACTTTGTAGTCCACAGGTCTCCAAAAACTATTAAAAGGACTTTTAGGTTTGGGTTTTATTTTTTATTTTATTTTTATTTAGAAAATAAACTCTCATATGGTTTGGGAAAACCATCTCCAATATCCCTTCCAACTCTGGTATTCTATTCTAGATCTTGTCCTGGAACTATTAAAAGCAAGTATACCAGCATATTTCTTTTTTTATTTTGCACAGGAAAGAAGCTGTCAGATCTGGAGCGAGTTACTTCCCTCAAAGTGTACAATTGGTTTGCCAATAGAAGGAAGGAAATCAAAAGGCGAGCCAATATTGGTAATGTATCAGACAGCCTTGAAGAACTGCTGAAGAAAGATGGAACATGATTGACTTTTCTTAACAGGAAAACAGAGTCTTGATAATATTTTTAAAGTAAAAGCTTGACAACATGGTCAAAACAAATTTTCTCTCTTCCTTTATTATCACTAAACAGTTCATCAATGTTAACATGCCGCCAAAAAGCATTGGTATATGTGTATATAGCATCTTTAAGTCCCTTAGGGAGGGAATTTCATCATGCCTTTCAAGAAAACCTAGAGATTTCCAGTTTTGTTGGAAACTTCTCTGCACTTGCTCTGATGAAAAGATCAACGGATGAAATATATTTAGTCCACCACTGTGATTATCTGGGAATATTAGGCCATAAAGTAATGAATTTTAATATACTTAGGGTGGCAATAAGGGCCAGTAGAATAGTAAGTGCTACATATGAACTCTAAAACATACCTCAAAATGTTCTACAATGTACCACATTGCTTGGGACCAACAATTTGTGTGAAAAGCTTTCCTTGCGGTTGGATTATTTTTGAAAAACCTGCCTTATTTCTCCCAGTGTCCTCAAAATGAAGCAGAGACTGTTCAAGTTATTGAACAAGTTTGTATGACACATAAATCTTTATAAAGCTTATCTTAGCCTGTTGTCCAAATCTATTCTAGGCCAGGAATAACTAAAATATTCCACATACCTATGATCTGAAACTGGTTTACGTTTTCATGCCTTGACTGTAGCTCCATGTTCCATGCAAATGGAACAGAAGCAGGTGAGCAATGGATGCTCCCCATTATAATCTCTAAACATAGAGTTGGCTGGCAGGAATAGCAGCATTTTTGTTCCTTCCACCTTAATTGTATCTCCTGCAGATATTTAGTGAATTGGTAAAATTGGACGGAGGAAGCATTAGTGATAACCATGTGCCGGTGAAGCAACCACCGGCCTATTTTGGGTTGCTGTTGCTGGTTAAAAAAAAATTAAACTGGGGAGTGATGGCTGCAACAACAGCTGGGCAGGAAGAAAGCTTTGCATAATTGTTTGCTGAAGTCCCCATGGTATGTCTCTTACAGCTGATCACTCTCAACCATATACTGGTGTGTCTTCTGATTAGGCCCTTCTGATGCCATGAACAGTGGCATGTTCCCATCTCTGTCCCCCAATTTAGTTTTCCTTCACATCCTTCTCCCTCTTTATCATCTCACCACAGTCACAAATATAATACCATACAGCGCCTAATATTCTGCTAGAGAAAATAAATATTTAAAGAAAAGTCCTCACTTTAATTAGCATTTCTTGTATACTGATAAATAATACAGGTATCCAGCACTTTCCAGAGTTTGAAATGCTTTGGATATAGAATAGTAAATAACAAATTACAATTTTCTAACACATTATGCAGAAAAGGAGCTTTAAATGTGCCTATCTATCATATAAAATATTTAACATATAAATGTGCAATTAATTACATAAATTAATTTCTTTTTGCTTTGAATTTTTAATTTGTGTATGCTTTCAGAGAAAAACCTCAAGTATAAATCTTCCCTCAGATTTCTGAACTTTTTTAATAATTTAAGAGTTCAGGTTCTTCCAGTGAAATTGACTGATAGCAGATTCAAGAGAGAACAAACAACAAAAAGCAAACTTTTGACAATTTAACACAATATGGTGGTTGACCCAAAATTACATTATTTTTCATAGGGTACAAAACCAAATAATGGAGCAGAAGAGTTTTTATTGGCTGTTAGCTGGAATGGTGATTTGGAATCTGCAGTTTTAGATGCAATGTATTTTGAAATGCCAGTTGCTGAGGGTTACAACCACCAGAGAAAAGCAGTGCCTTTCAAGTCCTGCTTGTGGACTTCCTGGAGGCATCTGTCTCTGGCCATTGTTGGAACTAGAATGCTGAACTAGATGGACCTTTGAGCTGATCCATGCAGGGAACTTCTTATGTTCTTATACTTCCTTAGGATGAGATAGCAAGCTGGTGCCTGGGAAACACACACACACACATCAGAAGGAAGCTGGCAGATGTTGTCCATTAGCATGAGAAAGCTAAAAACCAAACAATGGTATGGATAGCAGACCAATAAAGTAGGATGAGTCTAAGATTCTTTGTAATGTCACAAAAAATAGTGAAGCATCTTGTTATGTTCATATAACTTGTGAGTTTCACTCTAGAATATTTCTGTTGCAAGGAACAGGTATTGCAAGCTCGGCAGTCGAGGGATTGGAGCCAGCTAGAAATCCAATTGGGGTTATAAAATATTTTCAAAGGCTGATGACCCTGGATAGAAACTGATTTTTTTTCTTTTAAATTGGCATTTATACTCCTCCAACCAAATTCATTTTCCTTTTTTAACAGTGCAACTACATGCACAAAAGAGGTTTGCACCATATTGAAATGAAGATGAAAAGGGGACTTCACTTAGGGTGTGGGTTTACTGTAAGAACCATCAAGCCAGAATTAAAACTGCAGAAAAGGGATAGTCCCAATCATTACATAGAAAATAAGAGAGGGAGAGAGAAGGATGCTGCTTTACTCCTTTGATTATGGTTTCACTAATAAAATGTGCATTTTGTCCCTTTCTTAAGAAGGGGCTCCTAAATGCAAGCCTATTTGGTAGGACGAGCTCCATGTGTGACCTGATTCTACAGGAGTGTAGGAAAAAAATCCAAACCATGATGCCAGTTGCAGAATGCAGCTGTTGAGAATTGCTGTTTTGATTTAGAGGGAAAGTTTCCAGTCCTTATGAATCCATAAATAGCATTTGCTGAAATCTCTAAATTTAAAGAGGCAGTTGTGAAAGATATTTTAGTATCTTATAAAAGACAGTTGCTGTCCCCCAGCACTAGTAAGACCACAGGAAATTATATAAAATCAGAAGTTATTCAAGCCTATATGAGAAATTCTGCAAATTGAGTAAATCTATGTAGCCACATTTCTTTGGCAGAATTTGGCTTTCAGAATTAATTTTTTCTTGTTGCTGAATTTAAGCTGAAAAAAAAAATAGTTCTGAGTATTTCTTTGAGGTTCTTACAAGAAACAAGATGCCCCGCTTGTGAGGATTCTGGTTTTTCATCTTCATCCTTATTGGTAACCCTGCAGCAGATAATTCAGGGATCAATTTGCTTTTTTCGAAGAAGCAGCAATCCTGGAGAGTCATGGGATAGATGTACAAAGTCCCGGAGGCCATTCCAACAGTGACGACGTAGACGGAAATGACTATTCAGAGCAGGTAAGTATGTGAGCTAAGTCAGGGGGCTCCAATATGGAGAGTCCCCCTGTAGGCCACTCTTCCTCCTCTGGGTTTGGGGGCGGAATGTGGAGTGGTGGGGTCTTTCATCCTTCAGCCTCCTAAGATTATGTGGCCTTTTATCCTGCTGTGCAATGGGGGGAGGCAGAAAAACACAGCATTCCTCTCCCCCCATGGACCAGCCTTCACCCATATGGATTTATTGTCATACAACAGGAGACTTGGCAAGTACGCAATGGGGAGGAGGAGGGAAGATGTACAGAGGGAGGCAGAGAAGCAGAGAAGTTAGAAGAAGACAGGAGGATCTGCTCAAAACAAGCAAGTTGATACTCTGTTCACACATATTTGCCAAATGCAGGGGCATGATGAATTCCCCCAATTTGCACCACCATGCATAGTAAACACCGTGTCTGTTTCTCTCCTGTGCCCTTGTAACCAGAGCTGTGTGTGCATCCCCAGACATCCTTTTTGAAACTCTTTTAAGAATGTGTCCTTTCTGTCCACACCATTCTGGACTGAGGGCAGATATGCATGGTCAATTTAGTGATGCTGTTCATTGAACAGCCCATGAAGTATGAGGAACAGCAGGATGAGCCAAGCATCTCTCCTCCAATTTGATGAATCCTCTTTCATTTTCTAACAACTATTATCTTTTGCCCTCCGATGTCATTGTTTACGTAACCTTGATGTCCATGTCATATCCACCATGTACTCCTTGCAAAAAATTACAATTCAGTCTTAGAAAGAAAATAGTTAATGATTCATACCAAATAAAAGCATATCCACTTGCTTAAGTTTCAGTATAAATTTCTGAATCACACATTTGATGTGGAACACACAGCCCTGCTTATACCATAAAGATCTACAAGTCTTACTCTCTCCTTACCCACCCTTCCCACAATGCAACGAATGCATAGCTGCATGCTCCTCTTCCCAGAATTGAATGCATTGATGTAAATGGATAATATGGCAGCTCAATTCCAACCAATAATATTCCATCTAACCTCCTGGTGCCAACATGTTTACCTTTTTAAGGCAGGATAAAGCTTTCTTCATAGTTTGTCCCTGCTCTTGAGATACTATTTTAAAAATTGCTTTTATTCTTAGGAACATAGGAAGTGCCTTTCACCACTGGTCCATCTAGCACAGTGTTGTTGAAGTACTGGTTTACAATGATATTCTAGGTCTCACTTATTTTCCCCTAACCATTTCAGGAGATGCTAAGGCATGAACTTGGCACTTTTGGTATGGAAAGCAGGTGTTCTGCCTCTGAGCTGTAGGGCCTGTACATTCTTGATAGGCCATATCTATCATCCAGTCTTCATATTTTGTTGTTTATTTTCCCCCTCTTTCCCCCATACTTTCTGTTAGTTTATGCTCTTATTTTTAAAACTACTCTAGGTACATTTTGGTAATATAAATATATGAAATGAATACTTTTCTTTTTAATTTCTAAGGGAAACTGATTGCTAAAGTGGAAAATAAGAGGATATTAATAGAAAAAGAGCTCTCTCACAGAAGAGGCGCTTCAACTACATTTCATGTTTGAGTTAGACACATATAGTTCTTGGCTGATCGTTAAGACAAATATAACAGTTATTTAGAGTTGTGATAATCCCTTTGGTTTTCTTCCATTGTTGAGATTCTTCTAGCTTTGTGGTTCCTCCATTAACTAGGTCAGATCAGATGGCATTATTGTGATCAGTGTGTTTTTAATGGAAATGATATATTTTGCACATGAAACATACTTTTTATTTAATTTCTTTGAATGTTTTTAGTGGAAATATGGAAAATAAAAACAAATAAAATATAAGCCTTTAACTTGAATATGTAATGAAGGCAATTAGGAAAAAATTAGTCATCTATTGTAATCCAGCTTCTTTGTCTGTAATTTTTCTGTAATCAAGTTCTCACTCAGCTAATAGACTGACAGAACTTTAATCTTGTTAAATATGCCATATATTGGGCAGCCATTGGGTAAGAATGTTCTAGTTCTGGATTTATTGTTTGAAGCAGGGTATAAGTTCAATAGGTTGGTAAGGCCATATCCAACTCTCTGTTTCTGTACCCTTTTTGTAAATCTAATTAAGACTACAAGCAGAAATCAATTATTGAGTTTCCATGGTTTTTTATTGTTCCTTCATGAGCTCATGTTACACTGCCTAGTAATTCATTCTGGTTCTAGTAACCTGGTGACCACATTTCTCTTGTTTATTTGTTAGTCTTGATCAAGATGAAGAAATATTTTTTCTTCATTTAACGAGACACACACAGATTAAAATTGCAAATCCTACTGGTAAATGGATTGTTGGATAGAACATACTGTAGAACTGTCTCTGATGTTCTCTCATAGGATTGAACAAGAGATACAGAGCCCATATGAAGATGGGAAACGTCAGTGGTTAAATTCTATCAAATATTTGCTTGTAGCATTTAACAGAAAAAAATACTAATGAGATGGGTGGGAGAGTGGGTTAATAAATGAATTAGGATCAGTTTTTTCATCTAAAATCATGTTCTTTTCTTGAGGGTTTTGGAATAATACAATGGGAGATAATATTGTATAAATCTCAGTAGAAGTAATGACTACTTCTTAACCTTTTGATTCACATCATTCTGTATGGAGAGAGCACATATAAACCTTTTAAAAATATCACCCCTACTTCTCACCCCACCCCAGTTTTTAAAACAACATGTTTATGCACTGGTCTGTTTAGTTTACTCAAACTTCACCTTTCTTAGGTTCAAAATAGAGAAGACAACAATGATCACAGAATCTAATTATGCTCAGATTTGAAGGCCATTTAGAAATTTCAGCTGGTACAGTATATCATTTGAGGCAAAATGATCAAACAGGTAACATCTTTTCTACACCAGTTGAATTTCTGGCTCCAGTTCAAGATTGGGTAAATCAACACTTCAGCTGTGGTATTAGCGCACATATTCAGAGTCAGAGTAGCAGTGTGTGGAGAAAAGGCTTTAATTGTATTTCCTTCCCCACACAAGTAAATCCAGGATTTCTGGTAAAACTTGCAGGTACTTGATATACTTCTCTCCATCCATTACAACTTTATTGCTGATAATAAGGTTCTTTTAACAGTTAGTTTGGCAGCAGCTATGAAAAAGCTCTATGATTTGTCATTTAGGCATGAGTTAACTCTATGAGTCATCATATGTTGAGAAGCCAGATGGATATATTTTAATACAATGAATATGACATTGGGCAAGAATAACAGTGGAGATGAAGGAGAAGAACCATGGGCACATAAAGCCTTTGAAAGCTGCCTGCCTATAAACTGCAGGCAGACCATCCATATAGTGGACTTCTTCCTTCCTACATGAAGCCAAGCTGACCTGTTCAGAAGGAAAGCACTTCTTAGAGGATGCCATTTTAACCAACAAGCTATAGCAAGTCTTTCATCATGGTGAGGAAAATTAACTTTTCTCTCATGCTGTGTTTTAAAGAGAATTAAGACATGGGAGCAGGTGCCTTATACATTTTTCTTAATTTATTTGCAATGACTCTTGGGCTTTAGATTACGTTCATTTTTTTTTACTGAAAATATTCTTCTATACTGTAATTTCTTTTGAACAGTATTATGGAATATGGTTTGAGAGTTTCTTTTATAATCATTTGAATATGTCTATTGTCTTCACAGGCTCATTAGCCTTTAAGACAATATATACATTCTTAAAATATATTAATTAAATTAAGCCATTTGCTGCTGAACATGTGCTGGACTGTTTCATTTTTCTGTTCAGATTTTATTCTCTAGGGCTCTTTAGAAACATAAAAACAATTACAAACTAGTACAAGATAGTGTGTTATGCAGTTGCTATAATTAATTTAAGGTAGATTAATAGTTATAACATTTTAATTCTATTATGTGAATGTCAATATTCCACAAACACAGAACTAGACCATTGATCCCTCTAGCTCAGTATTATCAACACCTGCTTACAGCAGTTAATTTTCTAGAGTTTCAGACAGTTTTTTTTAAATGTTGCATGTGCTATGCCACTGGGCTCTTGTGCCTTCATATATACTTGGCTACTGCAAATGTGAGCAATGAATAATAGATTTTTAAACTAGAAGATGCTTCCTTAAATATTTATTAAAATATTATTTATACATTAATTAGAATATTTATAATAATAGAAATGCTTGGAAAACTGCAAGTGTAAAATTTGCATAGTTTGAATTAGGACAGGCAACTTTGCGAGGGCTAAGAAACACATTTTACTTTGTGTGGAAGCTGCCTCTAAGAAAATGGGTGGAGCTGAGAGAAAACAGAATTGATTAAAATATTTTTTAAAAACACCCTTTAAAGATAATAAATATAAACTCCTAAGTTTATACTAGTGTTAACATTTGCTATCCAGTTTTGCAGTAAAATCCACAAACAAATTTCAGTGGCAAACTATTCAATACATTTGGAAACCATTAGAAAAATTTAAAAGCCTGCGTGTGGCTGAAGGATATACAGTACATTGCCCTCCTATTTTCAAAGAATCAGCACTCCAAGGAATTTAATTTCATATTGCATAGGGAATTAAAGAACATTTAAGTAGGAAATTGGAGGTGCAGGTGTTATACCATGGGCATCTGGAGCCATGCTGATCAAGTGGCATAATTGGCTTTAATGGATGAATACCACATGGGTCAGCTTAAAGAATATCATTTTTTTCTCTTTCTACAGCTTGTATTATCTAAGGGAAACATTGCTGCCAAAATGAAGATGAGAAAAAACTAGTGTGTAGAGGAAAACAAGTAGCTGCAAAGAAATATAATCAATGGGAGGAAGAAAAATATTTAGATTAAAAAAGCAGAGAAAATGTGATTTTGATCGAAGTAAAGAATCGTTTTGGCAGAGAGTGAAGTGAGCCACAGAGCTTCCAGCAAAATGAATGGAATTAAAAATAAAGTGATAAATCAGTTTAGGATGAAACTGAAGTGAGGGAACGCTAGAAAGAGTATCCCAAAGGTGCTTTTTCAAGAGGCAACAGGGCTTTGTTGTTTTTCTTTGAAGACGTTTTGCTTCTCATCCAAGAAGCAAATTCCCCACCATCCAGTCAGAGCTGAAGAAGCTTCTTGGATGAGAAGCAAAATGTCTTCAAAGAAAAACAAGAAAGTCCAGTTGCCTTGTGAAAAAGCACCCCTGGGATAACTATGATCTGGATGACATTTAGCTAGAAAGAGTAATCTAAATATTTGAGTGGGAATGGTTGTAATACAATATATCAAAGAGTTTGGGGGAGGGGGAGCAGATATTCCTGGAAAGGAAGGGCAAAGAACAATGGGCCAATTGAAACTGTGAGTTCAAGTGCTGCTTTAGCTATGAAAGCCAGCTGGATGATTTTGGGCCAGTCATTTTTTCTCTGCCTTACAGGTTTTCTGTTGTTGTGGGGAAATAGGAGGAGGAAGGAGCTCCCTTGAGTTATTTGTAAAAATAATGGAGGCAGGATACAAATAAATAAATAAATAAAATGGCAGTGGGTTCCAAGAGTATAAACTCCCAGTGGGGTCATCCAAGGTGTGAAAATCATCTCAACTGCCCGGCTACAGCAAACAGGCACCTTCATCAGGTAGCCATGATAGAGGAATTTCATACTGCATGGGAAAAGACAGTGGTAAATGACTCCTATATTTTACCAAGAAAACCATATGGGTAGACAAGATAAAGGGATTGCTGATATTGATATACTGTAGTACTGGGTAATGGGCCTTCAGATGGTACTCATCATGTGGCTGGACAGATGTGATTTGAGTGTGATTTGTTGGATATGAATGAATGAAAACTTCATTTGTGCCTGGCAAGTGGAAGAATGCAGTTATTATTTCTGTATGAAGAAAAAGATAACAACTACAGGGTGATTAGTTTATTAATTGCATCTGGAAAGGTATATTACAGAAGTCTGATAGAAAAGGTATGAGATGGAACAGTAAGTGAAGTGTTGCTGCTTCATCCCAGGCAAGGATCATGCAGGTCAATGTTTTGTCCTTTTGTTCTCAAAATTATCCTTGTTCATTTAGAGAAGGCCTATGATAATATAAAACATAAACCTTTTAAAAATATCATCCCTACTTCCAGTGGTGGGATTCAAATATGTGAACAACCAGTTCTCTGTGTGGATGCCGCTTCCGGAAGTCCATTCTGGATCTGGGCAACAAAACATTAGCTACCAGTTCTGCTGAACTGGTGCAAACTGGCTGAATCTCACCACTGCCTACTTCCCACCCCACCCCAGTTTTTAAATCAACACATTTATGCATTGGCCTGTTTAGATTTCTCAAACTTCAGCTTTCTTAGGTTCAAAATAGAGAAGACAACAATGATCACAGAATCTAACTTAAATCTAATAAAATTATGCCAAGTGCATCCATTCCTGAGAGACTCTGCTCATAATCACTCAGGCCATAGACACTTCTTGGTTGGGCTATGACATTGTGCTTTGTCCTTGGAAAATATTTGGAAGGTTGAACTGGTTCAGAATGTAACGGCACACGCAGTGCTGAATGCACTGAGGTTACAAGGTAGACAGACTGAGAAACTAATGCCAAGTAGGTCAATACTTCTTTCACTGTAATAGCTATTGTAACAGAATTTTTCAAGTCTGAACGTGCTTCCTCCTCCCTTTCTTTATCTCTGTATGCACTGAGATGTTTTCTCAATAACTTTCTTGAGGCAGACTCAGGCACCTTTTATCTGACTGTTCCTTCATAGTGGCTTTTCCTTTTGACCTTCTAGACCCTTTCGCCTTATAGGATTCAGAAGTCTGAATCAGTTGCGGTGCCTACCCTATGGAACAGTTTGAGCCCCCAGCATACCATAGGGTGCCCAGAACTCTATGCATTGCCACATTCTGGACCAGTTACAATTTCTAGATGGTCTTCAAGGGCAACCCTATGAAAACCATGTTGTAGTAATCCCAACAAGAAAATGACAGGGCATAACTGACTATGCGCAAGGCTCCTCGGTCGCAGAATGGGCATCACTGGTACACAAGATGGATCTGTGCAAAGATTCCCCCCAGCCACAAGTGCCATCTGCTTCTCAACATAATTCAAATCACTCTGTTTCCAGCAAGAAACCTTTCAACAGTGTTGGACTACCAGTCCCATCACTTCCCACTGATGAGTGTTATGCAACAGTGTTCATTCTCAGACAATATATTTGGATAGTGCCAATTGGAGAAAAATTATTTAAATCTCTTAAGAAAATATTTTTTGTTTTTACTTGGCCAATGCATTACAAAACAAGTCATTATTTGAGCCTTGCTTGGCAATAAAATTAGGATTTGACTCTTCAGTAATTTTTTTTAAAGAGAAATTCACTATAGGCTCCCTAAGGCATGCAGCTTGTTCCCATTTTCCTCTTGAGAAGCAATCAAAAGATAATGCCCTGTACCTTCTTAATTTTAGTTTGTTTTGATTTGTAAGTATCCTAGTTGGGTAACATCCTATAGTTAGGTAGCAACAAACTATAATAAATCTAATAATATAAACTAAAAGAATATCTAGAAATTATTCTCAAAGAATAATTTGAGAAAAGAAGAGGGTGCTTCTAATTACAGGTCTTCCTCTTTTCCCTTGTAATGATTGTTGCAGATTAACAAAGGGTAGAAGAAATGGGGAGTGGGGTGAAATAGAAGGGATTATAAGTGGAAGTTGTTTTCTGGATCTTCATAAAATCCAGTGAAAGAGTTTGGACTGCTGAAATGGTATAGAAGCAGCCACAAATTTGTTAAATCCTTTCTCCCTCCCCGTTTTTCTCTCTCTCATATACAAACACATAAACAGATAACATCTGCTGCTAAGTCATTGTCTTCTCTAATTGAAAAAGCCCCCACTAGTCAATGAATTTCTATAAATACACAGTTGTATTCATTTGTCTAACAGAGACATTTATCTACAATTGAGTTGCGTCTGTACATCTTAGTTGGTACAATAGCTTAGTGATGGAATAAGGCTGTAGTTCTACATTTATACAGATTTGGAGTTCTTGCAGAATCTGTTTCCAGAAAACCACTTCAAATCATCTCACCTACTCCCTAACTCTTCTGTCAGCAGGGCACTTTTCAACTTTAACAGCTGAAGGCCATCTCTATTGTGGAAATGGCACAGTTAATTCAGCTTTCATATCATTGCCCCATTTTCAAAAGTTTAGGTTTCTGTTTGTAGCTATAGGACAAAGTCAGAGTTTCCAAAGGTTTTCTCCAGGTGGTTGGTAGGTTGGCTTATGCCTCGTAATAACTTGAGGCTAGGAAGCTGCCTTGGGTGCCTTTCCTCTTTCATTTTCATCTGTCCAGTATGAGGCTTTCTCCAAATACCCTCTCTCCTCCTTCCCATTTTCCCTTCAGCCAATGCCTGTTCAGCATGTGATATGTTCTTTTTAAATAAATCCCTTTATCCCCATTTCTCCAGCCCATTGAATGAAAACATTGGACTGTTTATGAGACATATTTTAAAATTGGATGACATTATTGTTGAAGATGCTAATGAGACTTGTTCCTCCCCTCCCTCTTCATTCCTTTCTCCTTCTCCACTTATGTAGGATGACAGCACTAGCCATAGCGACCACCAAGACCCTATCTCACTAGCCGTGGAGATGGCAGCGGTAAATCACACCATTCTGGCGTTGGCCCGGCAAGGAACCAGCGAGATCAAAACAGAGGCCCTGGATGATGACTGATGACGCGATGGAGGGGGAGGGCTCCCAGATGAGAAAGTAACTTAGTTTTAGACGTAGCACCTTAGCAGCCTTTTTCCTGGTCCCTAATATGTGTCCTTCTTTACAATATAACTTTGCAGTCTCTTGTACGTCAAGTTTGCCGTTTAGGGTCTTGTCCTGTGAAGATGGCATGGTGCCCTCTGACTCTGCGTATAAACTCTCAGTATTAACTCCCAGTCAGATAATTAACCAAGCCGACTGACCTCCCTCTCCCAGTGCTCCCCCCTCAGCTAGATGAAAACCTTTGCTGCTCTGTCTTTAGCATTCCATGAACGTGCTTCCAGGTGTCGTAGGCAGCCCTCGATTCCAAGCCTTAGGCTAAATCTATAGAAAAACAACAATACAAACTCGGATTATCCTTCAGACTTCCTGGTGTTAACACTTTTTATTTCCTCTTGTTATTGTTATAAAGCCAAAAGGAGACAATGGAGATTCAGTGGTTTGAAGAAAAATGTCCACTGGGTTGAGAGTTTGGACAGAGAATGGGGTAATGATAAAGCTCAGATCTGTTGTCAACATCTTGTTACCAGGTGCCAATAAGCTGGCCTCTCTTGGCAGTGCAGCAATATCATCTTTACTGCTTTTCCATAGGATTAGTACCGTTTTCCAAAGGTCCTGGCTGGTTGGGAATGAGAAGGGGAAAGTCCACCAGCTTGTTTTGATTGACGTTTGCTGCTGATGTGGTCAACATAACCTTCCTCTTTTCTTTGCAAGTTGTGTTATGGGACCACACATTTTTTTCCTCAATTCTAAGTTTCCCCAGTTAGGCCAAAGTTTCCATCTATAGAAGAAGCTATGTCTCTCAGTGAGACTCACTGTGGCTGTGTTCCTTCCAATAAGAGGTCAATAAGGCAGATGGTGGCTAAGGAATGATGTAGGTGTGTAGGTGTGATTGGATCATTCACAATTCTTTTATCAGTTTGGTCATAAATAAGCCCTGACAAGTTCATTCGCATTTAAACCCACATAAAATACAATTATACTCTCAGACACCCCCACAAAGAATACCTATTCTTGGAGCAAGACATGATTTATATACAAAGGATGAGCATTGTGGAAGTGGATAGTTATTTTTATACACACACACACATACATTCTATGATGCAACAGAATGCTCTCCAATTCAGCCTGTAATCAGAAGTTTCAGACAACTTGGATTGAAAAGTTTGTAATTGCTTACTCGCAACACCCTATCTCCAAAGTATGGTGCACTCTAGGGAAAGATTAAGAAGTAACTCGCAATATCCCTCTTCACTAGAGTTACAGAAAATATGCATACATGTAAATTTCCATGATTTGCATAGTAGAGAGTGCAGTGATCCTTATCTATTATCTGTGATGTTGTCTCTCCAAGATAACACATCATGATGTTTTTACTTCTCTAAACTAGGCATACATTCTTTGCGTCTTTGTTTTGTTCTCCTTCAGCAGCTGGAAAGCTGTGCCTGTCTGAGCAGGTTAACTAATTCTTGGAAGCCATATTACAGCAGGAACTAGATGTTGCCATGAGCCAATGATTTAGTGGCTCTTGTGCTCCTGGGCAACAGGATTATTTTTTTACTTTCCTATTGTTAGGGCAATCTGAGATTGGATTCAGATATTGGCTATCTAGGAAATTAGAATTAGTGGTTAAATACTGATGGAATGTGAGATGAATCTACTTCTATATAGCAAAAAAAAATCAAATTTGAGGGGTTTTTTGGTTTATCTTGATCATATGTAGCACTTTGTTATTTTTTTCTTAACTATATATATATATATTTGTATTTTGAGCATTTTTTAAAAAATAAATATCATTGGAGAAATCAACAATAACATGCTGTAAGCTCATGTTACAGTCATCCAATAATAAACCTTGAACATAGTCTATGAGGAACATCTCTGATGAAATGGACCTGGCCGATTAGCAACATGTGATTCTCCTACACAAGCTGTTTTGAAATGAAGGAAGGGTGGTGATTGAAAAGCAAGACATATTTTCACCAGCTTGATCGTAGCATGTGGTTTTCCTCTTTCTTGTGCTCTTTTCACCTTCACCTTATTGCAATGTTCACAGAAATTCTTCCCCATTCATTGTGCCCTTTGAGCTATCTGTGCATTGGTGAACAACTAGTATACTTCAAAATGAAACTGACATGCTGACAGTCCCACGATATAGTCCCTGCTGGGGCCACAGTTCCCAACATTTGGAAATGTGGTTTGTTTGTGGCCTTGTTTCCATCTGTGCTTTGCCAAGGCAGATGATAGAAAATTTAGAGAAGTGGCCAAAAGCTTAAAATCTTCAGAATATTGAAATGTGACATGATGTTCTTAAATTTGACAGGCCCCTTTTCTCATTTTGGTGTGGGCAGTTGGGTGACAGTTCTGCCATTCTCTAGTACTTTATTTGAAATCATGGTTTCCCTCTTTGTATATATCTTGAATGCTCAGATGTCTTACATAAAGAGGGAGTATCTGCCAAGATCCTGTTGCTTCATGTAGTATGGCACCTACTAGTTTCAGTAACTGCATAAATAGGATTTAGCTATATAATTAGTAGCAGAAATTTTGAAAATAGATTGATATGAATACATTTTGAAAAAGCGATTGGCCATAAAGAAAAATAAAATGCCATCTTTTCGAGGGGCTGGAGCAGCCCTCTGCTGTTAAACTTCTGCTTAAGAATAGTGGATGCTTCCTTATGCTGGCCAGATTATCTAATGCAGGGGTGTCAAACTTGCAATGTCACGTGACATGTCACAGCATATCGGACTTTTTTGCCATTGCCCGGCAATGGGGTGGGCGTCGTTTCACTATGATGCATCCAGCCCGTGGGCCGGCAGTTTGACACCCCTGATCTAATGTAACCTATTCGTCAGCTCTGAAGCAAAGAAATATCTTTCCCATCAACTGATCTTTCTGAACATAATTACTAAGGGCTGAGCGGGAAGCCTTCTATATATGTCCTCTATTTCCCTCAGTGGATCTAGGGCAGGGACTAGTTACTATCTCCATCACACATTTTCTCCATCAGGATCCTTGATGATGGCTTCTCATCACAGCCATTTGACTCCAATTAAAATGTTAGAGTTTTGCTGATATTTTGCTGTTCAACCTTGCACATTTCATTGGCTATATTATATGTAATTTTTAAAAATCAACTGTTGATCACTAAAGCAGAAGCAAACTGTTGTTGTCTGTCTTGTTTGTCTATTGAGAGCAGGTAAACTCCATGAGGAGTTTTGACCTTAGACTCAGGGAAAAATGTAGGAGTTGTTTGGTAGCTGCAGAGAGAATTTCTTCTTGTGACATTTACAAGCAAACGTATCTCACCTTGGCAGGTAACAAAGAAGTGAAACAACTTTGTTTTGTGGGCTAAATGACCTGGTAAAATATAGCTATTGCAGCAGAAATTTATATTCTCATTGCTACAATAGTAATATCCTAAACTGAGAAGCATTGATGAAATGAAGTCATCATGGTTTTTGCTATTGAGCTTCCCATTACTGTTTTGGTACTGCTGCTCACTGAGGTTTTATTCTTTCTTTGGATATAGTTTTAGCAGGATACTACCAGCTAGTTCAAGTATAAACAGAAAAACAGCAAGATTCTTGAATAAGGCTTCCATTGCAAATTATATCATTCAATTTTAGTCAGTGTCTTCTATTAACTTGTAGCCTTTCCCTGCTTATCTAGTAGTACAGTTTCCTGATAGGCCATAAGTCTTCATGGCTTGGCCTGAAGCACTTTTCAATTATGATAAACAGTTATTGGATTCAGCCCTTTTATGTATTGCACATACAGATAAGTAACAGGAAGCAATGGACAAGCTTTCAGTATGCAGGCTGAACTTGTTAAAACATTAGGTCAATAAATAGCCTACAATTATCTTAATTCAAGAAGAATTGTGCCTCTTGTTAAGAGATTTTGAATCTTTAAAAAGAGGATCTCAGCAAGAAATGTATCATGAAACAGTAAACTAGAAAACACATTTAGATAAGATAAAATACAAGCTTTGTTCAAAGGACATAAACATGTGGATCCAAGTTTGTCAAGTTATAAGTTCTTACCACATTTTAATGTTCTTTCATTTTATCTGAATTCAGGGGCTAAGTTTCTTGTTACTGACAATTAAACTGTGATTGGCTTTTCTTCTTCAGTTAGGATTATCTGTTGCTTTGGATGTTCAGAACCCCCAAATTGATTTTTTCTTATCTTTCAATGATGAAGTCTCTGACAAAAGCTTTTACCTGTGCTTTGTATATATCATTCTGATCTTTCAACACAATCCATTAGGTGTCTGACTTATGTTATGAATAGTTGAAGAATTTGAGATACTAAGAAAGTAGAATATCTTACTTGCTCCATGAGCAAGTAAGGCTTGCAAATCATCTTAAGCAATTTGAGCTATAAGCATCCCTTATGTCTGAATTCTCAGCTAGCTTCCTGCTTACAATCTGAATTATATTTTCTCATGAAATGATGAATGGTGTAGCCTTGGGATATTTTCAATACTACAGAATTGCCTGGTTTTGAGAAATCACAGTAATATTGCTGCTATCGGAAGAGGAGCTCTCAGTTCTTGAGCGTCCAAGATACCCAGTTCTACCTTCTATAGTGTTAGATTTAGAGGTTGTGCTTTGAGATTGGCTTCAGACTTGAATGATGTAATGTTTGAGATATGATTTTGATAGACTAGCCTTCTACAATATGATGCTGTCCCCAAATATGAGGACTACAATCCCATGATTTCCAGTCAGAATCCTAATTGTGAACTTTGAAATTTGTGAATCAAGACACATGAAGAGAGCTCTAATTGAGCAACAACATTTTACATCACCTGTTCCCCCCACATTTCATATTGTGTATCCTGCACCTTTTTATAAATGTTGCTTTACTTTCCATTCATTCATTCTTAGTCATAGACATAGAATTGGAGAAATCGAAACTTGTTGGAAAATTATTAGTACAAGTACATGAGAGATTCCTTACTAGAAGCAAATGTTTTAAAAGGGCTTCCTAATAAAATAATGCTGCTGGTTTTTAACACTCTATACTATTTACTCTTCTTTTCAGTATCCTGGACTGGAAAGATTTTTAAGGCAATAAGTGGATTTCCTTGTGCTTGTGGTTGACATCATCCTTCGTGAAAAGACCCCCTTGATAAAATTTTAGTTGCAACTTCTATGAGTAACATCAGCTTTCTTCCAGTGGAGCAGTTTCCTCCCATGCTTGTACTAACTGAAATTGCAAACAAACTAATATTTCTGTTCCTACTATGTTGTGAGTTCATTAGCAACTGGCATTCAGTAGTATATTTCCTCTGAACATGGAATATTCATAATGATTATGAGTTTCAGCCTTTGATCACTGAGCAAAATATATTGAACTGTGCAAACAATTTAAGCCAATCACCCAGCTAGAGAAAATAGTGCAAAAGGCTGGTAGCATCTGTTGTCCAGGAAAAATATTTCTTCTAGTGATTTGTTACTTGCTCTATGTGAGACTAAGAATAGCCATTTTTCTAGATACATAGGAAGCTTGTGATCAAAACGTGATTTAGTTGATAAGTTGATTTTTTGGCAGGAAACGCTAACTTTTTGGCCTGGTACTGTTCTAATATAGGGAAGCCCAGTTGTTTTGTTGGTTATCAATTTCATAACTTCTTGCAACTTTTGTTATGGATAATCATACTCTATTGTCTTCCTAAGATCAACTTGTTCTGTATTTGAGATAATTCTGCAAAGAATTCCGATGTTCTATGTAGATCTCAAGAGGGTATTTAAGCGAATTCCTATTTTGATCAAAGAGCCAAGCCCCTCAACTTTAACACAAGTCCAGTTGTGTTAGATGTCAATTTCTATAATTTCCAGCTAGCACAACAGAGTCCCATAAGAGTTGAAATGCAGTTTATCTAGAGGCATCAAGCTGAGGAAGTCTGCCTTGCTTTGTGATGTTGTTGAAGGGGAGCAATAGCTTTATACCCTAGAAGTTCATGCCTAAATAGCAATAGCATTTAAACTTATATACCACTTCACAGTACTTTACAGCCCTCTCTAAGTGGTTTACAAAGTCAGCATATTGCCCCCAACAATCTGGGTCCTCATTTTTCTGACCTCAGAAGGATGAAAGGCTGAGTCAACCTTGAGCTGGTGAGACTCGAACTGCCAAACTGCTGGCAGCCAGGAATCAGCAGAAGTAGCTGCAATACTGCATTCTAACTACTGTACAAGACCATTTACCACCCTCCCGTGTTCAAAACAAGACTAGCTTTGGAAAGAGACTTTCAGCAGTGAGTTCTGTGGTCCATTTGCTGTGAATGAAAGAGCTGACTTCCATAGCAGATGGCAGTGAGCAGTTTCCCTGATTTTTCAGGATGCTCAGAATCTGCTTGATTATTTCCCATGTTTAGTATCCAATTCTAAAAGTGCCTAACTGAACCTGGTTTTATATGGGAGACTCTGGTCTTGTTTATATTTGTCCTTCTGATATGGGAGAATGTGGCAGCCTAGAATGTGAATTAGCTTCTGGAACAAACTGGATAGCAACCATAGTTGCTTTTTTTTCTCTCTCTCTCTCTCTCTCTCTTTCTCTCCCCCCCTTCCAATTGACTTTGCCCTTGTGGGCTGGGAATCATTGGAATTGTAATCAAACACAACTGTTGACCACTTGCCTGACTGTTTTATAATCTTGGAATGACCATGATGAGAGAGCCTAACAAAAGAATTGCTGTAAAAAAGTGCTGTAGCAGGTCCATGTCCACCTCTTTCCTATTCTTATTCTCCCCTGCAAAAAAGTGCTGCCTTGTTGGAAGGTTGCATTTTGTACTTCTCATCTACATTTCCTGTTATGTGCAGAACAGAAGTTATAAACAATTCCCAGCAATCTTCTATGAATGTGAAAAAGGTCTAAGAGTGACTCCTCCCTCCCTTTCCCTCAATTAGTACTTTCATCTCTATATTGGCTGGATTCCTGCGCTGAAAGGAACCAGGAGTGTAGGAAGAAATCTGTTATCTTTCATTCCAGAACAATGTTTTAAGATAATGGGGAGAGAAGGCATTAAACATTATACTAGGAATTGGAAGTGAATATGTCTTGCATAAGAGGATAAGGAGGGACCAGATTTATTTTCTCCTTCCATTGTGAGCTTGTATATGAGCTGAAATACATCGCAGCTTAATCAATTGCAGGTTGCTATAGCTTGTGGGCAAGCCAAGTTTGTGCATTTTCTAGCTTCCATTCCATTCCAGTCTCTTTTCCCTCCATGTTCCTACTGTGGTGGCAGTCCGACACTTTGCCTGGTGTTGTTTTGGCCTGCCATAATAACTGAGTTCAGCCTACCTCAAGAGGTAATTTGTGTCTCACTGTCTTGCAGCCACAATCCCTTTTATTTCTGTGTCCTTTTTGACATATGCATAGATACACACACAAACAACACTGGACTGTCTGTCACCCAGCCCCTTTGCTGTTGCCACCAGTTCTTATTGCAGATTGGATGCTGCTTTAAATGTGAAAAAAAAACAATTGTTTTAAAAAGCTATATAAAGAAGAAAAATAAAAATAAAAACCTGAATGAAAAGCTAAAGCTGAATTTATAAGCCTTGTTGCATATGAGCCAAAAGTGCAAAAAGCTCCATATAATAAATTAACCTGCCACTCATATAAATATAAATATATATAAATATATTAAAATCAGACTGTTCTACAAAATTGTGTATTTGTATTTTTGTGTACGTACAATTTTCTGCTAAGCAGAAGGAGGATGTAGTATAGGATGTGAGAGAATTTTTTTTAATCAAATTTCTTTTGCTACTTATTTTTCTTAACATTCATCTCTGTCTCTGTCTTCTCTATGTATGACACAGTTTTGAAAAAGCTGCAGTCTCTCTCTCTTCTTCCCCATCCTGCTTAATTCCCCCCACCTCATGATCGATTTCCAGGGTATACTCTGCCACTGGTTTTGCAGAGATACAGAAACTCTCAAAGGTTTGATAACTCACTGCTTTTAGCAGTGTCAACATGTGCTTTGTTGGGACTTGGCATAGTTGCTTCCAAAGTGGTTGAATCTTGTCAGTGAATTTCTATTTCCCTGAAGCAACCTGGCACTTGGCTAAAGTTGGTCAAGACTTTTGGCGATCTTTGGTTTGAGATCCCAACTATCTTTGTGAACGCATTCTTGCAAGAAAAAAAATCATTGTCAATCAGACAGGCTTTAGTAGACATTTGGGAATTCCTAAGTACGAGCTCAAGAATTGAGGGCAAAGGCATTTGGCCAGGTTGAGATTATTACTCAATTGAAAACTGAAAGGCAGACTAGTGTAGCCATGATTTGAACAAAAGTAGGATGGTCTTAAGTGCTCAAAGTGTCTTGTGCATATTTGTTTGCAATCCCATAACCATTCTATTAAAAAAGCAAGTAATCTAAATAGGAAGACATTTTGTAAAAAAAAAAAACCTAGTAGAATGATGAGAGAGCAAAATTAGGATTATCTCATATCTGATTAATGTTTCTCAGTTTTCATGTTTCTTCCCTCTTTGGAAAGATATTAGTGGAACTGCCACTTGTTTATCAGTTAGTTTAATCTGTCAAGGGATTTATTTCTTCTTTGATAAGTGCAAGCCAAGTTCCCACAAACCTGCATCTGTCCTCTTTGCCTCTAAAGCATATTTGAATTTCAGAATGGTTAATACCTCAGAAAATACAAGAGGCTTACTCCTTAGAAAAAATATGTGGGAGTATTGAGAACTATCCTGTTCTTAGTTGGTTATATGAGAACATGCAGGATGTTAAATTCCAAAACATTTTTCCAGCGTAACTTTTGTTGAGAATTTTTTCCTCACCTTAAAAAATAAGTTACGTATAAGCTCTTACTCAAAGACGTGAGAGCCTTTTGTATATTGAAATTTCCTTGACTGATAAAATCCAGCTTTCTCATTTAGTTTCCCATGTTTCTTCATTTGCAGGTGGAACCCCTTTCTCTCCCTTTTAAAGCTAATGCCTCATAGTGTTGACCCTTATCATTTCTTCCAGGGGTGAGAGAGACACTACATCTTTCTAAGTAGGGCTCATATTTATACCAGTGTGTACTGACTGTGGAAGAAGTCCTTGTTTCTGTATGTGAATGGGGAAAGAAACAAGTGCTCTATTGTATTGATTAAAAACTAGCTTAAAAACAAATGAGTCCTGTATCATTGTATCTCCTATTCTGGATTATTAGTGCCTTTTTGGACAGTAGACTGTTCTGTAATTAAATTGTAGTATAACTGCTTTTTTGTACAGTTTTGTTTTAATAAACTTTTTTTAATTTGTGTTTATTTTAGTATTGTACCTACTAGAAAATTAAAATGTATAACTGAAAAAAACCTGCTTCAATGTCCTTTTTTTCCCCCAAGAAGCTCTGCTTTTGGAAAATGTTTTATACAAGGTAAAACACAAAGTCACATCAAAAAGATTTTCTTCTAGCTAGAACCTGGTCGGCCACCTCTTTGGCAGATTACATGGGTCTACAGTATTCAGTTAGTTGTTTGTTTATTATAAGATTTTATATATCGATCATGTCTATAGGACCCATATCAAAAAAGACAAGACTGCCATATAATGGGGAGCCCAAACATGGGATAGACAGGATTTCAACAATTTGCAGAAGGTGAGGAGGTACTTGTAAACTTTAGTTGCTTTAAGAACATCTATAGCCAGCCTTCTCTATTCTAGTCCCATAGCCAGAAGTCACGGCTAGCCCCGAGATTCTGCTTGCAGGTTGTTAGAAGCTGTCCTGGATTCACCATACAAAAAGAAGTGTGGTACGAACATGTAGGAAAGCTACTTTATATTGTATGAGAGTTGCTCCATCTAGTTAGCAGTAAAGTATTTATGGAGAACTGCAGAACTGAACATTAGATCCCCTGTGTTGTGAGATATTACAGTGATGTTTATTATACAGTTACTCTTAGCAAATGCAAATGGTTTATAAACTTTAAAGAGATATGTTCAGTAGTTTGACAAAACGTAGGACCAAGTCAGTGGTGAGAATCAAATATGTGAACAACCGTTCTGTGTGGATGCCACTTCCAGAAGTCCATTCTGGGCCTGGGCAACAAAAAATTAGCTACCGGTTCTGCCAAAGTGGTGCGAACTGGCTGAATCCCACCACTGGACCAAGTAGAGGGGAAACCAAATGTTACCCCCTGGAAGAGATTTTTAAAAATAATTTCAGTATGGAATTGATGCTATTTTAACATAACGATGGAATTGGTCACTAAAACTTGCTATGTAGCTAGGACTGGGAAATAACTGCAGTACTATTTTTTATATAAAGAAGATGGGAGAGGAGAAGTGATATAGGGTGGAAATCCTGGAAATGTCAGGCTATTTTTACATACATACATACATACATACATACATACATATTAAAAATCATGTTTAAATGAATAATTAGGCATAACGAAAGAAACAACTCACTAAAGAATTAGTTTGAATCTCACAAAAACAAGTTCTTGCAAATTGTTTGAATATTAACTAACTTAGAAGTGGAAATACAAACTTCCTTGATTTTTGACAATGTTCCGGATCATTAATTAAACTTAATTTAGGAATCATAGGATGAGAGAGGAGAACCTCTAAACCTTCAGCACCCGTTTACTAAGCAAAGCAAACTGACATTGTACTTATTTTTAGTATATACGTTAGAGAAGGGGTTAAAGCTTTTGTCAGATTAATGGAACAACACATGAGCTTTAAAGAAATGTATTAAGTACTGAAAGTTGGCGAGAAGTCCTAACTTAGAACGCACAACAGGGCATGAGCAACCAGTGATTCATCAGGACATCGTTAGGATGTTGATGTGGCAATTGTCAGGCAAAAAAACAACAACCCAATGTTGACTTTAGGGAAGGAAATTAATCTGCTAATATCAGGCTTACATTATTTGTTATATGTATCCCACCTTTATTATTTTTGTAAGGCAACAAATATACAATACTCCTATTTTCCCCACAATACTCCTCTGAAGTGAGTTTGGCTGGGAGTGATTGGCCAAAAACCCCTCAGCCAGCTTTCATGCTAACACATGCTAACTAACGCTAGAAGTGAATCTCCTGGTTTCTAGCTTTGGTGCCTTAGAAACCACTTTAAAATGCTTTGGTAAGACCACACTTGGAATAATGCATCTAATTCTGGTCACCACAATATAAAAAAGATGAGACTCTGGAAAGAGTGTAGAGAAGAGCAATAAGGATGATTAGGGGACTGGAGAGTAAAACTTATGAAGAACGGTTGCAGGAATTGGGTATGTCTAGTCTAGTGAAAAGAAGGGCTGGGACAACATGATAGCAGTGCTCCAATATTTGAGGGGCTACCACAAAGATGAGAAGGTCAACCTATTTTCCAAGGTACCAGAAGGCAAGACAAGAAACAATGGATGGAAACAAAGCAAGGAGAGAAGCAACAAAGAACTAAGGAGAAATTTCCTAATAGATCAATTAACCAGCGGAAGGCCTTGCCTTCAGAAGTTGTGGGTGACCCATCGCTGGAGGCTTTTAAGAAGAAACTGGAAAGCCACTACTGAAATAGTATAGGATCTCCTGATCAAGCAGGAGGGTAGACTACAGTAGAAGACCTCCAAGGTTCCTTCCAATTCTGTTATTCTATTCTAACCACTAAACAGCAATGCCAACTGTGACGAGCAAACTTCATTAAGAAAACCATATTTGCAAAGAATGGAGGTTATTTAGCTTACAAAAGAGGCAAAAGAAGTTACAGACATAAGGGGAAAATTTGTAGTGTGATGCACACAGGTTTTTTATGTATAGCTGTAGAAATATATAGGTATAGCTGTAAGTTATTTAACCCAAGCTATGTTCAGTCCAGCAGAACGAGTATTTCTTTTAAAAAGACATTATATACAGTTTGTATATAATTAGAAAATGGCTGGGAATCTGATTAGTAAAATCTAAAATTAATTTAAAGAAAAATAATATACGAAAAGCACAATTCCATAGCACCACAGCTCAATCTGGCATGATGAGCGAATTTAGTTTCATCAACATGGCTTTTATCTTGAAAAATATAAACAATAGAATTATAATTTTATCTATCTTGCATTATTGGGTAGATTTTTAATCCCTCATAGGAAAGAAAAATGTAAAAAATGTAAGCAGTTTTAGTTGAGAACCCTAAGATAGCAGAGTTACATGTATAGATGTGTGAATAGGGCCTGAAGGTAAACTATGCAAAGAAAGAAAAAATAGTGCAAAATCTGTTCACTTTATAGAATACATGCAGGGCAATATAATTGCATTTCTTTTTTAAGCAAGCAGAAACCTGGACTATGTGTATTGTATGAATATTTCATTCCAATCCACTTAAACCAACAATTCTGCATCAATCGACTAAGAAAAGAAGGGGGAGAAAGAGGAACAAGGCTTGACAGAAGGAAAGTATTTTATTTAGATAACATTTGTCACAGATATGGTACAATATTACAAGTTTAGTATATAATACAAGAGAGACCATTACAAACTTTACACTTCATTACAAGAATCTTTGGATTTTAGCATCTTTTAAAAAGGTACAAGCAACAATATTTCTGAAAACCAGTCTCAACATTTGTTCTTTATATACAGGCTCCCAACATTTACAAAATGACAAATTAACAGAAAAGACAATTGAGAAACAGCTCCTCAAAAACAGGAAGTTAGTGTCCAGGCAATGAAATGCTTTGGGTAGCCTAGTGGGTAGAGTTGCTTGGAAGGTGAACTTGCTCTCCAAATAAAAGGTCATCTTTTTGTAGGTCTCTCAGGATACCTTAACTGAACTTTAAGTTAGATGCACAGTCATGACAGTCATGAGAGGTCCTGCGAATACTGTCATGCTGAATAGAGTTCCATGTGGCTTTTGGCCTCAGTAAAAATGTCTTTCAGATGCTGATACAAATTATTAGTTTATCCCACTTTTCTGCCCAAAAGAAAGGCATTGTGACACTGAAAAGGAATGAAGAACCGTAAAGAGATGTTGCATATGCTATGAAGAATCTTTTCTCTCGATTTTCAAGACAGATAGGATTATGCCTTAGAATCATACAGGATGTTACATTCCACTGAGTGCCAATTGTCATTATTAAACATTGCCTAGCATGTAACAGTGCCAGATCAATGGATGCAATACATTAATCGGCAGCAATCCAGATTATGAAAAATATGTGCTAATATAAAAGGAAGACTTATGTAAAAGAGAATTATATAATTTTTGCATTGATTAATTTAAATTCCAGTTTGCCTTGAAGTAAGTGACAAGCAGCCTGTTCGATAAAGATCTGATAGAGGTTTCCATTGGCACCCAGTGAACTTTGGGGCTAAATGAGAATTTGAAGTTGGATCCTAAGAATATTTAAGTGACAATTCCATACTATCTCAATATAAGATTTTTGTATATTGTCAGTTTCCAAACAGAGCCATTACCCTAGTTTCACTAGAAGAAACTGTTCCAACTGCATGGCTGACCTACTAATGTTGCTCATCACATGATATGGTCAATCTCTGCTCTGACATTTTACGACAGACTGAAATAACATAGTCTCTTTATGAAGGCTCTATGGTGCACATGCACATTTTTCAACAATTTCTAATCTTCAAATCTTTTCCACAAAGGTACAAACTTTAACAAAGGAAGATGATGGCAACCAAAACATTCAGAATGGGATACTGAACCATACACATTGAAAAAAAACGAGCTTGCTGTATGGAATCAATTGCCATGCAAAATAAGGGAAGTAGTAGGCACGTGGGAGGAGTAATGGTCAATCAGTTTTGAACTAAGGCACCATGGTGTGGCCTGGTTAAAATGAAACAGCTGTGGCTATTGGAATTACATGTCATTTCTTGCAAAGCAGTGTCACAGATGCCTGTCACAACCGTCATAATATTGTTTTGCTTAAAATTGTTGGATGCAAATCATGTGCAAAAGGAATGCAGTAGTAAATCAATTAGGTAACATTATTTGGATTTTTTTTTAATGTTTAAGACAGACTTCTTAGTTGCAGAGAAGTCTGGGATGGTGATTTTAGTAGAGCACTTCAAAAAACTTTTGCTTTAGAAGTTAATGGACGGAAACAAAATGAATATTCTTTTCTAAGTAGTACTAGCAGCACATCAACAATATTTCAAAACCCATTTGAACAAGGGTTTGTTAACACAGCTTCCTGATTACTCAAACTGGGGAAACCTCTTCAGCTTATTCCACCAGTTCCATCCCTCCTCTGTTTGCTTTAAAAAGAGAAATAGAGCTTAATTCAGAGAAAGGGAAAGAGAAGAATCTCACTATTGGTCAAGAAGGCCCTATCTTATAAAGTTCACTTTTCCAGTCCAGAAAACCAGTGGGAATCACTTTCTTGTTTCCTCTTTCTTCACTATTTTTTCAAATAATTCTTGAAAGCTAGTCTGCATTATAGATAGTGTGCCTTGATTGCTGAATAAAATACAGATTATGTTGTTGGGGGACGACGTAGTTTGTAATTCCGCACTGGAGATGGAGAGCGAGCGAGCAGGTACAAAGATTATAGTGAACCCAAATTTACAAGTATCTAAAGCAGGTTTTTTTTTTCAACCTGCATCCCATGGAAACCTAGAATTTCATGAAAACTTGATAGGGTTATGTGAGAGGCTAAGGGCAAAAAGAAAAAAAAAAGGTTCACTCGCATGCAGCCAGTTTTCTAGCACTTGATAGGGATCCTGGGATTTTTAATTTTTTTAAAAAAACAATAGGTTCTACAATGTAGACTGAAAACATTTGAAAATCACTACCCTAAACAAACTCTAAATTGTCCACAGCCTGTCAATACTTCTTGTGGGGCTAGCTCTGTTTTCCTTTAGGATAAAGTGCATGTAAATGACTTGGAAAAGGCCTGCATATCAAAAAAAAAAACAAAACCCCAAAACCGTTTCTGCTCTTTTGTCTTTTTTCTTTCTTTTTCTGGTGTATCTTTTCTGCTTTCTATTTTTATTAGTTTATGTTAATTTTTATGTTCTTTGTAAACTTTTCATAAAAAAATATTTAAAAAATTAAAATACAACAGTAGGCAGTTAATCAGAAAGTAGCCATCCAAGTTGTAATTAAGCAGGACAGTGCTTGACCATTGTTCTAGTGTTTTTCACCCACCCAATAAAACAGTCCTGAAGGAGGGCCGAAATCTAAGAGCATTATTAGCGCATTGATATTAACAAGGCTTCAATGTACTTCATCCTGCCTGGATCAGCAGGAAGATCTTAAGGTTTTTTTTTTTTTTTTTTAAAAATGATTTTTGTTTTGTTGGAACAAAAGACTGCTTCAAATTATGTAAATGTTCTACAACCATAAAATATTCCAATTCCATATACGCAAAGAAAGCAAGAAAATGACGGCTCTCTGGAAACTGCTGAGCTTTGCTGCCAATTTCCTCAATCTCCTTAGTTGCAGCTTTAATTGTAAAACAGTTTTCTTCAGTTAGAAAATCAGATTAGTACAGAAGGAAGTCATTTAAGATGTAATAGTTAGATCAATTTCCTTAAGCTCACCAGTACAAAGAGAGTCTATTAGCAGCATATGGAAGGAGGATATAAAAATATAGGTCATGAGAATTTATATGCTGCTAAGCAAGCCCTTAGATAGTCCAGCAGCATTCCTTCTCAGTGTCTGTTATCTTTTGGTGGCTAGCTACATTCGTGGAGCCAAAAGATTTTCGCTCTTATTAGCATCATTTAGATGTGACTGCCATTGCCTAATGCTCTCCATAAAATCCCTCTGCTCAATTTCCAACCATTTTACTTTGGACATTCCTGCATTCTTTCACAAGAGCATCAGAAGCCAGATTATCCAAGGCCAAATCCCTGGCCCATGTAATACAGCTTCTTGGCAATTGTTCTCCAGAGTGTTTGTTGAACAAGGACCTTTCTCAGCCCTCTGTGTAGCTGGGTTCAACCTGAAACCTACTGCAGGCAAAGCATCTGATTCACCGTGAGCCATTACCCTCATTTTAAAAATAGCTAAACCTCATTCTATCTGGGCAATAAAGCTAATTTTATTTCCCTGTTGGGACTTTTCCAAAAGAGATTTTCAAGCCATTGAGAAGCCATCTCTGGCTGAAAGTTATGCAGATAAGCTCCAATTGCACCCATGAAAATTACACACACCATTCAAGTTGTAACCTCAAAATCCTGCAGACATTTATAACATATATTCATTTTGAATTCACCCCCTCTTCTTCCATAGGAAGAAGACAATGTGAGTATATGGAAAGAAGCAGATTATCCTGTTCTATGTGTGTTTCTGTGCAATGGTAGTTATTGGGTTGATTGTAAGTCGCAAGGGATTCCCTATACTTCTTTTTAAAAAGAAAATAAATAACAAATAAATATACAGCTCTAGCAACATGGACAAGGATAGTTTACCCAGGTTTATGACTGGGGAAAATCCAGATCATAAGGAAGGCCCACCCTACGTCTAGGGTTTTGAATTCCCTCTTTGCATTATGTTACTTAAAACAAAGGCAAAGAAGGCCACATGCTGAGGTTTACTTTATAAATACAACAGCACTGAAGGGAATGCTGAAAATAATAATAGTAACAATACCTTTAACAACATGAAACGACAACATCTGCCCACCCTAGGTCCTTGGGAAGGACATGATAGGTTGATAAAAAAGCCAAATCCAATCTAAAAATCTGGCTGACTCTGCAACCAACCATAGCAATAAACCACTAGAAGAGAAAAAAGCAAAGCCTTCTCCTGGAAAAGGTCAGATATATTAGACTGTAATCACAGGTTGGATTAAGAATTAAGAAAAGCAACATGGATGTAGCCTAGTCCCCAACTGTCATTCCAGTAGAGTGAGGGGTAATATTTTTCCACTGAAATCAACAAAAACAGTTTAAAGATCATAAATGAAGTCTTAAAGACAGGCACTTTTTCCAATAGGCTGTGATCTGCCAAATTCTGATTCTAATTGGTTTGCTGTGGTTTAATGGTGAACCTTGGAATGACAACATTTTGATAGTAAGCAGCACTTGGCAGTCTTTCTAGAAAATAAGCCCTGCCAACATCTCTTACAGATGGTTTCCTTTGAATGGCTGGGGAATGAAAGGAGAGATTTGGAAAACTACACTGGGAAAGGTCACCATTTGCACCAAGAGTCTCATGTTATTCCATCATGACAAAGGTCAACAAATTTCAGTAAAAAAAATTAAGAATACACATATATTCTGACACACATCAACCATCTTCTCCTAACTGGCTTAGTAGTGCAAAGAATGGCAAGGAAGGAAGGAAGGAAGGAAGGAAGGAAGGAAGGAAGGAAGGAAGGAAGGAAGGAAGGAAGGAAGGAAGGAAGGAAGGAAGGAAGGAAGGAAGGATCAACTTCACACAGTAGTGTTGCGAGCCAGGCAGACATGCCCATCGGGTGATGCTCTCAAGTAGCCCATGATTTCCTGTTTTCTGTATTCTTTTTACTTTTCTCAGTCCTTGGAAGTGATCCTCCTTCTGTCTTGGCTAAAGCAGTCAAAGAAGCCAAATTGGAGGCAGAGCCTGAGAATGTACCGCTCCGCCGATGCTCAGTTCCGGTCCCAGTTGTGCCCTGCAATTTCATTCCAGCACTCCGGCGCCTTGCAGAACCTGTAGCTCTTTTGACTCGACTTGGCTTCACAAGGAGCCCATATCCTGGATTGCATTTGAAGTACTGCCGGCCTCCAATTGAGCCATCATTTTTACCTTTGAGATAAAAGATTTTCTTTGAAAAGGGTTGTTTCATGAAGTCATAAAATAAATGCATTTGGCTAAGGATACTGCCCTGTGGATGCTGGGTAATGGGTAGTTCAATAAAATGTGTTGTCTGATGACATAGCACCCCATGGCAGTATCTGGCTACATCACACATAGAAGACCTTCCTAGTGAATCTGTGTATTACTTTCTCTACCACCAATGACACTTCTTGGGTTCCATAAAAATTACATAGGAAAGTAAGCCTCTCCTTCCTGCTAACTGAGATGGAAGTTGCATAAATTAATTCAGAGAACTGCTACTGTCCTAAAACAAATATGTGGCATATTCTCAACATGTTGCGTATTCAGCATTTATTATCAAGACTTTCATCTTTATATGGAAGCTCAGAAGCCCCTGTCCTTTGGATTATCCTCCCCCAAAAGGCAATGCAGGCCCCCACTCTCCTGGTCTTTGGGAGGAGTTTGAAGACTCATATGGGGCTAGCAGAGAACTATGCAACCTTGGGTTTAGTTAGTGCCCCGAAGGCCCTCCTCCCCTTTAACTTTAATTATTCTATCCTTGACTTTCTTTTACTGATATAATATTTTATATGACTTTTCTGGTTTTAATTGTACACTACCTAGAGTTACTTTATTTATCTTAAACCTAATAAATAAATAAATGAATCATATGTTTTCAATCTTTCTTTACAAATTTAACATACAAAGTTAACCCTGATGGAATTGCTCTTTCACAATCAGAACTTCTGGTCATATGCCCACTTCTCTTAGCCTCTTCTGGCTACTATCACTAATTCATCAGGCACTTACCACAACTGCAATCTTTGTTGTAAACTGAACCAGGCAAAGTGAACCCATCCATAATATTGTGGATGTAAAATGTGGGTTCTGCCACTAAGTAACAAAATGCTTTACAATCAAGCCATATTTCCATGTGTGCTCTGGATGAGTTACCCTATTTCCAATCACTCTTGTTGAAAGAACTGCATCTGAATGCAGGCCCATTCCTTTTCTCACTATAGACCGTTTCATGGGATAACGAACCTATCCAAGTAGATGGTGGCAGAATTTCAAACAATACTGGACATTAAGGAGAAAGGCTCACCATACTGGTGACTTTTCCCACCTGCACTGCTCTACCTGTCTTAAGAAAAAATTTTATGCGTGGCTGACTTAAACTAGGGAACAGTGAAAGAAACTAGACAGACTTCAATAAGAGATAAAGGCCTGAGGGAATCACATGTGGATTGAGGGAAACAAAAACAACTATCAAAGCCAGTCACAAACATTTCCTATACACCTTACAACATTTCTCAACAATTACCTGATGGCAAATCCAACTCGACTCCAACCCAGGTTCCGTCCTGGAAATCTGTTGGACCAACATATCTCACGGTGCCCATTTTATTTGTGCCAACAGTTACATATTCACCTTCTTTCAGCCAATCTGGGATTTCATTGGCTTCTTCTGAGTCAGATACTGCTGCATCCAATTTCTCTTCAGAACCAGCATCTATGCTGTTGTTCTGGTCTGAGTCTTCTGAATTCTGTCTGCTCTTTTCTTCCTCTGAACACAAAGAAGCTCCTGAATCACCACTCAACATACTGGAGAAAGACTTGAGTTCTGATGTTCGTACTCTTTGGATTTTGAATGGAGAAGTTGTAGTGCTGGACTGAGAAGACAGGTCAACTGTAGCCTGAGACTTTGAAGGTCCTGTTTTATAAATGGGAGCCTTCTTTGTGACAGAAAGAGGGTTCTCCGATGGTAATAAGATGGTTGTCTGTGTCAATTGTATTTGTTTCTTATTAGAATAGCAATTTGTATCCTCAGTAACTAGGGAGATAGAAACCTGATCTTCATTTAGAGCAATGGCAGAATCTACAGGTCTTGATTTTAAGTTGCCATTATGGCTCACTTTGTCATTGTCCTTGTCAATTTGATCATCTTTAAGGCCAGGGAGAACTGGATCCCTCGTTGAAAGAGAATGGCAACACTGAGAAGCTAAATCAGAACATGATTTTATAGGACCATCTGTTGAAGAAACTACCTTAGGAGTTGTTGAAGTTGGGGGGACATCGTTTGTGATGGAGGTCTGACTACTGGGTTGAAGATGGGGGTCATTTCCTGATACAAGAGCTTCAGAAAGGGTTGCTGTAGAAACACTGTGTGAGAAGTATCCACTAGAAGTTTCACTCAAGGGACTTGGTGGACCCTCCTGAGAATCCTGTGCTTGGATGTCCACTGTGGACTGCTGTAAAGGCACTTTGGTTGATCTTTCAAGGTTCTTCTCCAACTCTGTCAACTGCAAAGCCACCTCAGAAGGTCCTTTGCTTCCTTGTCCTTGGGTAAGCTAAAGCAGAAAAGGGTCAGAGATTGTCAAAGTTACATTTTGGAAAACATAAAACAATACAATAAAGATAAACTGGACATTTGTTTCTTTCTAATTCATCTTCTGTTACCATATCTGGAGAGGCTTGCAACATTTTGATTTATATTTTAAAGGAAGTTGAAGATGAAAGATGGATTTGTATAAGGGCAAACAAGAACAGCCTTCCAAGATCCATCTGCTTTTTATTCCATTTCTAACAATGCTTAGTCAGAGGTGTCCATTGATGCCCAGCATCTAGGATTCTAAGATAGTTTCTGTAATTTAAAGAAACAAAGAAAGCATATTCTTCTCCCTGTACTTCCTTGTGCTGTTGGTTTTTTTTCCAGGAAGCATATATGCCCCCCCACTGTGTAATAGTATGTTGGAGACTGGGCAAAGTGACACTGCCAAGTGACTGGCCGAGTAACATAGCCTGTGGCTAGAAAGTGGGTCCACAACAGGAGAGTTTCTCTAGCTGTTAAGGAGCTTGGGTGGGGGGAGAATTCTATTTTCATTTTAATGTAGCTTTACAATAAAATAAAATTAGCTGATCTGGTCATGTTTCCTGTCTAGTCTATCTCATAAGGCTAGCATATTGTCTGCAATTGCTACTGAATGTATAGTAGATGGACAAGGAGAAGGAAGTCCCAGCATATCATGCAGGAATTCTTATACATACAACTCAAAGGTCTTGCGTTCATTAATACCAAGTGTCCATAAGTTCCTTCCCCCATCCCAATAAAGAAAGCTTCACTCAAAATGTGAGAATTCTCATACTCTGAAGAGGGCATGATTTGGAATAAAGGACATTCAAAATTAACAATTTAGGATACACTGATATCCAAAATAGATAAATGTATCAGCTTGTGGAATTGCATACTTTAGTTAATGGCTCATTTATTGTTTTATTTTATGCATTTTATAACTTGTAACCCACTTTGAGTTCCTTAGGGTGGTGGGGAAGATAAAAATATGTTAATAAATAAGTACTAGAAATAAATAGTATGAATAACACTTACTAATGAGTGTATGGCTTATTTCTATGCTAGACTATTAACAGGTTCAAAGGTGGCAGTCTAGCTAATAGGCTGAAGGTCTAGTAGGATTAATATATAAATGCATATAGCATATGAAATGTGACTCCTATTATTTACTAAAAGATCATTTATATTACAGAAAGATATGTTTGCTGTTTGAAAGAGGCAATTTATGTGAAGTGGGGAAACAAGCCAGATTTATAAGTCTCTCCCTGTTATTTGGCTTAACTCACAGAAGATATAAATCATCATTTCTAAGTCAAGTATCATCTTGTGTAACTCCATATGCCAAGGATGGCTTCCTTCCCAAAGTGTTAACCGCAATACCACAAATACACAACTTCCAGAATTAATGACCCTTTCTATGCTTAACAGTTCATAATATGCATATGATATATATACCCACACATACATACCCACACAATATAATAAATATGAAGTAGACCAGCCAATTTTGAAAAAAAAAACCCCATGGGCTTTTGCCAGCCCATGCCTTCAGCAAACTCTTGAGATTATGAGATATTTTTTTTAATGTCTCCTGGTAAACTTTGATGCATGTCTATTCTCTATTCCGATCAGCAACCTTAGATCTTTGATTTAAGGCCACATGGAAAGGAGTATTTCTGCAGAAGCAGATAGGCAACCCTTAAAAGAGAACCTTGGAGGATAGAAAGAAAGAATTAACTATAGTGTACTAGAAGCAACTGAAGCAAGTAAATAGACTCCAAGATGATATTTGCAAAGGAAGAATCATAACAAAAATTGTGAATCACCTGATATTATGCAGAGTAAAATGTGCTATTATCTGAGATAAGGAGATACAGCCACCAAACCTGGTTTCCTTTTTCTTACTCCGTTGCATACCTACAACTGCTTACTTGGCATTGTAATGCAGTTGTGCACTTGCTGGCTTCTAGACACACACTAGTGGTGACATTACAACAAGAGGATAGTGATAATTCAGCAAGATTTAGATATTTCTTTCTGTGAAAACTAAGCAGTTAGAATGGCTGGCTCATGCAGAATCAAGGCATAAACTGGAATTTCCATTTCTGATACTGAAAGTTTAATATGCATGGGGGCTTAGTAAGGGTAATTCATAGACAAATGTCTCCAATCTGCACCATCAGCATATAAATAACCATAAAAGCTTTCTGCATGTTTTGGAGAACTCAGTTCTTTACTGATTTTAATAGTAGTTTTGTTATTACTGTTGCCTCCCATTTCCATGTAACGATAATGTAGTCATTCAGCACCATGGACAGTTCAAAAGGACCCACCTGTTGGGCTTTTGCAGGATTGGCATCAATCTTGGCAGGCTGAACCATAATTCGTGGGACTGGCTGCAATAAGAAAAGACATTCCTTTTGTATTAATCTCTGAATGACTGAAAAATTACTCAAACAACAGTAGAAAGTTATTTATTTCACAGGCATCATAGTTTTGGCACAATGACACCTGATTGCCCAGTTCCCTTATAATGCTAAATTGAGCTTATTTGAAGTAAATTCTTTTATGACTTTATGTGCAAATTAAGCTGTTACGATTTGCTCAATATCAGAGTTAAAAACCTGAGCCTAATGAGAACACAGTATTTCCCAATTATTTCAGACTATACTTATTGTAGCTATTGCTAGTAACAATAATACTGAAGGGTAATACTCCCCTATGCCTCCCCCATAAGCACCTTTCCAATTATTCTCAGTCTCTGTTTGCCTGAGTTGAAAAGACTGGACATTTAGTGTAGTTTCATTTTTTGAACTGAGAATTCTTGTTACTACTTGTTCTCCATTTAGATTACATATAGATTCTGCTATTTCTATGCTGTGAACTGTCAGGTAACATGTAAGTTAAATAAAATAAATAAATGAACAATTAAATTAGATAAAAAGTTCCAAAGCAGTATGAAAGTCGTTAGACTTTTATGTTTCCTTGTAACATAAAATTCAGTAATATACTAGCAAAGTTTTAGGAAATATTTTATTAAACAGCGGGATGAAAAGATAACAAAGCATATGCCCATCAAACACTCCTCTGAAAATCTCTCCAAGACTGCAATGCTTTTGTGTCAAATCCAATTTTTTCCTGTGAGGGAGAGTGAGACCCTCACACTTCATCATGCTTGCCATTTTTTAATCTTTATTTTTTACATTCTACTGATTTTATTATATCTTTATTATATCTTTATTATGAGCCATCCAGAGTCACTGAGAGTTGGGTGACATACAAGTTTACTGCATCATCATCATCATCATCATCATCATCTCCCCCTGCTCCAATTAAAGGTAGAGGTGAACTCTGGAACATTGATGGAGGCAAACTATTTTAATTCCCACACTTAAAACCATGTTACAATTTTGAAAAATAACATTCAGCCATTTGGGGACCACATTTTGAGCCATTTCACAGGTTTGTGCTTTTAAAGGATGAAAAGGGAGTAGTTTAGTTGCCCAAGTCCCCCTGTTACATTTTTACCTCTAACTTCTGCCAAAAGCAAAAGAGGGCTGAAGTCCCAATTTCTTGTAACACTCCAAAAGGCCAGAATACAAATTGGCACCTGTGAATTCTCAAAATGCTGCCTGCTTCTATACCAGGAGATTCATCACTGCAATAATCAGATTGCCCTGCCTTCAGATTTTGTGCTTCTTTTGCTGAAGACTTTCTAATACACGCTGCAGTAGATTCTCAAGAATGGACAGCTGCTGGTTGGTTATGACAAGCCTGAAAATTTTGATTTTTACAATCAGGCTTTGGTAGGATCCTCAACAGTCTTTTTAGGACTTGAACTGTTTTCTGATGGCCAGTTTATGTACTCAGCACATTCAATTATTTTCTTTCTCTACCATCCTTGCCATCTAAAATATTCTTTGCATGTAGACAACAGGTAAGTCAAGTAAAGTCTATAGTCTAACATGGCTTCCTGAAAGCTATTATTCCACACACAGAGATGATTTCTTTTTACCCACGACCACCATCATCCACAAAATTTTTTATACATAACTTTTTTGGGATTGGGGCTGATCCTAGAGACCAGATTAGAGAAAGAGATTCCACAGGAAATGCTGTTATCATCATGATCATCATCAACTTATGGTGATTGAATACAACTCTATTACAGACTCAAGGAAAGCCAACAGAATGCCCTCCATTCCACCAGCAGCACTATTTAAACTTATTGATAACACTTAAGCACCCAGCACTTTCATCTAATGTGATTTATGGAAACATCAGTTCCAGCAACAATAGTAAAATTTATGATGAGCACTTAGTGCATTTGGGTATTGCCAAGTAGAAAATGCACTTCTATTTTTAAGCCATGATTCTATTTCCCATCCCTCAGCTTCACTCCGATAATCCTCACAAGATAAGGTGGTAAAGAAAATGCTGGTGATCGTGGTAGAAATGGGAATTTGCAACTATGAGGTAAGGAGAGTATTTATATCTGGATGCTTAGGAATCTTCGGTGGACATACATTAGGAAGCCCTATTCTCAATTTGGTTTGGAAAATGAATAAAACCATGAATTGTTCAGAAGCAAACTAGCACCTGAGAATGAACTTCCAAGTCCAGAATTTTATTTCTGAGAAAATTATTATACATGTTATTGCTTTCTCATCTAAAGCTAACCTTCTAAAATCCCAAGGGACCACACTGACTTGGAATTGGGGAATTGTCTGGCTGACACCTGCTCAGAATAAATTGAGTTACAGTCATATTCAGAGTGAAGGATGGATAAAGGCTAGTCATTAATGGTCTTATACCACCTTCTAAATTTAAGTGTCTTCTTCTTGCCAGATGCTCTGAAAAAAAGGTTTGTTATTTTACTGTTTAAGATGCCTAATTCAGGTGAAAATGAAGGGAACAAGAAATACTCAACATATGATCTAAGTGTTTTTAAAATAGACATACTTTATATTTGCTATGCATGAACTGTCCCTTATGGATCTTGCACATGCTGTTCCTCATTTGGATTTATGGATCTGAAACTTTAAAATGTAGATACTAAAAGGCCTTAGTTGATAAATATGTATTCATATAGCCCTACTAGGTAGATCAGACTAGAAACTCTACAGGAAGACCAGAACTACATTTTACTGAAATTGTCAATAATAATTGAATCTTGTAAGTCTGATGGTATCCTACTTCTTCTCCTATTTCTTACACTCCAGTGAATCAGGGAGGTATTTGCATTGTCTCCCTAGAATAGAATAGAATAGAATAGAATAGAATAGAATAGAATAGAATAGAATAGAATAGAATAGAATAGAATAGAATAGAATAGAATAGAAGAATTGGAAGGGACCTTGGAGATCTTCTAGTTCAACCCCCTGCTTAAGTAGGAAACCCTATACCAATTCAGACAAATGGTTGTCCAATCTCTTCTTAAAAACTTCCAAAGTTGGAGCATTCACAACTTCTGAAGGCAAGTTGTTCCATGGATTAATTGTTCTAGCTGTCAGGAAATTTATTCTTAGTTCTAGGTTGCTTCTCTCCTTGATTAGTCTCCATCCATTGCTTCTTGTCCTGCCCCCAAGTGCTTTGGAGAATAGCTTGACTCCCTCTTCTTTGTGGCAACCCTTGAGATATTGGAACACTGCTATCATATCACCCCTAGTCGTTCTCTTCATTAAACTAGACATATCCAATTCCAGCAACTGTTCTTTATATGTTTTAGCCTCCAGTCCCCTGATCATTTTTGTTACTCTTCTCTGCAATCTTTCTAGCATCTCAACATCTTTTTTACATCATGGTGACCAAAATTGGATGCAATATTCCATGTGTGGCCTTAACAAGGCATTATAAAGTGGTATTAACACTTCACGTGATCTTGATTCTATCCCTCTGTTAATGCAACCTAGAATTGTGTTGGCTTTTTTGGCAGCTGCAGCACACTGCTGACTCATATTTAAATGACTGTCCACTAGGACTCCAAGACTTAAAAAAAAATCAAGAACATGGGGGTGTAACTTCAAACTGACAGCAGGGAAGTTCAAAAGTAATGTTAGAAAGTACTGGAAACTTGGAACCAACTTCCAGTGGAGAAAGTGGATCAATAATCAGCAACTGAATTTAAACATACTTGGGATAAACACATGCCCATCATTCAATAAAAAGTAAAATTAAAATTAAAAACAATAAATACATACTGTAAATTAAAAACAAAAAACCCTCGAAGGGCAGACCACTCGATCTTTTTCTGCTGTCACTTTTTAAAATTTCTATCTTTGACTAGATAGTAGTTTTTGAATATTTATTTCAAGATCACCTCCCTTACTCTTTATTTAGCAAATTTTCTGAAAGTTTAATTGCAAGTTATTGAAAATCTATGAGGAATCAAAACAGGAGTTGAAATGTGTTACACTTTAAAAAGACCATTTTTTTCTTTTCAAAAGAAATTTAAGGAATGAATATTGCCTATGAATGCTTCAATTTTGTTAACAAATATGAAAAACAGAAGTAGATATTTTTTTGCTATCCAAGAGCCACATTTAATACTTTTACAGAAGATGGGCCCACAAAGAGGATGGGACCACATCATAGGCATTCAGATGGAGAAAATTTGGGGTTACTTTTTAGAACTATGACTGCTTGCTTTATAGATTACGTTTTTGTTTTTATGACTTCCACATTCAAATGGCAAGCAAATGTGCTTCCAGTTTTTGGGAATCATGTTTCAAGCTGGCTTCAGGAATTGCAAACAGATGAGCTGAAGCTCGTGTTCCTTATCACTTCTGTTAATGAAAGTATTAATACTAAAGTAGCTATTGACTAAGCCTGTGAAAAGGTGACATAACATTTAATATACTTATCCATTTCCCCCAATTTTCTATAAAAAAATATGAACTATTTGCTTGAGAACTGAAGACCATTTTTGTGATGCTCTTCTGCATTACTATTTCCTGAAAGTTAGCTCAGAATTGGCGCTTGACTGCTACTAAAGAGCTGGGGCTCTAAATTGTCCTAATTAATTTTCTTTCAGCTTTCTAAAATAGCTACTGTAAATGCTGGTTTGGCAACTCTAATAGCTACTTTTAATGTTTGCAAGTGTAATACAATTAAAGATTATACTGAAATCTCACTATTTTGAACTTCTCTTTCTTTCTCTTACAAAGGTGAGACACAAACGGAATAAACATACATATTTATGTTTAAGCTCACTGCAATTTCAAGTTTGCCTTTTACTATACTGAAGCTTAGGAGCAAACCCAACATGAAAAATGAGTCCATCTAAAACATTTGTACAAACAAAAGCAAACAAAACGTGTGTAACAGAAATGTCAGCTAAGTCACTTGAATGCCTCAGGAACTTGCTGGGGACATTCAAAAGGCCAGTGTTAATCACATTATTCCCTTCTTAAAAAGCCCAGCTACTCTTTCTGTGGGATGTTTTGTAGCTTGTCAGTAACTTTTTATAGATGGCTCTATTCCAAGTTAGATGTTTACTATTCTAAAGATGCTGATAATCTTTCAGCAGCTTTTAAATATTTAGATATGGAACCATATCTTAGTTTTCTTCTGATGACTTCTTTCTCTTATACTTCTCCTATGGTAGAGATCCAAAAAGATCCTTATATGTTTTGATCAGTGAATGGAATCAGACTGAAACTATTCAGTGCATAGTTTGTGATTCTGAACTAGGTTTTCTAAAATGATGCTTTTCAGATGTGTTAAGTTTACAATTCTCAAAACACAACAGTAGCATCATAAGATCCAGAAGGGCACCAGGATGGAGAAGCCAAAAAACCTCACGAAACTGTAGCACCAACTACAATCTATTGAGTCATTTGCAACCAGTCTTGATGAATTACATTGTTTTTTTGCTTCCCAAATTGTACATTATGCTGAAATGTACACATGGAGTATGACATGGTAAGTTAAAAAAACAACAACACTGTAGTTGAACAATCTTTTGCTAACCTCAGGAATCCATTCTAAAGTTGTTCATTGGTGAACAGTTTCATTTTTATTCTTGCTTGCAACCCTCTAAATAGGATGCTCTTGTACCTGCTGCGCAAGGAGAGACATCTGTCTGCCCTTTTTTTCATCTCTAACAGGAAACAGAGATTTCAGCAGCTTTGGCATCTGAGGCACGAAGGACTTCACAGGATTCAGGTAAGAGGCAGCCAGGCTACTGAGTCCTGAACAGACAAATAAACAAACTAATTCACAATGCTGCTACTTGTCTCTTGAACATCCACAATATTATTGAAGTCTACTTTGAACTATTTCTAAACGTATGGGTTGGCTTTGCTTAATGTTGAATTTGGCTGCCAAGAAACAACCAAACAATTTCCTTCCATTGTTTTGGTGGGAAAAGAAATAAATTCTGTGCAAGTCTTTCTGCCAAAGGGAACCCTGGCCTTGCTCATGACATTAAATCATGACTGTCTATCCAATGTGGTGCTCATTCACCAAAGAAATTAAAAGAAAGTTTCAAAAGAAAATTATTTGCCAAAATTATTTGTCAAAATTTTTGCCCAAAAAGAATCTTATACTCCTATATAAAACCAGGGAAGGGAGGAGGAATCTACAGCTGCAATTGTTAGTTCACATCACTGATTTGCCCTGAAGCTTTTACCTTGGTCTGTAGTGCCATTTTGCTGAGTTGAATCATGGAGACTTGCACTGGACCTGGACTCTGTTGAAATCTGAGAAATATCTTGCTGGCTTTCCCATCGACTCTGGAATTATTAAAAAAATATATATTTGTACAATGATCACATTGAAAATAACCACTCAAAGAGTTTAAAAAATGCTGAAACATACAATGAAACAAGAACAGAAACCTATTGATATCTCATGCTGCAGAGGAAAGGTACAGGCCCTCCTTTTGCTTTTCTGAACATAGGTTAAGATCTAAAATGCCCTGTTGTAAACTGTAGCCAAATCTAAACAGATCTTGGTCTGATCAGGGCCTGAATGGAAGACATCCATTCAGGCAATATTATTTACAGAACATTAAGTTTAACTAAGTGAATGTAATAATTAAGTATGTATATCAGCTTTCCCCGTTGTGGCACCCCCCATGGACCTTGCATCAACCTTTCAGAATTTTCAGCTACCATCATGTTGGCTAGGGAATTCTGGGCATTGATATTTACATATCCAGAGGAAGCATAACTTCAGAAAGATTAGTAAAGTTAATTGTGCTATACTTCTTCCTATGTTGTGTTCTCTAAAAGAACAGACTTATATCAAAAGTTCTTAGAACTTTCTGTCCTGAGAGAAGTATAGTTTCTTGTCATTTAATATTCTGATGGAGATGTACTATTCAGACTGAGGATAAACAGTGCAATGAGGTTGAACATCTAATACTCTCTGGAGCCGTGTGTCAGAACTAAAATTCAGGGCATGTTTAATAGAGAGACTGAACTTACATACTAGCCACTAATAGAACCTCTGGCCCTTCATTATTAATTTATGGTTGTTGGCATAGAATGGGCACTCCAAAGCAGCATTTAATAAGACAGCCTCTGTCTGTACAATAGCAATCAATGGAAAAAGCGTCTGTAACAGTTGGCATACCTGCACTAGAATGCTAAAGGAGTTACTGAGTTGGCAAGCATTCATTCTGAAAAAAGGACAGAGTTATCTTTTTTCAGTGTAATCTTATTTGTTGTTGTTGTTAATTGCGAAGTCGTGTCTGACCCATTGCGACCCCATGGACAATGTTCCTCCAGGTCTTCCTGTCCTCTACCATCTTCTAATCTTATAGGCTATCTCAAAGTCTATGGAAAGTCTGTCGGATGTAATTTAACAACCACTAGATAATGAAACCTAGACAACAGTTGTGGCTTTTGCAAGTGAATCACCCAAAAGAAAGAGGAAAAGTACAATGCAAGAAATTTCTACCTACTTCACAGTGGCAACCAACTGAAATTATTTTATTGCAATGCAGCCACAAGATTCTACTATGAATGAAGTTGTTTGTTCAAGAAGTAGTGGGTACCAAGAACAACACTTGATATCTGAACAACCCACTTTCAGTTAGTTCTTAGAGAAGTCCATGCTCTTTCTGATTCAACCTGCCTAGGTTTCCCCCCCATGCTCTCTTCTTTTGAAATAGATAAAAGAGAAAGAAGGATGGCTATGTTTTATACAAGAAGCTTGTAACAAGGAAAGAACTTATTCATTGCTTGTCTGGAGAAATGTTTGCCAAATGACTGGGCACCAAGGTCAGACTTCATTAAACTAATTCTCATCAGTCCATTTAAGAACATCATGCTCTCTGTCTCACATTGGGACAAAGTCATTACAGAGGTACCTTGGCATCTTCCAAATAAGCCTTATAATTCTCTGTCTTCTTCCTACAAAAGCCCCACCATCTGTCATTCATCCCTTTTATAGAACTGCCTCATTATGCAACTCAGAGCAGATTTCCTACATGGTCCATCCACCACTCTCAAATTTGGATAATATGGGAAACAGGATGCTTCTTTAACTGGATCCTGCCTGCTCCAGCAGAGAAACTGGTATACAGGGATCCCTAATCTGGAAAAAAAATGAAGCAACAACCAGGGTTGCTCAAACTGAATTGGGGGCTAAACAAGGTATCTGTTTAAATGGAGGTCCACTGAATCCACTCATTCTGAAAACATTGTTTGCGTTATTCTGCCATGAAAATGGAATTTTATTAACAGAATATTTTAAAAAATGGCAAAACCAGTACTATGAATTCTACATTCAGTAACTTATTATTACTTATATTCTTGTTTGATGGATGCATACTGTCACCCTTCTACAAATGGATGGCAAACAACACCTAAAGACTATAAAAACAATATTAACAAACAGTAAAACCTACAGTGGTTACTGAGGCCATATTTGTTAAATTCTGATGGGCACAGAAACTTCCCTTTATCATATACTATCTTTAGCTTTCTCTTTGGTTATCAGTAGTTACAAAAAATAAATCAGGATTTTATTTGATCTGTGCAATTCTCCTTTCCACTTTCACTGTCTTGAATTCTGCATGGCTAACCACTTCATTTTGACATAATTGCTTGCGGCTGGTAATCAACAAAACAAAGGCCACCCTTTATTCATACAAAGTAGGCAATAGGAACTCAGTAAAAGTCCTGAGAATCAATGCCAGTCTGGGAATGCAAAACTATTAGGGAAGGAACGTATATTCCATCATCTGATAGTTCAATGTCTTGCAAAAGTTTGCAAATTGTATCAGTATAACATGCCTAAACCAGCCAACTATAGTTTATGCTGTAAAGTGGTACTAACCTTGAATTAAGCCTTCTTTGAAACACAATGGAAGGAGTTAAAAAAACTCCTAGATGTATATGCTACTGCATTGTATAATCTGACACATCATAGGCTTATGATGTATGACTGCACCACTGAAAGACTGGATGAATAAAAATCATCTCCTTGTGGGTTGAATTTCAAGCTAGCCATTTACTGAAGTCATTCTAACTCTTCAATGTGTGCTGAAGCCATCTATAAGAATGCATAAATCCTAGCTGGATTTATGGACAGAACAGTTCAGGAACAGCCAATTTGGCCAAGCAAACTAATCTCACATTGCAGGCTCCCTAAGGTAGGTTATACTTACTAGATCAACTGGAATAGATTGGCTTTAAATTCAATAGAAGTTTAAAAAAAGGTATACTACTTCATTCTACAGTGATGTAATTTTTGAAATTCACTGATACAAGATGTGGGAATGATTATAAGTTTAAATGGCTTCATTTTCTTTTGCATGCTGTCCTGAGCATATGAAAAGATAGCAAATAAATTATTTAACTAAGTAAATGAATTAAGCAGATGTATGGAGAATCGGTATATAACCCAGAAACACTGATTCTTATGCCACCTTAAAGATTTACAAATATATTATTGGGTGGATGTCCATAGAATACAGTCCATGGACACAGTCTATCGAATGCCTGTTATATAGTCCTGTGATAGAATATTCAGAAAAGAATGCATCGGATTATACTCCATACATCTAATAAAAGGGACTGCCATCCACAAAGGATTATGCTAATAAGATTTCTTAGTTTTTAAAGTGAAACCAGACTTTCTGCTGTTTGTACTACAAAACACTAATATAGCCACCACTCTGATTTCCATCCTTAATTGTTTTATTGCATTAGCTATCAGGGGCAATTCATGGGAAAAAAATTTCATTTCAGGCCTGCTTGTGCTGTTTCTATAGAAATCTGTCTGGCCACTATTAGAACCAGGATACCATGCTTCTTGTCTGATCCAGCAGTCCTCATGTACATTACAACATGCATACACTTGAACGAGTTCATTCTTCATTCTCAGTTTGTTCCATCCTCCTGTCAGTAAAGTTTAGATTGTAAACTCCTTGAGCTGAACAGCTAACTTTTTGGATTTAGATAACTTTCTTATGTTATCTGTACCAGTGCATGCTATTTATTTACATATTTCAATAGTCAGATCTCTCCAACTGCTCAGATAAAGCAGGCAAGCTCTCTGCTTCAGAACCAAGGCCACTTCCAGACCAAGATTGCATACCACCACAATTAGAAAGATTACTACCTTTATGCTAGGTTAATGAAGCAAAGAGGAAAAAAGGAAGCACGCTGGCAGCAAATCCAAAGCAGAATGTTAGGATTAGAGTTAAGTCACAGAAGACCGTGGAAAAGCACTCCAGAAAGGGATACTTTGTTTATCCTATTCATTAGGTGAATCTAATGAATTTTTTTACCTCTGGTACGACCTTGAGACACTGACACATGCAATGAGGGATGGATATCGTTGAAGGGTTAAGAAATAAACAAATGCATAAAAAAAGGAAAGAAAAACAATGAACGTTCAGATTATGAATTATTCTTCATGCTGAAAATGTTGTTCAAGGATTCTTGAACTATTTTCCACATGGGCCTTGGCTAAAAACAGAACCAAGCCCCTGCTGTGATATTAAAGGGAGTCACATAATAATTCTGTGCCAACAGTGGACTTAATCATGTGCCCATTAGAAGACTGATCCAAAATCTATGCCCAAAAATATAGCTGAAATTTAGGAAAGCTATAATCCCCTTCACCATTACAATAGCCATACTTTTTAAAAAAACTATCCTTTAAAAAAAGAAAAAAAAGAAAGAGAAAAAAAAAGAAATTAAAAACAAGACTCTGCTGATGTCGAGGCCTGGAGTGGTAGCAGCTGGCGGAGGCTGCTGAAGGGCCCAGGCCTCTACTTCAGGCCCAGTCTTGCACTAGGCAGCCTAGATTAGGGATGACATAGGCAGATGTGAAATCTGGGCAGATTCCTCAGTTGCAGTGGTGGTGCTAGGGCTGAAATTGAGGCTTGGGGGAGTAACAGCTGGCTGAGAGTGCTGAGAGCCCCAGGTCTCTACTTTAGGCCCTGACTTAGGCCTGGTGCTGCTGCCAACAAGCACCATATTGCAAGCTAGTAGGCTGAGGTTGCTGTAGCATTGCACTACATGCACCACATATATATACACCCACCAGCTTGTGCATGGTCTATATGTGGCCTACACTGGGCTCCCATTCTCTGAGGCACACCCTTACATTCTTCTTAACAACCTATGTGACCGCTTAATAACTGCAACTGGAAATACCTGGATTGCAGTTGTTGAGTGAAGCATTTCATTTAATGACCACTTTGTTCAACAGCTGAGATCCTGGTCTCAATTGTGGTTATAGGTTGAGATTATACTACCCGTATAATGTAAATTAATACCAAATAATATAATTAATTAATATGTTATAGTTTTGATTCTTAGAGTGATTTGAGTATAAAAACATTGACAGAAAATAAATTATGTCTTTTAACAACCACATCCCGTCTTGGATCATGAAGCTTAGTTAAAACTTAACAACTCAGTTTAGAACTCATAATAGGTAAAAAATAAGTAAAGAGGTTTTCAAAATCAATTTTCCCAAATAGTTAAATTCCTATTTTTCTGAAAAAGTGCAAGTTCCCAAACACATTAAAGAAATTCATTAACAAACTGAATGCTTACTTTGTAAGAAGCAAGGCTGTATGATGGATTTAGATCTTGGCGGCTTCCTGATAGCTGAAAGAGTAACAATAAAATTTGACTTTCAAATAGAGTCTTCAATCTGCAAAACGTACAGCAAACATAGAGGCCAACAAAGCAGCAGAAAGTGAAGATACTTCCTATGCCTGCAGTAGGACCCCAATATGATGTTCCCAGATGAAGAAATGCTCATCTTCCTAACAAACTCATTGTGGAGCTACTCTTTTCTTCTCTTCACCCTCTTCCAACTATGTTTTGGGTGGATTTCAGTTTGAGTATTATAGACTCACTCGATTGACATTTGGTGAACTGAGACTCTTCCGATAAAGTTTTCCCTTTCCTGTTAGCTGTTCCTTCACAGCAACCTCCTGCAAGGAAGAAACAGATCATTTTTTCTCTAATATTCACGTACAAATAAAAGCAAGTTTGAACTGAATCAAGTGCAACGAATGTTAGGCATTTCTGTAGGGACCATCGAGAACATTTATGCAGGTGAATGTTACTGGCTTAGAATTATGGAAAACGTAGCCCAATATATCTTGCTGGAGACAGCTAAGACAGGCACGTAATCAGAGACTAGAACAAATTGTCAGATAAATGCAGTTTAAGACAGCATGCAGACCTTGAATAACAACATGAATCCAACTGTGGAATAAGACAACACTAAGCCCGTCCAAAAAACAATACACCATTTTTTCCAAAATTAAGTTATATCAGGGATGTCAAACTCAACTGAGGGCCGCATCAGCATTGCGGTTGTCCTCGGGGGGGGGGGGGGCTGGGTGGGTGTGGCCCACTGGGTGGGTGTGGATGGAGTGGGTGTGGCCTACTGGGTGGGCGTGGTCAGCTCTATATTGTTCACACCAAGGGTGCCTGCCTGGGCAGATCTGAGGGTCTCTGGCAGAAGGGGGTGGAACCGGGGCAAGCGTCAAGGCATGGTCCATTTCTTCATTCCTCACAAAGGGTGACACCTACCCAGCATGCACCCAGGGGGCAGGGCCGACACAGCAGGGGCTGGTTCCTCGGTGTTTTTAGACGGCCTTGTGGAGGTAAGACTGAACTCGTTTCAGCATAGATGGCCCACCACAAAATTGTACATTGGCTCCCTTCACTTTTTCCAGGATGGCTTTGCAGGCCACATGAAACCACTTTGCGGGCTGCATCCAGCCCCTGGGCCTTGAGTTTGACATGTCTGCACTATATTATAATGATAATATAATGATAATATTATAATGATAATATAGTCAGAGAATTATTATCTCCCCTTCCCTACAAATATTGAAAAGGCCCCTGTACTAGTGGTCAACCCACTTCTGGGTTGAAAGTAATAGACCAAAAGTGAGGCTGGCCTCAGTCCCTCAGCATAAACATGATTGCTGCCCCCTATTCTATTTTCTTTGGAAATTGACCTATTGTTGTTCTATTTTCTTCTTGTTGTTCTATTTTCTTTGGAAGTGAGATATAATCCAAGTAAAATAAAAAAAAATAGTTTGGTTCATCAACATTCCTAAGACCACTTTAATTTTTAGGCCTTTAACAATAAAGTTAGAGTAGATGTTATAGTTCCATACCCTAAAGCTGGTGTATGGCTCCAGAACCCTTCAGGATCATACATTTGAAATTCAGCACAGTGTATTATTATGACTGCCAGTATCTGGCAACAATTTCCTGGGATTTTTAGATGAGAAACAGATGAAACCTGCAGGATAAGCCTTAGAATAGGCAATACCCAGCCTTGCTCATTTATGATGTGGTTTCGTGCATTTGTTACTGAAGCGTACCCCCAAAATGACACTGGAGCTCTATAGAGGTTTCCACACTGTATAGCATTTCCCTTACAATTAACTAACCTGGCGCAATCGATCAAGAGTAAGGATGTTTTCTACAGCCAACACACTTCGAAGGTATTTTTCTATATGGACTTCTGAAGCAGCAGAAGCTGCATCTTCAACATTGGCCGCCATTCTTGCTAATGCCTCACGTTCCTCTGCCCCCTGAGCATCCTGAAAGAGAAAACCTCTCAAGTTAGCAAACCCACTGGCACATAAAAAGTAAAAGACACATAGGCCATAGGACACTTAACATGCTGAGCTATATTTGTGATGGCAAGTTTAGAACTAGTGGGGAGGATAAATCCCTTCAAAAGTATCTCTATATGGTTGAAGAGATACTCTCTCGTTCTCTTTCTTTCTCTAGTACACAGACACACTCTGATACACACAAAATTGGCACATCTCAGGTAGACTAAAGATTGAATTTAAAATAAGGCAATGGTGGTTCACACCACTTCGGCAGAACCGGTAGCTAATTTTTTGTTGCCCAGGCCCAGAATGAACTTCCGGAAGCAGCATCCACACAGAGAACTGGTTGTTCACATGTCTGAATCCCACCACTGAAATAAGGTGTTTTTCAATAGTCAATATTCACTCAACCATTGAAAGTTCTTCATTTTATTTTTGTTTAGGTTAAGCATTTTAAATATAAATGTTTCTGTGCATTTTTTTTTAAAAAAAACTTTTTAAAAGTCTAGATGCAGAAATGGGACAGAGTAGGCTTCACAGATATTGAGAAATAGTCATGACGTAGAAAGAAACTAATCTTTACCTCCAAGTAACTGAACGCACTGTAGATAGCATTAAGTATTAAGAAACAGGGTCTCTAAGATAAGATGAGATGAGCTGCTAGATATATATTCCTAACATGGCCAATGTTGAACTAGGAATATGGGAGAGGTTTCTTCCTGGCAATTCTGGCAGTTTCCTCCATGGGAAATTGTCCCAATCAGTTGTGACCATATGTTAAAAATCCAGCATGTGGATTCTCTTAGGATGGTTGTATACCTTTAAGACTAGCAAAAAAAAAAGTCGTTTGTATTTGCGTGGGCATATTTAGAAGCATTATTATTTGAATTCCCCATTAAATTCACCTCTGGGATATTTGAAACAATTTCAAAGGTGATTCCACAGCCAGGTACAGAACTCCGGTAAGACATTCTTCTCAGGAAACTCTGAGCAAAACCCTAGAGATGAAAAAGAGGTCTTGTAGTTTCATATAAGTCAATACTAAAACCAGGTATCTCTCTTTCAGTAAGATTAAACCAATACTCATATCAGCAGCAGATTGTTTAGCATGAAAGAAAAGCAAACAGCATCAGATTAGCCAAAGGAAAGTCAAAACAGAGCCATTTAATTTTGGGAAACCCCATTTGTGTGGTGGAAAATACTCCCTTGGCCATCTTCATGCCATATATATTACAGATGAACAACCTGCTCATTCACCTTTAATAAAGCAACCTCCTCTGTACCCAATTAAACATATTACTTTCATGATCATACTATCAAAACCCCCTTATGCGGGTTATTCACCCATTGTGAAATGACTCCAGTTTTGGAACCCTTTAATGTTTTTCCTCCACTGTGTGGAAAGATTGGGGATATGTGTGGATTTAAGCAGGCTTGTGTCCCATTAAAGAAAGGCAGAGAGGTTAAACATTGCTCAGGTTCCCAGGAAGTAAATATGTGAAACTGACCCCAAATTATTTATGCTTGATGCTTGCATCATTATAGGATGCTGACAAGGTGACTGCTTAATTGTCATGCTATTTTTCTTCTTTTTTCCCCTATGCATGTGCATATTTACTTGTGAGATTGTAATTACTGATGCTTTGAATTGCCAACAAGCCTGATTTCTGAATCCCAGGCCACTGGGATCATTACAAACAATGATATAAGAGGATCAGAGACATTGTTTATTCTGACAGGAAGGTTCATGAGGTTAAAATCTTGACTCCTGACTTAATGCAGAGAAGTTACTAGGTACTTGGAAGATTGTTGATACTGTTTGTAATACATATTTGGACTGTGTATTGACAATAGACAGAATAGCCTAGTGAGTTTAGCAGGCTGCATAGAAAATAAATTTATAGAGAATTTATGCTAATGGCTGTAATGAACTACACCAACTGAGCATCTTTGGCATTGGCTATCCATGGTCAATGGCAGAGAACATGCTTTGAAGCTTTGATCTCCAACTTCTCCAATAAAGTGACCTCTAGAAGCTGAAAAGTCCCACATTTGAAATGTTGGAAAGCTGCTGCCAGCCAGAGGAAAAATGACCCAAAGATCTAAAACAATACATAACACCTCTTTCTATTATGGAAGGGATATAACCCTGTGTATATAAACACATGTGAGACTGCTTTCTGGATTTCTTTCTAGAGTAATCTCAGATAGTTTACCACGTGAACACATTGCTATAAGGCCAAGTAAATATAAACTATCTCAAGCTTGTAAGAAATATGTTGGGTATCCAATTTTAGTAGCCCAAGGAGAATGTCACTGAGCACCCTAGAATTATCACCCAATTTCATGTCAGTTTCTGAAAACCCACTTGGGTACCCACCAGATGTAAGTCTCAATCCTTAGCTGGCATGGTATTGCTGAGAATACTGAAAGATAAGGTCCACACATATGGAGGTTGGAATTGGCTAGTTTATGCCATTATAATTTACATGCTGTAATAAACCAGCAAGACTAGGTCTGTGGAAATGTTTACACAATCAGTGTCTCTTGAATTTGGTTAAGCATCTTCTTTCTATTGTCTCACCCTCACTCAAAACTGAGCTGTTGGAGAGCAAGGCAAAAATAAGCAAAGCAGATAAAGCACAAACCAAAGATCCAACAACAACATCATTTCAACACACAGCAAAAAAAAAAGTTTCTATTACAAATGCCACCAAACAATATTGACTATGTGGGATGATGAGAGATGGGACAATCTGCTGGCAGCATAGATTTGCTGAAGCGTGTTTTGCTAACATGCAGAAAAGCTCATTAAGGTACAACCTATCAAATACTGCCTATAAAAGTCACTATGAGATGAACTATCTATTTCAGCAGTAAGCAATGCTGACAACATGAATGATCCTCAGTATTTCAGCTTCTTGCACACACAGAAGCCATACAGAAAAAGATGCTTGTTGTAAAAGTGATAATATTACTACCCTCATGGAACCTCTATGCAGCATTCTAGCAACTGCCATGGAACCAGGAGCAAGGAACAATGAAAGAAAGGAAAAACAGTCAATTAGATAAGGAAATCTGGCTACAGAGAATACCCCAGACTAAAGTCTAAAACTGCTCAGTAGATGGAAAAACACTATGAATTCCAATCATACTGAATACAGTAATTCCACCAAGGTCTGAGTACAAACAACTGGAGGCTAACTGATTAATCCTAAAGTCCATTTAAGCTTTCATTGAAGATCTTCTGATAAAAGGAAGCTGTTTTTTTTGCTGAATACACTTTAAACGTTTAATAATAATTATAGTTTTGCCCTAGTATTTTCAGTCTCATGCTGAGATATTTGATGGAATAGTATCTTTCACAATTCTAAAATTTAAGAGCCATGAATGAATCTTAGATGACCTGTTCATTGCAACAATATGCATACTATTGATAGTACACCCTGCTCCCTACTGTCCCAAATCATAAAAACAAGTTGAAAGTCTTTACACATGAAGATATTTTGAAAGTACATCTGAATTCCAGCATAACCATCTTCAGGGATGCAATAAATGATCCTAACCACTCAATCATACAAAAAAACCTTATTTAAGAGAGATATAAGATCCTGCACAAAATATTTAAGATTCTTTGATGCAGCAAAAAGATAGCAAAGTATAGAGAATATCAAGTTTTACCAATAGTTTAATCCTGGATAACCATGTCTGGACCTAAAAGGATGCTAAAATGACCCTGAATTTTAACCCAAATATTTGGATCATAGTATTCATTGAAATCTATAAAACAATGTGATGTATTTCAGATGTATTTACAATTTCTGGAATTCTGGCAGGCTAGCTAGAGAAGGGAAAACAGGATGGGCAGAATTTTAAAGAATTTAATATTGGGATATTACATGATCTATCTGGCTAGTAGCTATTGGAAGCCCAAATGGTCAGCTAGATGGATCTTTGGCTTGATCCAGAAAGGTAATGGTTTTAATAGTGTACCTGTTTGCCATAAACATTGACGCAGATCCGCTTACGAAGGACAAGCTGCATTTCTGCTGGATGGCTGAGCTGTACTGTAACTCTCACAATCAGGAAGACTCTCTGTTCAGCCATTGTTCCTCTGCTAAGCTGTGCACAGTTGTGAACTGTGGAATCCCAGGAAGCTTCAGCTTTCACCTGCAAAATCATCCAGAAAAAAATAAAGACAAATTATAGCTAGGCTGAAGTTCTAGTATTAGAAGACTGTGCACTTTGCCACTTAGTACCAATTCAAACATAGTAGGCAACTCACATAGTAAGGTTATGTTTTATTTGTTTTCCAAAAAAGAGGACATCCCCGCATGGAAGTGATGGACTACAATAACCCAGCTGGTTCCCAGGAAGGAGGGAACACATTCCAAGGAGTGGGGTGACATAAGAGACAGCACAGTCCAGAGATGGATTGTGGAAAGAGGAAGAGATTTAGGATAGATACTCCCTAGAATCTCTTTTTTAAAAAGATATTTTACTGATTTTTTTTACAATAACTATCTTTAAGTGCTTGGTAAACAGTGTTTGTCTGGGTTCATATATTTAAAAAACAATCAATAATAATTAAATTCTATAATTCCATAATCAATATACTGATTAATGATATATTGCTTTGATCTTCTCTTCTTTCAGTAGTATTCTCCTTTTGTCAACATTAAACAAATAGTTCTTAATATTTCTGATACATATAAAGTTGGATATAAACATTTTTCTTATGTTTGTACAAAAAACAGTAACATCAGCATATAACATCTTTTCTGATCAGCTTATGTTTCAATCATTTTTATAAAAGTCATCTAGTTAAGTCACTATATATCCTGTTTTCAAGATTCTTATTTAAACTTAATTTCCCCTCTGTATTCAAACCATTCTTATCAGTCATAATTTTCTCAAAATTAATTACCTTTAAATATCCAAACATTCCATTCACATACACCATCCCAATATTTTTACATTTCATATATTATAAAAAAAATACTATGCTACTTGTATATCTTGTCCCTCTTACTGTAAGGCCCCTTTATATCCATAATTTATCTATTCTTTTAACCATATTCAAACAAGTGTTTAATCATATAGTACTCCATTTGGTAAGTCAAATCAAATCTCTTGAATCTAACTCTAGCTTTCTTCTTTTGCCAAGTAACTTTCCAAGTCAGTGTGTTCAATTTGCCAGGGGATTCTTCCTGTATTTTTGTAAATATTGTTGGGAATAGACGAGACAAGTTAAGTAAGACATGCGTTTTTTGTCCCCCAAACTTTAATGATTCTTCTGTCTGCTCTATAATCCATTTTGTTAGATCTTCTTTCCTATCTTCAGGTTTGTTTTGAAGCCCTGAAAAATAAGATATATTTTCCATTTACATTGTTATGGCAAAATCTTGCAGGTTTTCTTTTGTTTGTATTAAGCTATGGTTCTCTTCATCTGTAGCTTCACTCTTTGGGTCACTGTCCTCTGGTTTGTGTTCTGTTATTTGGTTTGTTTGTTCATTCTTTGTCGAGAGTTTTTTAATTGTAGGTTTAGGTTAAAGATGTGCTCATTTATGTCATCAAAGTTGTTTTTAATCTCATCATGATTTGACACCATTGTCATTTGAATCTGTCACAGCATTGCATACATTTCCTCCTGGAAAATATTTGCCTTGTCTTGGAGTATTGCTCCTGCAGGTCTCTGATATTCCAGACTGGGGCCTTCAGAAGGCGATATTAATTGTGGTTTCCTGCCACTTTTAAATAGATATGCAACAAGATAGGAACCAGTTGATCATCTCAGTAAGAAATAACCACACAAGATACTTGCTCCTTGTCCTTTAACTTCCAGATGATAAATTATAGTTTCAAACTAGCTTCAAAATACATTAGTGGAGTGGGAACCATTAAGAGCCAAAGGATCATGCCAGGCAGGTTTTCCTAAGGCTGTTATAACACCTCCCAGTTGCATTGAGAGTCCCTTCCCGCTCCAGTGCTTGGGTCCTGCCTTACCTCATTCTCATGGTGCTTTACAATCTGTAACTCAAAGAATTCATCTTCATCTTCAGCAATAAGAGTAGCATCCCAACCACCAGCTTCTGGCTCATCAAGATTATCCTGAGAGCTGAAGTCATCTGCTATAAAGGGGGGACACAGAGAGAGAGAGATTCAGTAAGCAACTGTGCACAATATAATATTTTTAGAAAGGTTTGGACACCACAGCTATGCAAGTGATTTGGGTTCAGTTTCCAAAAGTTGTTTCAAAGGCACACAGGAGCTCAAGTGTAGTAGGGGTAGTCCTTGACATATGACCATAATGGAGCCTGTCCATTATGGTTATATGTCATGACAAACTGATTTTACATTTTTGTGTGTGGATGTTAAGCTAACATTGAGGTTGTTAAGTGAACCAATGGTTCATTATGGGCACGATTTTGCTAAAAACCAGAAGTGCTGGTTTTCAGCAAAAAACACTGTATTATGTGCTCATGAGACTGTTGCTGAGTGCCCAAAGGTTGGTCACATGACCTGAGGAGGGAGCCTGAGCTTCAGCACTTCAAATCCAGTTTGTAAGTCCCTTTTGTAACTTCAAATGGTTGCTAAACAACCTGTTGTGTTGTAAGTCGAGGTCTACCTGTTTTTGTCTAAAGCTATGTTTTTCAATTTTGTCAGTTTTTCAGACTGCTGGCTGGGAAATTCTGAGAGTTGAGATCTATTCATCTGAAAGCTGCCAAGGCTGAGAAACAGTGGTCTAAAGCAACTTCATGTTAACTCACGATTGCACAACTGTGATTATAAAATTGTAAAATCACAATAACTAACTCTTAGTTCCAATGATGAGGATATTTTGTGAGATTAAATCATGTAAGCATCCTACTTGAATCACTAAATTTATTTGTCTCAAAGAAATAAAAGAAATACCATGATTGAGATATCATTTAAATATTTACTTCAAATAAGACAAGTAGACAATAGTAGACCAAATTGGCCATATGAGTTTCAACCTGATCCCCATTGGTTTGTAAGCTGGGCAAACAATTTGACTAACAAAAATGGAATATTTTTATTCTTTTCCTTATCCAGTCCTCACAAGGAGACACATGTAGAGCTTCCACTGTGAAGTTAAGAAATCTGTGTGGCTGCTCCAACAGAAGAAGTGGAAGAGTTTTATGGTTAGAAAAATTAAACAGAGGGCTACAGCCTGAAAGAGTAAACACCGGGCATTACTTAGACTACATGCCCAGCATCTCTGATAGCCTCCAATAAATTTTCAAGATGAAAAGGCAAAGTTGCAATGCACAAAGCAAATGCTCTTGTTCTGGAGAAGGGAAGTAAAGGAGAAGAAAAAGAAGAACATATGGCTGACAGGACCTCTTATAGTTCCATGAAGATGGGCTCCAGCGTGAGTCTGAAAACTTGGAAGAGTACATCTTTGGTTCTGGTTACTGGCCCAGATTCAACCTCTTATAACTGCTTATAGGGCTGTTTTTCACTTACCAAAAAATACTCAGCACATCCCCTTTGTATCCCTTTTCTTGAAATTCACCTCCCTTCATATTGCTCTTATCTCACATTGTTTGCCATGGTAAACTTACCATTTAAATCAAGGAAAATGACTGGAATGTGTGTCTCCATACCAGGCACAGGGGTCCTAAAAGAAAACAAAAGCCACGAACCACACTGGCATATCAATGCAGGAGAGTGTTAATGCAGGACATGTTCCTGATGATGCATAGCCAGTGTATATTACATTCAGTACCCGCGTAACTCTAGGACAAGGCAACGATAACCTTGATGAATGTAGCTCTAGCTTAATTTTTTTCTTGCAGATGTAAAGGACAATCAGTAATTTTCAGGATCAGTGTTCAGTCATGGCAGAATTCTCATCAGCAAGCACACAAATATGCATGTCCATTTCAAGGAACTAGATTTTCTTATGTGCTGTAATTTATGTAGCTAACTAAGTGCAAAGATACATGTCTGCCAGGGAAGGGAGAGCAAATAACTAGGGCTTCTAGTTTTCATGGATATGCAGAGAAAAGAAGGTTGATCAAGTGAATGACTGAAGGCCCCCAAAACAGTTCCTACCTTCTACAGATTGAACCAGAAGTAAGTTGTGCCACCTTTTGACAATCATTTCTCCAAAATCCAAAATATAGCTAAAACAATTGTAGGCATAGAGATTATGGGGATATAGAACCATTTCTGGGTCAAGGATGACACTACAGCTTTGACTGATGTACTGGTATCACACTCAAATTAGTAGATAGCAGGTGCATCTGCAGATTGATTAGACAATGGAAGTCCCGCTCCCTTTTTATCTCTAAGCAACATAAAAAAAATGGAGCAGAGTTTCTATCAGGCAACCATCTTGACCCAAAAGGCTGGAAATTGGCAAAAAACATTGTAAATCAGTCATGTAACCATGGAATGATACAACTGGCCATGTGTATGTGTGCGTGCATGTATGCAGTTGTCAGAACCCAGAACTGAGTCATAACTAGCTTTTGAGGGGAGACTTTGTCACTAAGCAACCTATCATTAAGCAAGTACTACCACTATGTGTAACATAGTGGTAGTACTATGATGATCCTATGAGATATATAGTATATGCTATCTGAAATTGCCATCTAGATCATTTTTTCCATACCAATAGTTATATTTCTTACTCTACACATAAGAAAGAATGACTCTTCCCAGGGATTCATCTCTAAGACAAATAACATTACTTACGCATTTAAAGGTGTCTTTTCACAGCCATAAGGACTGGAAGCTTTATTTTTTTTAAGAATACCAAGATTCTCAGGAACCCAAATTCTACATTCAGTGAACCCTTCCTATACTTTTATGGGATGGCAAAGATTGCAGGGGTTTTTGATATACTTTCAATATTCTGAAAGGACGATTTTGCAAAATATCTCTGTCTACTCAGGACTTATAAATGCTGAATCCAGGTTAATCTTACATGCAATACCACAAGGAAAGAGAGGCTTTTAAGTGAATGAGCCAGGCAATTGCTATTCATTTTTTTTCTTTTAAATCAGCTAAAGTGCAGTAGCAATAAATATTGATTCAACTCCTACAGAATATTGTAATTAAACTTTTGTTTAAAAAATCTGCTATTTTAAAGAAAGTGCATAGAGACTAAGGATTTTTCTCAAATATCCTCAGTATTACTTACTATTACATTTCCTATTCTTCTTCAACTCAGGCACTGTTTAAAAACCTCAGATAGAGACTATTCCAAAGGCTGTTTAGTTGTCCTGGGGCAGCTTCCAAAATATGTATTAGATTTTCTTTTGGCATTGCAATCAAACCTGATTAATTGTGCAAACACCAAGGGCAACCATATTTAGTAGGAAATTATACAAACTATGTTCTGTTGAGTTTTACAACTGCATTGTACTGCCTCAGATGTGATGATGGTCCCATATTTGGATGATTTTCAAAGAGGACTGGACAAATTCAAGGAGTGTAGTTTCTCAGTTACTACTATTGGATGTCTACCTACTCATTACTCAAAGCCAGTAGATTTTAAACACCAGCTGCAAGTAAGTAACAACCCTGACATGTTTGTGAGCTTCCTATGCACATTTGGCCACTATGTGACAATGAATGCTGGATTAAATGGCCTAATAGGGCTTTTCATGTGATCCACATATATTCCTATTCATAATATTACTCTCTTTCAGGGTAAATAATATTATGCAGAGCACAACAAGGAATGAATAAATAAATAAATAAATAAATAAATAAATAAATGGCATGAGAAAAAAGAAAAGGAAACATAGCTAAATCTAGTTCATTATACCTCTCCAGAGCTTTCTAGCTTATCAGCTGCATCCAAGCATGATTATCTTAGTTTTTTCCCCTTTCTTCTTAACGCTTTCACTTTTCCTTCATAGATTTGTTTCACAGTGTCATCCTCATTCTTTCTGTCTATATGATCAAATATTCATTGCATTTCTTTTGCGTTGGTCACTCTTTTCTATATTCAGTTCACACTGAGTTGGCACCTATTAAGTTTTTGATCCTATCTCTTGTTGTTATATCACACATATATTTCTTAAATGTCCCTCAACTTACTTCGTTGTACTCAACTTACTTTGTTTTTCCTGACACAATTAACTCTCACTTTTAAATTACAAAATGGGCAGAAACAAGTTCTTATATGCAGACATTTTCCCACCTTTCAACAAGCAATAATTCCTTGCAACAGGCCACATATTACTCACTAGTTATCTTGCACTTGCACATCTAGTATTTGGGTTCTCAATCAATAACATGGTGTCATTTACAAACCAAGTACAAACACATTTAAGCCTCCAACCCCTATAACTCTAACATCATGATTAGTATTCCTTATATATTACATTAAACAATCAAGAAAACAACATTCTTTCTCACTTTTACTCCCTGCCCAACTTTAACTATTTACTAGGCATTTCATTCATTCTCATGCATATCTTACAGCCATAATATCCCACTCTTACCATTTTCAGAAACCAATCTTCTCTTTACCTTTCCACCATTTTCCAGGAGGGTAACTGAACTTTTTTGCTTCTCATCCCATTGGCACAGTACTTGCACTTTCTCCATGGCTACAAGCAAGATAACCTAGCACCTTTCCATTTTTTTCCACCACAAGCAAATCTAAGCACTTTGCAAAGCTAGAGGTTTACAACTTTTTTATTGCAGGCCTTACCACTCAGCAGGTGCGCCAGGGATCCCACTGCCAGCAGAGGGCACCATTACAGCATTCCTCTCTTCTGTAAGGGTCAGCCTCATCTCTAAGAGCTGAGCTTCTCGATCAACATCATCTTCTGATTTGTCTGGAAGAGGTCAAGAAAGTTTTACTATACACTCAACAACACCTCCAAAGATGACGACAATGAAGGGACCTCAGGAAACCATATTAGAAGATGGCAGCATCTTCTGACTTTGTCCCTATAGGGTCAGCAGGTTTACTTGAAACTCAAAATACTTTTGATCACCAAAATACCAGGGCTGTAGCCTAGATTGGGAAGTCAATAAATATGCACAAACTACTTACTGTATCTACTATTGCCAAGTAAACTACAGAGTTGTGTCCATGCAATCAACAGAAATCAGATCTGACTGGAGGACTTATTGACCTTTACTGGAGATTACAAAGCCCTATCTTTCACCCTTGCCTTAAACTGCAAAGACAAATACATACATAGTTAAGGATTCTTGGGAAGAATTTTTTAATTCTCTTCAACAAATGTACTAATGTATTAATGCAATAAATGTAATAATAATGATTTGCATATTCTTCTAAAATATATACGGTTATAGAGAGAGGATGCCATGTATGATAGTTCCAATGTGGCCTGTTCTATCCTTACATGCATATATACCACTCTTTCAGTCTTATATCACCTTGTGTTGGGCAGATTAGGCCTGGAGTTATTCTACTTGCTTTCCATAATCTTAAGGGCAAGAATGACTGTTCATGCAGCTGGGAATGTCCTGAACATTTTTCAAGTTTCTTTAGCTTCCAAACAACTTTGGCAGCAGTTACAGTGGAAAATAATAAACTGCTTATGCTTACCAGGCTTTCCCACAAGTTTCTGCAGCTGTTGATCTAGATACTCTTGACGTTTTGTAAGAACATTTAACCATTTCCTGCGCAACCTCTCTAGATCTCTATCCTGTGAAGAAATGACATGTTTTAAAAAACAAAACATTCAAAAGTAATAGTTTGCTTCTGAATGTCAATGTCAGAACCTATGCATGCCAAATGTTTTGAAGCTCAGGTCACAGGATAAAGAAATAGCCACTAAAAATAAATCAAAAAAGCAATGTGTTAAAGGTAACTATCAGTACCCTTAATTGCACTTATAAGGCTATTGGTAACCAGTACAGTTGTGCAATAGCAGTGGAACATGAGAATAATGCCATATGCCTGTATTTGGACTGCCTCATTCTGGACCAGCCACAGTTTCCAAGTGTTCTTCAAAGGCATTTCCATATAACTGCATAATAATAGTCCAAGCCAAGAGCTAACTAGGCTGCAAATTATTGTGCGTAATTACTGTGGGTAATCCAGAAAGAGTGCAGTTGATACACAAAATGGATTACTGTAGTGCAAAGGTCCTGCTCACAATGACTGACATTTGCTCTTCCAGCAAGAGCCAGGAGTCTAAGAGAATTCCCAAATTGCTCTTCAGTTTCACTAGGGATACTGCAACCTAAACTAATACTAACAATTGAAGTCCTCCAAATCCATATCCACTTGTTTTTTATAGTTGAGACTCTCTCCAGAATTCCACAATCTCCAGACACTGAGACAATTTGGGCGCCGTCACTTAATTGGCCCAGAACTGAGATATAAATTGGGATATCTTCAGTGGATTGATGATATGTAACCCTGTGCCACTGACTGACCTTGCCCAGCAGCTTCAAAAAGGATTTTTTCTGAGCTATCCATTCCCAATCCTCTGAGCCAGTCTAGAAGAATATCATTATTGTTGGTTTGAAAACTGATGAGAAATCAATGACAAGGCATTCAGCATGGCTCCTCTATTTATTTTATTTATTAAATTTATATTTATGACATTTATGAAATTTAGATGCTAACCATCTTTCTATCCAAGGTTCTATCCACATCACAGGCCCACCAAAGCTCAAGTGTAACCAATGCCGTCTCAGTACTATGCCCAGATTTATTTTTATTCCTATCATATATTTTACTTGGGTAATGACTATAATAACATTAATAAGTTTTATTTAGTAACTACAATGTTGAATCTATAGAGATTGTTGATCAGATAATATGTTACTTCTCTAATGAACAAAAGACTAAATAATCTAAAAAATCTTAGATTCTGAAGAAACCAATTATAATATATTCACCTGATAACTGTCCATGTCATCGTCTTCTTCCTAGAGAAAAAAAACATGCAAATTCATATAAATTCCAAATCTTTTACAGCCAAATTTACACCATATATATATATATGGCGATGTCACCAAGACACTTCCAATTTGACGTGGGAGAAAACCCAAATGACCAAAGACCTACATACAAACACCCACAAAAACCTCAGAAAACATATATATATATATGTTTTATATATATGCGGGCGTTTGTATGTAGGTCTTTGGTTATTCGGGTTTTCTCCCGCATCAAATTGGGAGTGTCTTGGCGACGTTTCAACGAAGTCTCATTTGTCATCTTCAGGCTGGTGTTTTTGGCTTCGTGCTTCTAGGAGCAATGTCGCATAAAATAAAACTGTCCTTGGAGGGTGCTGCAATTTTGGGCCAAAAATATTCCAACAGCTCTCTGAGATAGCCATTAGAATATGTAAAAAAAAATTATCACATTGTTTCTCTTAAACATTATATAGGAGTGTATGCTAAGTGATGTATTTTTGTACAGATTCTGAATACTAGTAGGCCTCAAAAATTGTGGATAGTTGTAGCCCGATGCTTTGTTAAGAAGTCTGCCTTCTTGCTCAGAAAAAATGATGAATGGCTAACTTGGGTTGTGGAAACCATCCTGTGGGTCTAAGGAGATGGATGGGGAAAGTCTCATCTATTTGCCTCCTAGTAAATGAATACTTTGAGTAGTTTGGTGTAAGCTTAAGGCACCAGGAAGAGTCTAAAAACCAGAAGGCTCTGAATTCTAGTCCTGCCTTAGGCAAAAAACCAACTGGGTGACCTTGAGCCAGCCACTCTTTCTCAGTCCTAAAAGGAGGCAATGTCAAACCACTTTTGAAGTCTTGCCAAGAAAACTACAGGGACTTGTCCAATGTTGACTCCAAGGCACACACATACACAAAAAAGGATGCTTTATTGCCATAGTAACTGCTTGATCAATGAGAAGTTCTCTGCCATAGCCAATTTGTAAGCACCCAAAATAGGTTCTCTATATTCAAAATACATATAAATATGCAAATTATTGACTTTCTGAAAGCAGATGTAAAGAACACCATTCCCTGACAGGTGTGAACGTTCAATCTCCAGCTTTCAAACAGTATAGCTTCCTGTCTCACACAGATGCATGTGATTTAACACATATGAAAACTCTGATGAGCTCAAGAAAGTGGGTTCTAATTCACCATTCCATTCTGTAATTTAAATCACAGAGGAAATATAGAAATGCAACCAGCTTATTTGTCCAAGTAATTCAGAATGATCCACTCATTCAAGAAACTCAAGCAGAGAAAAAATTGACATATACCCAGTATGCATGAACACACTTAACTGCTTTTGGTATATACAAGAATCTTCTACCTGATAATTTTCATGACTTTTTGGTGACTTGATATGTCTGATCTGCACACAGCCCACTGCTACAGATAAGATGGATTCTTCCATGAGAGGCAATGTTCCTGATTCTTGTACAGATTTCACTTCCACTTGGATTCGGTGTGACTGTCCCTACACATCCAGAGAAAATATTGTAAAAAGCAGTATAAGAAGAAGGAGTAAGGGGGACCTCTGCTGGCAAAAAGTGATCAGGTAGTCTCACTTCGGAAACAGCATTTTGACCATTCAAACTGATTAATCAAACCATTTGCCCGTTCATTCCAAATTGCTCAGAGGGAGAGACAACAGCAAATTGAAAACACAGGCTGCATTAAGACTACATCATAAAACACTAAGATCATAAAATTATAAAATTGCCTTACCATGATAGTCAGACAATTAGTTTACCAGTCTAGAATTCCTTACTTTTGACTAGCATCATTTTCCAAGATCATCACCAAATGTCTTTAACGCAGTATCTGAACTTGTTTTGGATACATTGCAACCTGAGCTCTATGTAAACTTTGTGTCAAACTATTGAGCTATATCCTCTACTAAGAGCTGATCCTAAGTCTGCAAAATAAAACACTCTTACGCTATTCCTGAAAGATGAGCCTGAAAAACACTCCATTTACCAGATGAGTGTTCTCAGTGTGTTGTGGCTACAACTTGAAGAATTGGAATGGCTAGGGACTGCTGGAAGTAGCATTGCCAAACAACTGGAAGGTTCCAGGATGGGGAAAGCTACACTAGAACTACTCTTTAACTAATGCTGTAGGCTTTAGAAAGCAAAGTCAGACCAATGGCAACATGGTATGGAGGAATTTGTCTTGTTCACTCATATATGCTTATGCAATCATGTGCATGTGATTAATGGCAACTGATCAAAGAAATGAGATTCTAAGATAAAGTGCTCATTGGCTGCTTTCACCTAATATGCATAACCTAACTATAACCTAACATGCATAACTGAATTAATTCACCTTCTGTACATAAACTGAAGCACAAGTATTCAACTGGTCTTAACTTGCCCAATGCTAACCTTAATGAAGGTTGATGCTAAGACTTCTATTTTGTGCAAATACTTCTGAATGTTTAGCTGGCCAGATTCACCTAGAGAGAAGGCTTTTTCAATCCAGAGAGTCTTTCCTATAGAAAACTAACAGTAAAACCTCAGAAAGTCGAAGGGATAGTCATTATTTTAAAATATCTGTTAAATTACATCACTTGCATTCATTACAGAAATTAATTGAAGAAATGTAAAACATTAATGCTGTAATCATGCAAATGATATAAATTACACAAATTTTCTAGTCTTGAAAACAACATACTTTGTTGCTTGGGGCAAGAAATCCAAATTAAAATTTCCAAAATCCAGTAAATGGTTATCCAAAGAATCTTTCTATAGGGGAAGTATTCTGTGATATGAATAACCTTAGCCTCCCTTAGAGATGTTTAGAATAGTAGAGCACATAATGGGAAGGAAAAATGTGATGCTAAATAGCCTATGTTTGTTCATGCTACCACAGGATTCTGAATAGTCTGAACATCATTTAACAAAAGCCAAATTCATATTGTTTATGTAATCAATCAACCACTTCTTTAAAAAGAGAGGCAAAGTAATAACTATTGACATTATTGATGGTCTTCTTTACCACCTTACCTGCTTAAGCTGAAAAATGCCACCTGTATGTACATCCTTTGGTAGAGTTACTTCTACTGGACAGTATTCTCCATTCTCATTAAGTTCCAAAATCTGAACCCATAGCTCCACGTTGCGGGTGACCTCACTCCATCTAGCAAAAGACAATTTTTGAGTCAAATGAAACACTATGCCTTTTGGAAAAGTGCTCAAACATTATACTTTGCTTTGGAAACTATACATCAAGAGAAGAGATGTTTGCAAGTATAAGTGTATGTCTGTGAAAGAGAGGAAGAGGAAGTATATATGGGCAAGAAAGAAAGCAAGAAATGGAGCATACCATATGTGTGCATGCATGGGAAAGAAACAGTAAAAAGGGAAATAGTTTCAGTGAAGCTTCATTTCCATTGACAAAACACATTTAAGTTTCCCTTGTGGTTATGCCTAAGTTACTTAGAGTATCAAATTTTGCCAACATTGGCATTTACATTTTAAAAGAGCTGCATTTTGAATTGAATTGAAAATTACTCCGTTCCTAATATAGTTATAATAGAATCTTGAGATTTTAGAAAGGCAGTGATTAAAGAGTAGAGAGAAGAGTTGTGGCAGAATGCAAACAAGAAAGAGAGAAGGTATTAATGCTCCCTATGGCCTTTGGTTTCTGAATTCTAAATGCCAGAGGAATAGATCGGAACATTGGAAGAAAATGCACAATAACTCATATTTTGCTTATAAATCTTCCCCTCTGGCTTCTACACTGTTTTTCTTCACAGGTTTTAAATGTGTTCATCAACTAAGTGCCACTTTTACCTGTCTCGGAGGCTTCGTGTTTTGGCTTGAATTATTCCTAAATCCCACAGTGCTGGGTTTTTGCGAGAATCACACTGTTTGTGTCCATATATTTCAATAGCTAGAGCACCATCAGAAAGATATTCCATAAAATCTTCAGTGATACTGACAGAGAATTCCTAATCAGAAAAGGATTAAAATGTTAATGCATCATTCATTTTCTTCCCTACTATTGTAACATATACATGCAGAAATAGAAAAAAGAAAAGAAATAAGGGAGTAAACATTAGCATACATTAATCCCAACAGGATATCTGAACTGGAACAGTCAATAGCTGAGATCTGCAACCTTAACAGAAAGCTTAAATCACTATGATAAATAGAGTACCAGAAGGATCTAGAGAGCAATTTAGAAAGCTTTATGCTTGGAATCCTGAAGCAAACCACAGGGGGAAACATGGCAAAATTAATGGATGGAATTTGCTGTCCTACTTTTGGAGATTTATTATTGCTTTTCATTATGATGAATTCATTTCTCTCTTCCATGTGATGTTTCCTGATTGTACAGCTTTGACAGGCAATTAACCAGCAGTCTTTTGGTATATTAGTATTGCCCATTTGCAGTACAAAGGCAATAATGTAGGATTGCTATGCTGGCTTCTTGTTATGATTAGAATAGTGTTAGATATGAAAAGCTCTTTAAAAACATTTCCATCTGCTAAATTAACCTTCCTGAACCTGTTGACTTCAAGATGGTGTGGTGGAGAATGCAATGTTACAAATGGAAAGAATACCAGCCTAAATTACATCGAAAATCACTTTCAACAACCTGAATCTGCTGGGTATTATGATCAGTGCCAGAGTCAGCTGAGATATAGTTGCTCAGCATTAAGAACAGGGCTACTTGGGTGCTGACATTAATTTAAACTGTTGTTAAAGAGATATGAACAGTATTTTAAAAGTGTTGGAAAAAAGGAAGAGAGAGAGAGAGAGATATCATATTGTTCAACAATATATTGAATTATAATTTGTTTTATAATACTTTGTATTGCTTTTTTATTTTTTTTACTAAGGGCTTTTTGAAAAAAAAATCAGAATATTTCAATTTTATAAGTCATCATAAAAAATGATTTCAATTTTAATGGCACGGTGTGCATGTTTTAGACCAGGGGTGTCAAACTGCCAGCCCACAGGCCAGATGTGTCACGTAGAAGCCACACCCTCCCCAGCTCAGGCATGTTCTAGACTATATAAAAGAGGCTTGAAGAACTTGCTTACATTAGAAAACTCACTTTTAATGTTTATAGAAAAAGGGGAGGAATTTGAGTATTTGAGATAGGCTTTTCCAGAATAGCCTTTTGTACTTTTAAGAGCCCCAGAAGACAAATGATCCATGGAAAACACTGGAGCTCCGCAAATAAAGAGACAGTAAGCCTGATCCACATTTGATATAGTACATATGTTTCCCAGGGCTAGACATTTGTTAATTGGAACAATCATATTACCCTACTATACTGTCTTTCCTATTGTTTCTAGTTTGTTCCAAGATCCAATTCCAAATGCTTGTTTTGGTTTCTAAAGTTCTAAATGGTTGGGACTTTCTTATCTGAAGAGTCACACCCTCTCTCATTTTCTACCTGAACTTTGGTCCTTAGTAAAATGAAATTCAGAGGGTGTCCACTAAGGAAAAGGGCATTTCCTCCAGTGCTGAAATCTTGGTTATAAAATGCTTTTCCAGTAGAAGCCCAGCCTACTTTATATTCTTTTCAGTAAACAATCATTTTCCCTTTATTTCAGGCTTCTTGAGATTTTTGACATAGAAGTTTTTAAAGAACTTTCAAAATTCCTCAAGATCCTGATAACTTTGAATTTCTAGAGTTTCAAAGTTCTACCTATATGATAAAAAATTAAGGATATTTCCTGATTTCTGAGTTTTAAAAATTTCTGCCACTAGTTATAAGTAGTGTTTGATTTTTTATTTTTAATGGAAGTGATCCAGAGAATTCCAATTATGTGACATCCTAGAAATATTCTAAATAAATATGGAGAGCATATATATAAAGTTTAGCCTAATAAATACTAGAAAAAAGAGAGAGATTTGGAACAATGCAAAAGAGTATGCCACTTTAAGCCAGGAATCCTGATATAAAGTCAGCTGCATGCTTACTGAGACCTTATTTTCAATCCTGATTACACAAACAGGTAAATGTAACAGTACCAACAAAACAATGTGACATGCAGGATTATAATTCTTAATGACTATACATGACAAGATGTGTAACAATCGGTTTAGAACTGGCTTATGAATATAATACAACATAACATAACATGTAAAAAAATCAGTATCTTTCACTTAGATGTTATACTAAACTATCTCTATCTGGTTTGTTTGTTTCAAAGAATGGGTTGCCAAGCATGTAACTCAGGAGTCTTCAAACTTGGTCCTTTTATGACTTGTGGACTTCAACTACCAGAATTCCTCAGCGAGTGTGCCTGGCTGAGGAATTCTGGGAGTTGAAGTCCACAAGTCATAAAAGGGCCAAGTTTGAAGACCCCTGATGTAACTCATTCCCATTTTATTACAGCCAATAGAATTTCAAGCTTAAAATAACACATGCATAGCATCGCTCAAGTATAATACTCGGTCAGGATTTTTAAAAGCATGATTCATTGAACAATCCATAATAACTTAGATCAGCCATAATGCTACACCATAATATGTGTGCTAGTATCACTCTATTTCTCCCCCAGACACACACATCAACATTACAGCTTAGCATAATATCAGAATGAGTAAGAAAGAACTAGTAAGAAAGGATTTTGCCCACCCATCCTGGAGACCACTTTAATCATGAAATTAAAGTTGTAACCCTGAGATAGCAGTAAAAACAATAGAACATTTACATTGCAATGATCGAAGACAACCATGCACCGTGGCTCCTTGCTGATGGGAGATGAAGAAGGATCCATTTCAGGGGCAACCATCACAGGTTCCAGCTGGTCCCAGAAAGAATACTTGCAGAACACAAAATTGGAGAGATGCTGAGGCAAACCAGTAGCTTGAAGAATTTTAATCTAGGGGATTAAAAGGGCCACATAACACATACAGAGATCATTATAATAAATACTTAACAGGGTGCATTCAATAAAAGTTCAATACAAAATGTAGCAGAGTGTTCAGAATAATGCCTATTTTATAAAATCAGAAGCTTCCTCAGTAGACAGTAAATCTGTCTTAAATTGTGTCTTGAAATAAACAGCCCCACTAGGGGTCACTCTATGAGCAGAGTTGGGTATCTCAAAGGTTGCTTCACTATAAAGCAGAAACTAAATGGATCTGAAGACACAACCTTGCTCCAAAATAATTAATACAACTGACATATTTGTCTTTGTGGCAGTTTAAAAAAACAGTGAAAGTTATGTACCTTGAGCTATCAAACTCTTGGTTTAAACAAAATTTCCACAATAAAATAAGTACATGAGTACATTCAAATGAGTATCCCAAAGATGCTTTTTCAAAAGGCAACTGAAGATGTTTTGTTTCTCATCCAAGAAGCTTCTTTGGTTCTGAACTGAAGAAGGTTCTTGGATGAGAAATGAAACATCTTCAAGCAAAACAAAGAGAGTCCAGTTGCCTTCTGAAAAAGCACCCATGGGACAAACCATGACCTGGATGACTAAGAAACTCCTTAGACATTTAGTTATCCACTTTAGAACGGAACTGAAGAAGCTTCTTGGATGAGAAGGGAAATGTCTTCAAGCAAAATAAAGGAAGTCCAATTGCCTTTAAAAAAGGGTCAACCATGACCTGGATGACTGTCCATAAGACATTTAAAGAGTATAATTGAGCAAACACAATAGTGACCAACCCTGACAGATTGCTTTGGCCTCACAGCTCCAGCAGTTATAAATAAAACTAAAACTAGCTAAGGCCACTCTTCATAAAGTTGTTGCCCTCCCAACGTATTACACAATATATATCACTCCTAGCCAGCACACCCAGCAATCACAATAGGTTTTTTTTTTTTAAATCAAAGTTGACTCCTGTCAACTTCAGTTTTATTGGCAAGATTTCAGAAGTGGCTTGCCACTGCCTCCTTCCTAGGACTGAGAGAGTGACCCAGCTGACTTCATGTTTAAGGCAGGGCTAGAACTCAGGGCCTTAATTTGGTTTGTAGCCTGATGCCTTAACCACCACAGCAAACTGGTTCTCCACAATAATTATAATTAAAATTATAATCCATAGAGCACCCAGTTCAAGACAGACAGGCCTTTTGCTATCAAACTGTTTATTTTGGAAAAGCAAAATTAGGGAAGCTTTTAGAGAACTTTGTCAACATCCAGCTCAAGAATCCAAATAAATCACCAGGTTCATTCTGTTTCTTAAAATCTTACTGTTTATTGAATACACGACATGATACTGTGGAAGCAAAATTAACTCTGAGGTTCCCAGACACCATCTCATAGACTTAGACAATAATTTCTCCAGCCAAACCCCCACCCTCTCACATAGTCTCTGTAAACAATTTCACTTTGTTATGGAACCATCTGCTTTTCCTCCACATCTGCTACAGTGTCCTTGGAAATGTTTCAGGCTCTCACTGTCTTCAGAGGAATCATAAAGGTTTCATTTCTCCATCTAAACACTTCTAAAACAACACTTCCCCCCTCCCCCAACTCTAATGGCAAGTCAAAACGAAGAGGCACGTAGCTGCCAAAGTTTCATTCTTGACAAACTCACCATGCACACTAACTTGTTTTCCTGCTGATCATTCTCAAAGCAGCCTTCCAAGCTGTCATCACCTCCTGCAATTCTCTCCCCGATATCTCCACTCACACGTACCACTTCAACATGCAGGCGACCTGCTACCTGATAGGGCACAAATCCCATAGACAGGAGGGATAATCATAAGCTTCTTGGAAGCAAATAAAACTACATTATTGAAAATAAATATACATTAGCAAAATTCTCATCAAACCATGCTGCCTGAAACAGCAGCATAATTTTTTCAGAAGGTTTCAAAGTTTTCCACTGTTCTGCCTCAGGAAATACTGGCCTTCAATTTTCATTTTTCTCTTAAGTTTTTTGAGATCTATAATTTAATGTCTGTAATCTACTTTAAATTCTGGGGCTGCAAGCTGTTTTTAGCACTGATAAATTTTGTTGCTATGTATTTATCTGAGCTGTTGCCTTGCACTGGGTTTGAAATGATTTATTGTAATGCCTATTGCAATATTATGTTTTGAAGTGATTGTTTAGTGCTGGGGGAAATCACTCTATCATGTATTTATCATATCCAAGAAATTAAAAGTAAAAATTGGGCATGGCATTTTGCATGTAGTTTCCTATGCCCTGAGCTGGGAGATGCGGCACCAACACAGTAATGCAAATGTTCATGTTGTATATATTCCAAGAATAGTCAGACAATTATCAAGGGATTAATCCTCTCTGAGAGTCCAGTGGAGGAGCAACTGGTAATAAACTGGGAAAAGTAATCTCTTCTTTCTTCTATTTCAACTTCAAGGATCATCAAGCTCAGTGATAATATCAGAGATGTTAAGAGAAATTGTCCTTCAAGGGAGTTTTACCTAAAAGGAGTATTAAGCTTAGGAGAAGTTTTAATTGTTTGTTTTACAGGATTTCTAGACTGCCTCACTCCCAGTGAACACTAGATACCAAACAACAGAACAATAACAATACAGTTAAAGCAGGCCTCCCTTAATACAGTAACACTCATATTAAAAATCATCACAGGGTCCCCCACTCAGTCTGGCTAAAAGCACAATGGAATAACAGAATAACACAACAGAATAACAGGTTTGGAAGGGACCTTGGAGGTCATCTAGTCCAACCCCCTGCTCAGGCAGGAAACCCTATACCATTTCAGACAAATTATTGTCTAATCTCTTCTTAAAAACTTCCTATGTTGGAGCATTCAAACTTCTGGAGGCAAGTTGTTCCACTGATTAATTGTTCTGTCAGGAAATTTCTCCTTAGTTCTAGATTGGACCTCTCTTTGATACTTTTCCATTAGTTACTTCTTCTCTTGCCCTCAGGTGCTTTGGAGAATAGGTTGATTCCCTCTTCTTTGTGGCAACCCCTTAAGACTGTCAAGGATTGAACCAACAGGTACTCTGGGGAAAGGGAGAGGGGGTAGAGTTCCTCCCTAGCTTGTATCCAGCACCAAACAAAGGGGGAGACACTAAGCAGGTTCTTTAATGACCATTTTGTAATCTTTCTCTCTGCACATAAAAATAAAATAAAATAAACAAAAGAAAAAATATCACAAGAGTGAAAGTTTCTCCATATAAACTTAAATAATGAGATTAATAATGTGCTGAATTCTATGTGTGAAATAGTTGTGGAAATGAAGGATTATTATTCCTTCATCTGCTTTTCCACCTGCTGTAGGAATGGTATGGCTGAGGAACAAGTTTATCAGTTTAATGAGAACTAGTCATACACTAGTCTTCTCTACTAGTTTTCTTGTACACTGGTCAACATGGGTTCAACAGGAAATCTGTGAGGAGGAGAATGGGTTATCCCAGATTCAAAAATAAGCTTTCTCATACCTTTTTATTACAGTCCACATGATTATCAGATCAATTCCTACCAAGACAAACTCAGGGGCAAACTGGGAAGAAATTAGGAAGAACTAAGAAGCAATTAAATGCAGCTGCCCATATTAGAGGCTTCTATGTCAAAAGATAGAGAATCAATAGTAATTGTGCACAGAGCTGTAATTCTTAAATAAGTAACAGTAATTATGTGACTAGATAATGATTAATAATTGATCATGTAGAAAGATACCTCTCCTTTCTGATTGATGATGGGCACAGCATACTGCAGCTTCACATCATAAAAGAGACACTCAAGGAAGACATTGGCGACTCCAATTAGGCTGTGGTTCTTTTGCTCATCATAAAAAGGATCTGCTCGCCGAAAATAAGACCTCATAACCTTGAGTTGAATAGAGAAGAAAAAAGAGTGAGCAACAAATGTCTATGAAGATTAGATCCTCTTATGACAAAAATTCAATTTGGCAGAGGGAACCCTATTCTCCCTTGTAACAGACATCTTAATAAGTAAGAAAGACCCTTTCTCCATCTTCCCAGTTCATTTTCAGTTACTTTAATATAGTGCCTCTAATATGGTTTAATCCAGCCTTCCACAATGATATGCCTTCCAAAGACCATGCTAGAGGGAAATTCTGGGAGGACAGCATTTTGAGAAGGCTTATTTAATTACCTATATGCATGCACAGGAAGACATACTGAAGGTAATTGCCTATGTACCAGTAAATCATGTGATTTGTTTGTTTTTGTCTTAGCCCAATCACAACCCAGAAACTATTAATAATCACAACCCACATTCTATTTACAGCCCAGAACTAGTTTGCTGTTGCTATTTTAGGAAACCAGATTATGAACCCATTCAGAGATGACAATAGGTGTGTGCAAGAATAGAATAGAATAGAATAGAATAGAATAGAATAGAATAGAATAGAATAGAATAGAATAGAACAGAACAGCTTTATTTGGCCCAGAGTTATTAGACACACAAAGAATTTGTTTCCGGTGCAGCAGCTCACGGTATACATGCAAAGCAACAGAATAATAATAATAATAAAAAAATAATGCGTGGTTGTGGGGCTTGTGTACTCTGAGGAAGATGAGAGCTATGCCAGAGGTTCAACCATACTGGACAGGTCTCATCAGAGGAGTCAGACAAAGAGTGTCTCTCCCATAAAAAATATGGTGAGACGTAAATTTCAGAATGCCATACCGGCTCAGACGTCGCCCGGGTTAACAAGGTCCGCACTAGATATTGGAGTTCCTGGATATCTGGTGAAAAATGGGTTACAGGACTCAGGACTGTTGGCTGAGCAACCAGGGCCAGCAGCTGCAGAACTACTGGAAGAAAAGGTGTTTACCCGTCGCAGATACACAGTGATGGAAAACAAAGAAATAATGATCTGTTACTACAGATCAAGTCCAACAAGACGAGGATATCTAAAACGAATGCACCAGTTCTGGAAAGAACAACATCCAGAATCAGAAATAACAGAACAGAGACTAGCAGATCAACGCCGATTTATAACACGAAATAAAGTATTTACAGAAACAGAATTGGACGAACTGCAAAGGTTTACCCAGGGCAAAGAAATCAAAGCCTTACAAGAAGTAATTCAGAATGTAGAGGCAAACCAGGGGGAGTTGGCAGTGAAAGAATCCAGTAGAGATATACAACTGTTCTCATTTGGAAACCAGACACCTCTTCCTCAGGAAGAACAAAACCCTCTAACTAAAGAAATAAAAGAATTGAAACAAAGAATAACTGAGCATCTAGAACAGCACAAAAACAACAGAATAAGGCTGCCTGCATTGAAGCTTGTTCCAAAGAAACAGCTAGCACAAGCATTAAAAGATGCAAATACTGCAATAGCAAGTATAAGCACCAATTCACTGCAAGAAACAAACCAACTAATGTACAGCACAGCTGCAGTTATAACAGAATACCTGGGATGCAAAATCAACAAAAAGAAAAACAAACAAACAGTGCACCACAAAAATGGAAGGTTAGACTAGAAAATAAGATCAGCAAGTTAAGATCACATGCAAGCAAGCTAGAACAGATGAAAGAAAAGAAGCTGAAGAACAAGAAGACCAAAGAATACCTAATCAAGAAATACCACTTAGAAACAAGGAAGATCAAGGAAGCACTGGAAATAATAAAGCAACAAATAACAGCTATAGCCAGGAAAATCAGTAGATATGAAGCTCGAATTGCAAACTATAGGCAGAACCTCCAATTTCAATCCAATCAGAAACGTTTCTACCAATCCATCAATGGAGAAACTGCAAGGAATCAGTCAGTACCTGACAAGGAAGAAACAGTGCAGTTCTGGAAGCAGATATGGGATAACCCAAAGAAATACAACAAGGATGCAGCTTGGTTAAAAGAGGTGGATGCAAATAAAACAGAAGTTGAAATGAAAGAACTAGTAATAACAACAAAAATGGTAGAAAAAAGAGCAAAGAAAATCAAAAATTGGTCAGCACCAGGTGAAGATGAACTGCATGGGTTTTGGTTGAAACATCTAACTGTTATACACCCACTCATTGCCAAGCAGTTCAACAATATACTACAAGGAGGAGAAATTGAAAAGTGGCTAACAACTGGGAAAACCTACCTAATAATGAAAAATCCAGCAAAAGGGGCAACACCAGGTAACTACAGGCCAATTACCTGCTTACCAACAACTTTCAAATTACTAACTGGTGTGGTAGCTGATGCAGTACAACAGCATCTAGTTGAAAACAATCTCTTTCCACCTGAGCAGAAAGGAAACCGCCCCAATAGCAGAGGAACAAAAGATCAACTCCTAATAGACAAAATGATCTTGGAAAACTGCAAGAGAAGGAAGACCAACCTGAATGTGGCATGGATTGACTACAAAAAGGCATTTGACTCTCTGCCACATGATTGGATAATAAAGTGCCTAGAAATAACAGGAGTCAGTAGAAACATCAGAAAATTTGTGCAAAGATCGATGGCACAATGGAAGACACAGTTGCAGATCAATGGTGAGAGGCTGGGAGAGGTTAATATCAAGCGAGGAATATTTCAAGGAGATTCATTATCACCATTACTATTTGTTATTGCACTGTTTCCTCTGTCAACAATACTGAATAACTCAGGACATGGCTATCAAACATCAAAAACATCTGCCAGACTATCCCACCTCCTTTACATGGATGATCTGAAGCTGTATGGAAAAACATCATCTGAAATAGAATCGCTGCTCAACACTGTCCGTATATATAGCCAAGATATTGTAATGGAGTTTGGCTTGGACAAATGTGCCACACTTACTATCAAACAAGGAAAAATAGTGAAAACTGAAGGAATCAAGATGCCCCACGAAAATAACATTAAGAGTCTGGATGAGGAAGAGTACTACAAATACTTGGGTATCCTTCAAGCTGACAACATCAAGCACACTGAAGTCAAGAAAAAGATTAGAGGTGAATACATCAAGAGAGTGAAGAAGATCTTAAAATCCAAACTCAATGGAGGAAATACCATAAAGGCAATCAACACCTGGGCAATCCCAGTCATTAGGTACACAGCTGGAATAGTGGACTGGACTCAAGCAGAACTAAAAGCAATGGATAGGCAGACCAGAAAAATAATGACAATGAATCATGCCCTTCATCCACGCAGTGACATTGATAGACTTTATCTACCAAGGCAAATAGGTGGGCGTGGAATGCTACAAGTACATCAGATGGTTGAAGAAGAAAAAATGGCTTTGGAAGAATATCTGAAGAACAATGATGAAGATGCACTGAAATTAGTATATCAGGAAGGCTTACTAACTACTGGAGAGACCAAACTGGCCTACAAGAAAGACCAAATGAAGAACAGAATAGAGGCATGGGAAGACAAAGCACTACATGGCCAATACATGAAAAAAATAGCTGGGAAAGCAGATAATAATAAAACCTGGCAATGGCTAAGAGCAGGAAAATTGAAGAAAGAGACCGAGGGACTAATTCTGGCTGCACAAGACCAAGCCTTAAGGACAAATGCATACAAAGTCAAAATTGAGAAGACAGCAACAGACAGTAAGTGCCGCCTATGCAAAGAAGCTGAAGAAACAGTGGACCACTTGGTAAGCTGTTGCAAGAAGATTGCACAGACTGATTACAAGCAGCGGCATGACAAAGTAGCAACAATGGTGCATTGGAAGATCTGCAAAAAATATCATTTGCCTGTAAGCAAAAACTGGTGGGATCATAAAATAGAGAAAGTCATAGAAAATGATAAAATTAAACTGCTCTGGGACTTCAGAATTCAAACAGACAAGCACCTGCAACATAACACCCCAGACTTAACAATTGTCGATAAGAAAGACAAAAAAGTCTGGATAGTGGACGTGGCAGTGCCTGGAGACAGCAGAATAGAAGAGAAAGAACTGGAGAAGATAACAAAATACAAAGACCTACAAATAGAAATAGAAAGACTGTGGCAAAAGCAAGCAAGGGTAGTACCAATAGTCATAGGCTCCTTGGGTGCAATCCCAAAACAACTGGAGCACCACTTGAACACCATTGGCATTGACAAATTCGCTATTAGTCAATTGCAAAAAGCGGCCTTACTAGGAACTGCTTCTATCCTGCGACGATATCTGTAATACCATCAAACATCCACATCTGCCTATCCCAGGTCCTGGGTAAGGACTCGATAGGTAGACAAAATGCCAAATCCAGTCTGAACATCTGGCTGACTGTGCGATGATTGATAATAATAATTATAATACCAATAAGAGCAGGTAGTAAGGAAGATAAGAATAATTACAGCCATACAACACGGGTAAATATACATAGAAATTAGACAGTACTGTGAGAATTGGATGTTCAGCAGAGTGATGGCACGAGGAAAAATACTGTCCCTGTGTCTAATTGTTTTAGCATGAAATGCCCTGTAGCACCGTCCTGAGGGGAGGAATCAAAATAGTTTATTTCCAGGATGAGAGGGCTCTGTAGATCATTTCTTGGTCCTCCTTCTGTGACCTACGCAAAACACAGGTTCCTTGCTTTCTCTTATTTAACAATCAGGCAATAACTGAAGGGAAAAAATTCTACCTGAAAGCCTGAAAAGTTGCCAGACCAGAAAAAAATAGATAGATAGATAGATAGATAGATAGACAGACAGACAGACAGACAGACAGATAGATAACCTTTGCCATTTTTTACTGTGGGCACAGTAGCACACATTAAAAATGAAATTTAGTTGCTTGCTCTCAAATTGTAAACATACATAACACACATTTAAACATACTATATACAACATATGTATAGACCTACATCCTTACATATAAGTAACATATAAATATTAATTACTCCACCCCCTTGGAGAGAAGAGGGAAAATAAAGGAAGAAAAGAAGGGTTCTGAGTTATTTTCTTTAAGGCTTGTTTTATGTGTTATTTTAAATAAACTGAAACTTATTTAAAGACAAAGAGTTCGTGGGAGCACTTCAGAATTACCTAGTCAAAAGAAAAAAGTTCAAACTTCTAATGGCCCTATTTAAAAGCCACAGATAATATTATTTTGGTTCAGTTTATGTAACAATTTTTGGAACTTCAAAGACACAGCAATTAATTATGAAGAAGCACACAGACTCTCATAAAACAAAATCACAGTAAGATTTAGGATAGTCCTCTTTGTACAATAGAGATAACACGCTGCCTCACATGGCTTTGGGGCAAGATAAGCCACAGATTTTCTTTGCAAACTGAACATGTCACATGAAAGATAAGTAAAAATGCTGTAGTGAAAATGATCCTTCTTCCCTCACCTTCATGTTCATTGTCTTACTGATTGGCATGTTTACAAGCCTGTATGCAGTGGATGGGTAATTGGATGGCCAGTCTAAAGGATGTGATGATGTTCATGCCTACAGGACCTTTGGCATTTTCTCACCTTCAAAGAAACCTAATGCCAAGATGCAGCATCATTCTCAGGGTATAACTGAGGGTATAAACATTGCAGCCAGGAGAACCAAAAAATAATCTAGGCTTTCCCACTTTTCAAGTCTGCTTCTTCCCAGCAATACAAAAGCAAAAGGATATTTTTTATCTTTTCTCTTAATGTTGTCATCCTGCCCAACTTTAAGTCAAAAAAAAAAAAAAAGGATTTTCAGCCAATATTTAATTTAAAAAAAAATTAGCAAGAAAAGAAGACTATTCTCTAAAGATCACATATATGGATACATGTTCCTTCACCTCCTGGTCTCAACATATAGCTTCCATGAATGCTGAGTTTAATTTAATGTTATCCAAGGCTGTTGGGAGCCAGTTTGGTGTAGTGGTTAGGGAATCAGGCTAGAAACTGGGAGTTTGTGAATTCTAGTCCCACCTTAGGGACAAAGACAGCTGGGTGACTTGGGGCCAGACATTCTCTCTCAGTCCTAGGAAACAGGCAATGGCTAACCGCTTCTGAAATCTTGCCAAGAAAACTTCAGGAATTTATCCAGGCAGTCTCCAAGAGTCAAAACGGACTCAAACTTTGAAGACTGTTAGCCAGGTTAGTTGAGGAAAATAAGATAGCAATACAACACATATAGAAAAAACTAAGCTGATAAATCATGTTTTACCAATTAAGGAAAGGTTTATCCCCACATCTCTTCCACATACCATGTTATCTTCCTCACAGTCTTTCCATTCTTGATAGAGGTCTCGCATATCTACCAACCGGTTCTCCAGTTTCTCCAGGGACCAGATTTGTTTGCCTTTCCCTTTTCGTCTCACCTGAATGGCTGGCTCACTAAGCACTGCACCCCGCTACAAAACGAGAGAGAGAGAGAGAGAGAGAGAGAGAGAGAGAGAGAGAGAGAGAGAGAGAGAGAGAGAGAGAGAGAGAGAGAGAGAGAGAGAGAGAGAGAGAGAGAGAGAGAGAGAGGAGAGAGAGAGAGAGAGAGAGAGAGAGAGAGAGAGAGAGAGAGAGAGAGAGAGAGAGAGAGAGAGAGAGAGAGAGAGAGAGAGAGAGAGAGAGAATGAGAATCAATGCAAATAATGAAAAATGTTTTTGTTACCTGCCTATCTTGAGAACTTGAGTAAGCTCAAGATTGGCAAGCTTTTTCTCGGCTTGATTGTATTATTGTATTATCTTCTAACATCTTCCAGGGAAGATACAAAAGATACCTTTTCTGCACAAATTTGTCTGTGTAATAAGAGGTGAAATCGTCAAATATAGCCTTTTGTTTTGAAATTTTTTATTTGGAGCTCATCAAGGAACGATTGTCTCACCATTAACTTCATTAACTGACAAATCTGCCAAACTTTATATTAAATGTTTGTGGATTAACCACAGTCCAAGGAAGTTATTGAAGTGGGCATGTTCTGTCAGTGGCCTCAAGGTAGAGATTATACTGTAATGTAAGTTATATTACATTTTTGCACTTGGCAGACTTTATGTAGTATGATTCATTTTTACTTGTAATCAAGATTCAGTATCTTGTTTGGATTTATTCATATTCTATTAGCCACAATAAATATTCAGTTCAAAATCAAGACAAATTTACCTGGGAGTATATTTGAATTCTCTGCTCTCACACCCAAAATTTCTTTTTTCTTTTCTTTTCTTTTTTTTAAATCTCAGGAACACTTTTTGAAATGGGAGGTTTTAAAATCAAATCAAATCAAATATCAATAAATAAACAGAATCTGACAGAAAGACCACCATCTTATTTGGAATAGCGTATTTGTGAGTTATACAATCTTTCACTGGAGGAGAAATTTAATCCATGTGGTCCAGAGCTGCTAAATTTACATTTAAAAAGACATTTTTCATTTTTTTAAAGAAAATTATGACAGACTGAACATAAATATTTAAACTGAACTGATGCTTGGATAAACAGTTCATCACTGTAAGATTTATTTGGTGGTGTTATAGGAACATCACAGCAGCAAATGATCATATGCACTATGAAATTAAACATTCTTTCACCATTTTCTCCTCTCTAGTTGAATTTCAGTAGTCTGTTTTGAGGAGGAGAACTGAAGGACCCAGAACTTGATATATTTCCCACATTCTTTTCTTGAAATCTGAGCCTCCCCTCCCTTTATTAAACAGTGGTGAGTCTGCAGCCTTTTTACTTAAATCAGTAAAAAGGAATGCTGTGAAGATTACATAGTCACATAGCAATCCACAGAACTTGCCTAACCAGGTCAGTTAAAATCCTAGCAGTTGGTTTGCAAAAATTCAAAGCTTTAGTTCAAGATTTTTGGTAGTTTCGTGGTTTCTGGATTCGTTTATCCTTCAATATAATAGTTGAACCCAGAAAAGGATTTTAATAAGTCATGACATTAACTAGTTCCATTAACATGGCCTGTCAGTAGTAAAACTGCACATCAATAAATGTAGAGCCACTGCAGACAAAAAAATGCATGTTTTGAATAACAATAAGTAAATAAATCATTTAATTGCTCAGATTTTGCTAGTTTAAACTGGCTGTGAACTGCCCTTTGCCCTTCTCTAGCAAGTGTCCACTCCCATTTTATACACAGAAAATATTCATCTGGACTGCTACATCTTGGCAGATGACATACTATATGTGTCTGAATAGATTTAGTGCCTTACCTTTTTGTTTGCGTTAAGGCTTGAGGCTGGAATTTGGAGAGTGACCTTATATTCAGTCCTTTTGTCCATCTCTTCTGCAATGAAGCTGGCTTCTCTAACATACAAGTTGGCCTTCATAATCTGCTCCCTCAATTTCCTTAGGCTGTGGTTCAGCATCTCTTCTCTATTGCAAAACAAGGGAAAGAGAAAAAGGAGGATAGAATTTAAAAGAAAATATTTATTTAGAAATACACTGCAATAATCACACTGATAAGGATGTTTGCTCTGGTGCAATCAGTTAACCATTTTTGCACCAATGAAAGGCAGGACTAGGGGGTGATAGCAGTAGTATTCCAATATCTCAGGGTTTGCCACAAACAAGAAGCAGCTGCAGCAGAAGTGGGCCAGCAGCCACTTGGGCTCCTGCTGGATGCGGCTGTTGGTGCCGCCACCGGGAGGTGAGGCAGGTGTCATGAAAAATATAAGACACCCTCCAAAAATAAAACCTAATGCCTCTTTTGGAGGCAAAAATAATGTAAGACCGGGTCTTACTTTTGGGGAAACATGGTAAAAAAGTTATTTTATTCATTGATGTATAAAACGTATCTATTGTCTTAATCCAAACACATGCTAAGGTGAGTATTCTCCAAAGAAGAGAACAAGGAAAAATACCAGACCTCCAAAGTTCATTCCCTTCACCCACCTCTCTTCTGCCCACTGGCGTAAACGTTGCTGTGCATTGGGAGAATGGAAGGAAAACCTGTCCATGGTGCGGAAATGCTGCTTCTCAGGAGACAGGCGCCTCCGGAGCTGTTCTAGTTCATGCTCGTACATAAGTCGCTGCCGCTCCAGTGCTGACCGCTTCTCCTCTTCATGCTGTTGCTCTAGACTTTGTAAAATGGACTGCATTGGATCTAAGCAGAGAGGAAGAAAGATGTCACAAGGTAAAAGCCTAGAACAGAGGTGTCCAAGCTTGGCAACTTTAAGACCTATGGACTTCAATTCCCGGAAGTCCGTAGCCAGTCCTGATGGTTGGGGAATTCTGGGAGTTGAAGTCCACAAGTCTTAAAGCTGCCAAGCTTGGAAATCCCTGCCCTAGAACAAACAACTCTACAATAAATTTAAGTGTGGAGTCACAGTCTGTGTTTCTTATATAGGATGGCAGCTTGGTTTTTAAAGGAGGACAGTTGTACACTCAGAGAAGTATGAGTGGATCTTTGCCTCAGTTTCCCAAAGATTACTTGGATAAATAGTTACCTAAATTAGTTTATTTCAGCTTCATTGCACCAGAGATAATATCACAGAAACCCAAACCTTGGTGTTGGGATTTTTCTTAATAACAAACTTGAAGATTTATTTGTTCTTCCCTACAAAAATAATTTCATTGTACAAAATTAAGCTCTTATTCCTTATATCTAATCTTAATCCTAATTCTGTATTTGTTTCTATTTCCTTATTTTATTCTACAATATTACTTTTAAGTTTACAATTATTTCTATCTTATTTAATTGATAAAGTTCTATTTTTATCTCAACATTCCATCTCTAACTTCCTATCTCCATGTTTGCAGCATTATGCCTTCCTAAATTAACTACTTCTTAGCTCTTTAAGTGTTTTCTTTACTCCCAGTTCTTCAGCTCCTATATCAGTCCCAGTGCATTTGTATGTGAAAACTCTTTTCATTGCTCTATAGCAGGGATGTCCAGCCTTGAAAAGTTTAAGACCTGTGGACTTCAACTCCCAGAATTCTCCAGACAGCCTAAAGTCTACAGGTCAAACGTGCCAAGGTTGGGCATCATGCTCTATATAGCATGGGTCCTCAATCCCTGGTCCCTGGACCACAGCATGCCAGAAACTGGTCTGCGCAAACAAGGGAAGCCCCATCCGTGGGATGCAGGCAGCACATGAAACCATGGCCCCTAAAACCTCTCTCCAAGGAACCGGTCCCTGATACTCAAAAGGTTGGGGGCCTCTGCTCTATAGACTTGTGAATGGGCTTTGCTCTCCCCTCCCCCACCCCAGCACTCACAGTCCTCTGTTTCTGGAGCTGGTTTGTGGAGCTCTGCACCTGGGTCCCTGCAGGCAATGGGCCTACTTTGGTTTGCAGATTCTGGTTGGCCTCTTTTCCTCTGCATCTCTCAGCTCTGCTTCTTAGTCTTGCAGTTCCAAGAATTGCAGTTTTCTTTCACTGTCTGAAAACTGCTGCCTTTGCGTTGAAGGTTTCTCTTTCCTGCTTCTTTGCTTTCTTTTGGCTTGACTCTCTCTCTCTCTCTCTCTCTCTTTTTGACTCACACACATGCTGGCTTTCTGTTTTGTTTTATGGGATAAACTCTCCAATTAAGGAGAGGGTGGGGCTGCTGCTTTAACCCTCTTTCCCAGGCAGCACCAAAACTCTGGATCTCAAGAGGGAAAAGAAGTGCCTGCTCACTCTGGGTGGTAAATTTACTTTTCGACACTTGGTCAAATCACAATTAGACTGCTGCAATGCACAGTGTATAAAATTGACCTTTAAGAATTTCCAGAAGTTTCCTTTGGCACAAAATGAAGCTGCTAGCTGTTGTGGCCATTTTATGTCCATTTAAATAGTTTGCACTCAATTCTGGTTACTTTTCATGTGTGATTCAAGATGTTGCTTTTCATCTTTAAAGCTCTAAACAGTTTATTATGGCTATTCAAAGGATCTTCTTTTTCAGCATAAATCTTTTCTGGGAGAAAGATTAGTAGGAGAGGCCTTTTAAAAGATAGGGTTCCAATTTCAGAGGTCAGCTTTTTAGATTATGGAATGGAATACATAGTCTCAGGAGTAGCTTCTAGTCTCTTAGTTTAGGGAAATAATCAACAGGGTTTTTTTCAAATAATCTTTTGAGCTGATTATTATTATTTTGGCTGCCTTATCTCAGTGGACAGTATCTCTTAATTGAACTTGTCTATGCAGGTTTGAATATGATTAGTACTTCGATGGGAAACCAATTGGGAAGTCAACAAAAGCTTGAAAGGAGGCCATAGCAAACCATTTCTATCTTGTTTCCAAAGAAACAACATGAATATTACCCAGGTAATCATTCTTAATTTTCTGGTCAAATGGAAAAAGATATTCAGGTGGGCTCAATAAATCAATACCTAAATATGGATTTGTTAAACTACAAAAATATAGGATGACAGGCCAAATTACTAAAAAAAGCACATCTTTGTTTAATACTATACTCGCCCCTTACCAGTTACATGCAGCTTAGTTCATTAGAAATGGGGACAATTGAGGCCGGTGTAGAAACAGATAGAAAAGATTATATGCAATTTAATACTTTTTTGTATGACAGAGCTTTCAAACTCAATTCAATATTTGATCTTTGTCCAACACCTTGGACTGGACAATACACTTGGGGATGGGGGTATGAACAAATTATCCTCACTAAAATCTTGCAAAATATTTTGACCCATGGATATTAGGCTTATATGCAGACTGAGTTGCAGCATCTAGGCTATGGAATTAGCTGTACTAGGAGGATAAATGGAATCAGTATAAAAAACTATTAAGACTGCATGTTATCTTTCTCTCTTCAGGACATATTTTAAAAATGGCTAGGATATTTTAAAATGTAACCAGTTGTGGGCTATTATCTTTATGATTATGTTTCTATTTCAACTGTCTTATAATGCTAATCTTCTTTGATAATATAAACAAAGTTTTAATTATAGATTTGTAGGTTTTCAAGTGTTATAAAACAAACCAAAGCTACATTCATATATAGCCTCTCACTACCTAGTTTATACATCCATCATATAATACCTGGAAATTATATCACAATCATAAATGGCCCAAATTGTATACTTTTTTGTCATATGCCCAATGATGTCATTAGGCAAGTGGCATCAATGTGGTTTCCCCAGAATGCTTTGGCCCCCAATACTTATCTTCCATGATAACTTGTTATCACAGAAGTTCATTGCATAAAGCAATAGCAACAGCACTTAGACTTATATACTACTTTACAGCCCTCTCTAAGTGATTTACAGAGTCAGCATATTGCCACCAACAATCTGGGTCCTCATTTTACCAACCTTGGAAAGATGGAAGGCTGAGTCAACCTTGAAACGGTCAGGATTGAACTCCTGGTAGTGGCAGAGTTAGCCTGCAATACTGCATTCTAACTACTGCACCACCATTGCTTTTATATTTTGCAGACAAATCAAAGCAGAAAAACTTTCCCCAGTAAGCTATTGAGGGTGGTACTGTATTAAAATTCTTGTTCCAGATACAATGTATCTCACAATCATAACATAACCTTGGATTGAAACCACTTGCAAAATGACATACCATAGAGTGGAAACAATGCACCCACATTCCTTACCATTTCCTCCAAGAGCTTTCATAGTTACTTCCATTTGGGCATATTCATAGTTGAAGCTGATTTCACTGGATACCTCGCTGGAGCTGTCTCCATCTAAATCCAGCTGTTCAGAGCTGTTGCTTCCTTTCATTGAACTATCTTTGTCTTCATCCTCTGTTTCTATTTTCTTTTTCTTTTTTGGCAAATTCAACCTTAAACAGAAAAGAAAAATGCTAACAAACACCATCCTTTGAAAACTGGTTTCATTTGATTTTGAAAAACAAATGCAGAGATGTCTTGTCAATGAGAGAAGATAATAGTATCCACTACATTGAAGACATAAGATTATGGCTGCTATTAATGAGACACAGAGATCCTGAAGGTCAGCTTTCACCAACTGTTGGGGAAAATTGGAAGTTGCATTCTAACACAACTTGAGGATATCTGTTACTGAACATGGATCTGGCTAAATTCCTTGCCAAAGCTCCACTAAGCTTTTGTCATAGCTTATGTATATTTCAAAAAAGTTGGTGTAGCAAAACTCATGTCTGAATTCATTTGTGGGAAAGGGGATACCAATATAATATTTTGTTCAGATGTTAAGTTACTTCTAGATAACTATTTATTTTGGTTAGGTCTTTGAAGTTAAACTTCCTTCTGCATTTGGGCCCTTTGCTGTACTCTATTTTAATTTAATTAATGCCAAACAAGTTATGTTTGGAATTTCCAAATTAAAAAAAAATCTTGGGCAATTACTAACAGTTTGAAATATTCTAAGGATTATATTGGACTATCGTAATGTGTACTACAAGGAGCTACTCTTGAAGACCACCCAGAAACTATAGCTGATCCAGATGTGATATAGACAGTGTCGGGCATGCCCTGGTATGTGATGTGAAACCACTGATCTGTGAATTGAACTATTTATCACCTATAAGCTTTTCAGGGCATTAGGCCAAGTTATTTGAAAGGCAGCAGCCTATACCCCATGGTTTCTCTCTATTCAGTAAGCTTGTCTGTCTTGTTCACAAGTTGGTATACTTTGAGTCCCTTCAATCAAATAGTGATATTGTGACCCAATATCTGCTGCATATCTGCTCTCTGGAATGATGTCTCCCTGGAGATCCATATAGCTCATACCCTGATGACATTCTAGAAGTCTTTTAAAAAGTCTCCTCTTCATCCAAGACTTGGGATAAGAAGTTTGTGGAGCCTTGTTCATTACATTTTCTGTTTGAAGGAGCATGTTTTCCAATACCTGGGATTTCTTTTCTATTGGCTTTTTTTTACTGCTTTTTATATATCATACTGAAAACAGCCAGATAATTGTACTTTCAGATGAATATAATTTCACTTCAACATCCAAAATGGAATAAAATCATCCTGAAGAAAATTATTATTTTCGGGCTTTCATCTGTAACTAAGGTTATTTAGGTTGTTTTAAAGGGCGACTTTCCAAATTCATGGAGGATCAAGTTATCAGTGGCTACTAGCCTTGATGAAGGCCCTTGGCTGGAGGTATTGCACGGCTGGTTGCCCCAAACAGAAACTGCCTTGCACAGCAACTGTCTCCTGCCTCCTGGCCCGGCATCCACGGCCGCTGCCTGCCCCACTCAGCCATGGGGAGGTGCATTTAATTGTCCTCCACAGCAAATTGCCCAGGGACAAGTGTCCCTCAGTGAATCGCCTGGGACAAGGGGGCGCTGGGGGACCATTGCTAGGGGAGGAGAGCCAGCGGAGGGCCCACCAAGCATAAATAATGGTGGGTCGGCTGTGGTAGTGGTGGTAGGCATGAAGAAGTGGGCGCAGAAAACTGGCTGGTGTCAGTTGTCCTAGACACCTGGGGGAGATAGGCAGTTAAGAAATAGGAAATATAAATAAAATAAAATAAATTAAATGCAGAAGATTTCTACTTTCTTCCTTGCTGTATTTGGGTGCTTCCAGAAGTGAAGTAATTTCAGCCAGGGATGCAGAAAAAATGATCTAAAGGCTCTTCTTACATTCTTATCACATAATATCTCAGCCCTGAAATGTGCATAATAGAGACACAGAAAAGAGAGCAGCAGGAACAGCTATTAGGAGTGACAGATCATTCCTCCTGAATGTTGGAATTTATTTTCACTTGAAATGTCTAAAACATCTAAATATCCAGAAAAGCCCAAAACACAAGGAGCAAGGAACAAGTTAGTCGTGGTTAAGAAATATCTCTGAAACAATGACCCAATGACCCAAGGGTCCCAGGTGGTATAGCAACACTATAACAATTTTTAAAATTGTTCAGCAACTGTACAAGGTTTAACATTTTACTGTAAAATTATGATCACGACATTAAATAAAGACACAAAGAAACTGGGTTTACAATTTCTGAAATTCCTAGCTAGCATAGCCACTAATCTTGCTGGTTGGAGGAATTTTGGGACTTGTAATTCCAAAATATCTGACAGTTGCCTAGTTGAAGAAGGCTAAATTATCTTGACTTTTAGCAGGGGACAAGACCAGCAGATGCATATTGCAGAATTAAGCCTCCAGAGCCAGCTTTCAGATATTAAATGGTGTCAAAGGCAATCCAACTCCTATGTCTCAAAGCTGTAGCAATTAAAGAAGAAAATGAAATGAATCAGCAGCTTACCGGAAAAAATGGTTGTTTCCCCACAAAATTCTATCGCCGTGGTGTAGTTGTGTGGGACCTACAACAGCTGTACCATTCACAAATGTCCTGTGTTGGAGGAAAAAATAGTAAATATAGTCATTCCCACATCAAGAATTTGGCCTGTCCTTAATGCCACATGGCAATGATTAAGAAAAACATAATGTGAAGAACTTGTGTTGATCCCCCTCCTTTGAGGCAGAGCAGCAAAGCAGAGACATTGCATGACAAAATAAATTGAAGATAACCCAACACATCTGAATACTTTCTTTTCCCTTTTACAAGGAAGATATATCAGTGCTCCTACAACTGGAGAAGGAAAATCTTTGAGTAGAATCTTCTTCCTGCTTGAAAGAGGTAGTCGTTTTTTCCAGTTCTACTTATCCCTTTGTAACAACTGTCCCATCTGCTGTTTAAAAACCATCTCAAACAAGCCTCTCTTGCACCCACCAGATACATGCTACCAGGGAACAGAGCATGAACATTTAGGAGAGGGAGCAACAACTGGTTTGAGCAATTTCCCGTGCCACTTTGCTTTCCATAGCTGAAAACTGCAGCTCAGTCCTAGGCATGTTGCTTGTTTCAGGGCTTCTGGTCAATGCAGCAGGGGGCAGGGATGTTCAATGAGTTCTCCCTCTCACTTTACTGAATACATAAAACATTCTGAGCCAAGGAAGCCCACAGTTTTGGCACTATTATTTATTCCAATTATGTGCATGCATTTACTCTACTGGAAAAGTGTTGGAATGAAAAAAGCAAGCAACAAGTGGAAACGTGGGTCCTTTCATTTAGCTACAAAGGTTCCAAAATCCAATTGTGGAACTTCTTCCATGCTTCATTTAATCCTGATATAAGAGCAAAATTCTTGCCTCTATAGACATAATACAGTACTCAGTTACCTAGTATTCTTCTGAGGCGTCAACATGACTTGTCCATCCCCAGTGATATCTATTATACAGTGTTCAGGAAGAATCCCCAATCCACAGAGCTGTATATCTTGGGAATTATCAGATCCAATGAGTGTGTGCTCCTGCAAAAGATTCAAGATCAGGTCCACTGAAATCCAACAGAAATTCATAGTACTTGCCACATATGAAACTGACCACTCTCTCTTCATTTAGTCCAGCTATCTCAAAGTGCTCTAGCAAACTGTAATCTGTAAAATTATGGCTGGTTTCACATCACAATAAAGCAAAACTAAACAGATTGCAGCACAACTTAGCATCAAGTGTGCACTCGGTCATTACTTTCCCTTACACTTACTGTATAAAATCACAAAACAGAAAAAAATGAACTGTGAAGAGGAAGAAGGAAAAAGCAAGCTCAGCTTCCAGTCCTCAGAGTTACAGATACTATCTAACCAGTTAAAATAGAAATAATCCAGGATTGTACTTGTTTGTATTTGCTTTAATGCAGTGCATCCACTTTTGTATATTGTTTCTTTAACAACAGCAAAAAAAAAAAAAGGAAAGTATGATGGCAGGAAATAAATGGGAGAAACAATGAGAGGATAAGAGAAAAAAAAAAGAGACAAATCAAACTTCTTATTGAACTAGCTTTCCTTTCTTCTCCCCTATATTATTTTTAAATCGGGGCACAATTCTGATAAAGAACAATATATCCAGCTAGTCATTCATCCAAGAAGATGCTGGCTGTACTATAATGGAAATTATACTGTTCCTGCCATTAAATTTACTAATATTACTGATCTTCACCTGTCTTTCTAGGACAGTAGTCTGAATGTTGAAAGGAAAAAGAAGCATGCTTCCTTGTTTCTTAAAATTCCATGACCTTTTTTAACTTCCCAAAGCAGCTTACAGTAAAACAAATAAACATCATAGTAAAAACTCAATTACATTTAATAATATTCATCATAAATCCTCAGAATAAGAAAGCCATAGCCAAATAAGCCTGGAAAGCTGGGTGCTCTAGAATTGCTAAGCTATAGTTTACAGCAGAGGTTTCCAATCTTGGCAACTTTAAGACCTCTAGACTTAAATTCCCAGAATTCCCCAGCCAGCCATGATTCTAGGAGTTGCAAGTCCACAAGTCTTAAAAGTTACAAGGTAGGACTCTCCTGGTTTATAGCATCCCTTACCTCTGGGATTGATCAACAACCATCTTTCTATTTTTGAATTCGAGCTTCTGACTGAAGGTGAATTAGTTGGAAATGCTTTCTTCAGATCAGAAAGTGCTGCTTGGTTGCCTGAACGCTTCGCACCAAGATATCAAGTGGATCTCGTTTTGTTTTGTGGCTGCAGGGAAGCATCATTCTGAGTAATCAAAGCATCCTTTATGGATGCTACCTGCTTCATTTCTGAAAGCAGAGAATACAACAATGGTCCCATTGAAGACCATAATAGAAAGACTGAATTGTAAGAGGGGAAATCAGAGTGGAGGCAGGGAACCTGAGGCCCTCCAGATGCAGCCTCCCTGTTGAATGTTGAATAACAATACTCGCTGCAGTTGTTTGGAATGATAACTTTTTATGGATTTGGGCTTCATTGTCATTTTTATTTCTTTATAGTTTGACACTTGGAACAGATTCTTCCGTCAGACAATCTGGCATGTGGCTCATTATAAACTTGAACAATATATCTGAATTGAAAGAAGGAAGGGAAGTGCATGCTATTATAGGATGAACCTGTCAGAGGCTATGAACCACAATAATCATGCTAAAAGGCAAAAGAAATGGGCACTATGAAGCTATTCTCTCAAATGTCTCTCTAGGAATGTAAGAACTAAAAGTAGGTTTGATTAAAAGATATATATTCACTATAAGCTAAGAAGATACTGAGTTAAATAATGCGTAGAACTATTTCTCTAAATCCATTTAAACAAGGCTTACTCAGACAGTAAGATCTCAATTATTTTTTTTTTAAAAAAAAGACAAAATGCAAAATGATATCAGAAAAGATGTAATGTTATGTGAGAATGACCACGAGGGAGGAGGGGAAAAGATACTTCAGTTGCTTAAGGATCACAAAAAAGAAATGTAGAAAGGACCCATCTTAACTGATCAGGCTGTAAAAAGAGATGGTGGGTTGTTTGTACTTTCAGATTTGTGAAATTATGTTATTAGAGTTTTACAATATAGTAGAATTGGCTGTCGGAGAGAGAGACTTAGGAAGTCTCCAACTGATCATGTTGTAAAAAGAGACTGAGAAATTTGTACCTTCAGACTTCCAAAATTATGTTAACGTAGCCTTAAAATAAAGGAGAATTAGCTCAGCAATTCTCCTTTATTGCTGACATGTTTCCTGTCAGGAATCCAGGAGGGCTGACACTAAGAGAGACTTCATATTGTGGTGAACCTTGGGGTAATATCCTATTATAAATTTGATCAGCACTGTTAAGTCTAGCATATCTTAATAAAGAAGTCACTATTCTACATTCCTAAAGAAGGAGTCTAAACTTAATACACAAAGGAGCTGAAATGATTGTGCTAATTTCCTCCCTCCTCTCTCCTTCCCTTTCTGAATTCTAAGATACCAGTATTAGGGTACTAATACTAATAATTAGGGTACTTTGGGTACTAAAATGAAATCTTAATATTTTGCAAATAGCTAAGGTCACCCCCTGCCTGTATCTTGTTGCCAAGACATTCTTTGAAGGCCTTCACGCTGAGTAGCAAAGAAACAGATATGGCATCAGGAACTAGTTGGGAGGGGGGAGTGCCAGCTGACAAAGCTAGACACCTACACTGCCTTGAAATTCTCTGAAGCTATTCAGTCAGCTCTTTTGTTGCTTCAAGGGAACAATGATAACTAAAGATTTCCCCAACCCCCATCCTTACATTCTTCAGGGTGCTAGCCCAATATAAATAAGATTACTGGTTCTCCTTAAAGAGGCAACATTTAAAATAATTTCACAGGTCTGAATAAGTTTATAAACAGCTTTGACATATCTAAACAACATTATATGAAAAAGAGCCATTCGTTGCATAACTCCCAGAAAGGTCTGCAATAAATAATACTATTTTATTGGCTTGCTTTAAATGGCAGCCTATCCATTTAGGAGCTAGCTTCACGAAGTTGCATTCCTTGCCTGATGCTTCTGCTATTGCATTATGACTTGGAATTATATGTGTGGTAATGCAAGCCATGATTGTGCAAATCAAGTTTCCTCATAATCATGGCTTGCAACTAGCTAGAAAGCGAGAACTGGGAAATCTGTTTCAATTCCATGGCAGCCAACCCCAAGGGGAGCAATAAAAATGACTTGGTATAAAGCTGCTGAGAAATATTGTATAGTGTTTTAAGCGCTAAGTATTGAAGTATATATTTTCTCCAATCAGATTATATTCACAAATTGATGATGGTATTGAAAATATATTTATGGGGAATTTGATTTGCAACTGCACACATCAAATCATGATTGATACAAATGTTCTGCTTTTCATAATATAAAAAAGAATGATGCATACCCTAGTGTCTATTGAAAGCAGTTCACAATTAACAATAAAATCTTGGGTTTGAGTACACTGACACTGAATAAATAGCTCTGTATCCTGAAGAACTCAGTTTGACAGAAATGAAATGTCACAAAATCTGCTTTTGCCCAACAAATCTGTATTGATCCATAAGAAAAATTATCAAATCCAGAGTGGACTTTGAAATATTTTCTATGTGACTCTTTTCAAAAGCCAATGGATCTTAGAGGAGAATTCAGGAACAAGTTCTGTAAGAGCTTCTTACACTTAAGCAATTTTAAAACAACCTTGTACATCTTTCTTGTATCTCACCTTTAAATAGTAGACCAAAAGTTCATTGAGTGCAGGGTCAGCATTCAAATTCACCAGAAAGCACTTGTTATCACCCACTTTGATCCCAGATGACTGAAGAGAGATGCCAAGGCTTTCAAGTTGTTTCTGCCGTTCCTATTTGAGAGGAACACAATTACCATTAGAAAAACAACTAAAATTATATATTCTCCCACAATGTGTGATTATTCTTCACCCCCCCCCCCGACATAACAGAAAGAAAACAAAAGGCATAATCAATGATTGGCTACTATAGCCCTATCCATCTCTTTGAATGGCTACGACCACAGCTGCTCTCCTAATCTGCAAATTTTATTTTGGATGAAAAAACCTGCAACCCTTGGCCCATATTTGGTTCCAATCCCTTTTCTCAGATCCAGAATCCCAGAAATTACATTACCAAACTACTGAAAAAGAAAGGAACGAATACCAACATTTAGACTTAACTCATCAAATTAAGACAACATCGGCAATATAAAAAAGAAATGATCCTGAAATCACTGACTTGTCCAATTCAATGACATGTTAATGTTATTGTCCTACAACTACTGCCTTTGGCTGTGCTCATATAGCCTAACCCCTCCCCCCCAGGAAAAAGTATTGCTGATATGATTTGAAATTTAGCCATATGAAACATCATTTCCCAAGAAAATCTGGGACAAAAGTAGCCACTGTCAAAAAAAAAAAAAAGAAAGAAAATATGTACGTGATCCAGGGAAGAGGAGAAAAGAGGTTCAAGCTTCCTGTATAATTTAGTCCCTGCCCACTTTCTCCTCTTCTATTTATTTTATCATTAGAAATACTTCTTACAAAAATCAGAGAGGACCAAGAAATAAAGAGTTTAAAAATTAAAAAGGAAGAATATAAGGTCCAGGCCTTTGCTGATGACTTGGTATTTATTTTGGAAGATCCATTAGAAACCAGCTTTAAATCGATTCAAAAAATAGAAGAATTTGGTGAGGTAGTCGGACTTAAGATTAATAGGAATAAATCCAAATTAATAACAAAAAATCTTACAAAGGCACAAGAAAGGGAATTGGAAGATAAAACAAAGATAAGTATAACCAAGAAAATAAAATATTTAGGGATCTGACTTACAGCAAAATGCTCCTCGATTAAGGAGGACAATTATGATAAAATACTACACCAGATAAAAAAAGATTTAGAAAATTGGGAAAATTTGCAAATTTCATTTTTAGGGAGGACCGCTACGGTCAAAATGAATGTATTGCCAAAAATATTGTTTCTGTTCCAGGTTATTCCAATAAAATTAGGGAAAACATTCTTTCAAGAATTAAATAAATTGATCACTAAATTTATATGGCAAAGGAAAAAACCCAGGATTAAATTAAAACTCTTGCAAGACATGAAAGATAAAGGGGGATTGGCGTTCCCAGAGTGGGAAATATACTACCAAGCATCAAGCTTAACTTGGCTAAAAGATTGGATGGATTTGAAAAATACTAGAGTCTTAACAATAGAAGGACATGATTTGCAAGCAGGGTGGCATGCATTTCTATGGGAAGAAAAACATAAAATACACAGATATTTTCAAAGACACATAGTTAGGAATGCATTGTTACAGACTTGGGAAAAAATAAAACAAAAGCATTATACAAGAATTCCAATGTGGTTATCCCCAACAGAAGCTCTGAAATACCCAAACCTATTGGATATAAATAAGATAATTAGATACAAGGAATTAGTAAATGAACAGGGAAATTTGAAAACAAAACAAGAATTGGAACAAGACATTGGCAGAGAGATTGATTGGTGGACATTTACACAAATTCAATCTAAATATACAGAGGACAAAAAATTATATGAAATCCAAAAACAGCCGCAAGAATTGGATAAAATTATACATGGAACAGAAATAAAATTAATTAGCAATTTATACAAATACCTATTGAGATATAAAATGGAAGACGAGGTTGTCAAAGACACAATGATTAGATGGGCAAAAATTTTTGGATATAATATAGAATTGGAGAAATGGGAAATAAATATAAAATTGACTATGTCGGTGGCATTCAAGGAAAACCAGTTGAAAATGTTTTACAGATGGCATCTTCCACCTGCAAAGCTTGCCAAGATGTTCCAGAATAATTCGCCAACATGTTGGAAATGTAAAAAAGTACATGGAACATATTATCATCTATGGTGGACATGCCCAGTTGCAAAAAAATATTGGTCTACAATAAGAAAATGGATCCAAGAAATAATAGACCAACCTGTAGACTGGAAACCAGAGATCTTTTTGTTGGGTATTTTAAATAGAAAATATAGTAAAGAAATATGGTACTTAATTTTACATATAATAACGGCGGCAAGAATAGCATATGCACAGTGCTGGAAAAATGAGAATATACCATCAGAAGAAGAAGTAATAAGAAAAATCCTGGACTGTGCTGAGATGGACAAATGAACAAAAGAGATAAAATAAAAGGAAGACACAGAGTATTATATAGTATGGAACAAGGTGTATGTCTGGTTGGAGACTAGAAATAATATGGAAAGGTCAAAAGTGAAAATATGTGTACAATAATGTATAATAATAATAATATGAATTATTCTTAGTAAGAAGTGGAACATGAAGGAAAAAATGTAATAATGGGGCTATAAGGACAAAAAATTAAAGAAGAATAAGGGGAAAATGTAAATATTAGATTATCGTTACGTAATTGCTGTAAAAAAAGGAGTATATATTGTGTGTGTATGTGTGTTATGTTTTGCTTTGTTCTGTTTTGTCTTGTTGGTTAAAAATAAAAATTAAAAAAAAAAAACATCATTTCCCAAGAAAATCTGGGACAAAAGTAGCCACTGTCAAAAAAAAAAAAAAAGGAAATATGTGCGTGATCCAGGGAAGAGGAGAAAAGAGGTTCAAGCTTCCTGTACAATTTAGTCTCAAGAGCCATTAATTGAGAAACCAGGGCCTTGGGTATATAAGCTAAAAAGGTATGCATGATGATTAAGCTCCAAAGTATTTCTTCTTATCCGGTTTATTCCAATATGAAACTTATTTAGAAAATGGTTCTTAGCAGGAATCACTGGTGGAAATAGGGTGTGGCTTTACACATATATAATGTCAAGAGTTTTGTAGAATTGTGGTGCAACAAACGAATGTTAATTTTCAGGCGAGTGCTCAATTTCATTGTGTGTTTGTCTTTCTCAACAAATCTATACAAGGTTTTAAGTGGGAACACCAATATTTCCTAAGATCTTATGAAGTATTTTTTATTCATTTGGTCCTTTAATTTTTTATTTGATTTTTGGATCCCATGGAGGCCTTCTGAGGGAATACTTAAAAGTAGGGTTGGCAATCGGTATCCTTAACAGATAACAACATGCTGTGTGAATGTAGAGAGCCGTAGAACCCAGCCCATTTGCTAGTATGTCAGTTACTACCAGAAACATGTATCAACAATGATTTAGTTTTGGCCAACAACAAAGCCATGAAAGTGGCTTCATTTTGGCAGTCCAAAGTTTGATCTTCAGAAGAAGATCACTGCTTTTGCAACAATAATCTCTCTTTGAATTGACCATCTTAGGAATTAAAAAATAATTCATTCATAGGATCATAAATTGTGCTGCTTATCCAGAGGTATAATGAGCTTTCATAAAGGATTTGTTTAAATGGTGACAGTAATGATCATTATGTGCCAGCAAATACAAAAATACAGACCTGTGCAATTTCCTCTGTCTTCCTGAGCTTCTCTTCCCAGGTTACTGTCATCTCCTGGATAAGTTTTTCAGACTCTTCCAAACGTTCTTTTAATTCTGGAGATTTCATAGCCTAAAAGAGTAAGGGTGGGTGGGAAGTGGAGGTGAGAAAGAAAAAGCAAAATGTGGAATTCTCCTTAGAAGGGTCACCAAATTAAGGTTTCATGCATTCTTCATGATCTTATCATTGTAATCTATATGACTGAAAAGTAGTTATCATGAATAATACATGCAGGAAACCTATGTCCTTATTGAGTGTAATACTGGGAGAGGATACCTGCATATGGGTGGAAAAAGAAATCTGAATTTCCAACTCAGCATTTTACTACAATGCTGATCGAGAGGAAATCCAAGTGTAACAATTGCATATTATTATTAAATTTATTACAGTTATTGATCAGCATTTTGTGCAATTATTCTAATAGATTACATGGCTTAAATTAAAAGCATAAATATTTTCTAAAATCAATTAAAGTAAATGAAGTAATTCAGTTATATTGCTATAAATGCAGGTTATAAAATGCTAAGGATTCTAAGTATTAAAACTAATTAATGGGATTATAAAACTGTTTTGTGAATAAAAAACTAAAATACTTATTTTATACTAAATATTAAACTGCAAAAAGGTAGGTATCAGGCATGTAGGTATGTGCATGTAGATGAGGCATGTAGGTATGTGCATGTAGATATACAGGTATGTGCATATATATAAATCTTGCATATATAAGCAAGCATGTATATGCATGTATACGTGTATATAAATTTTATTAGGATTGATGACTAGTCAAATATAACAGAAAACTAAAAAAACATAAAACATGAAAAGGGAAAAAGTATATTAGTAGAATCCTAAAAGTTAAAAGAATAATTTCCTATGTAAAGTGATGGCAGCTGAAATAAATGTTGCAATGTTGGACATGTTAGGGTTCCAGTTCAATTGTAAAAAGCAAATGAAGATGTCCTCAGAACTAATGAAACAGAATTATAGTGACTACAGAAAGGATATTTATGAAATATGTGGGCTACAATTTCAGGTCCTTCCAAATTTTGGGTGAAGATCTGATTTGCAAAATGGGTATTATTAGACCTGCAGAGGGCTCCAAAACTGCAGAAAGCAATACATTAAAGTGGGCTAAGGAAAAAACTCTGCTGTGCTTTGGGCAGAAAACAGAATAGGAAACAGGAAAGCTTTCTGATTTAGAGGTTACCAAATTTGCCTTGCTCTACAAGGAGAACTTTATCAAGCACCCCCTGCCAAACTGCAACTCCATAATGCGTTGGTCAAAAGGGCTGTACGTGAGAAGTCTCATTGGTGTAAATCATCCTAAATTCTTGTTTTCCATAAAGAGGAAAATTTATCAAGAAGGATCAGGGCAGCCAGGGAGTTACTAGAAAAGTGAAGTTTGAGTGAAAAATAAACCCAGCATGCACAGCTACAAACTTATTTATTCTCACAAGGTCAGCAGAGCCCCAAACCTGAGTTTTAGATTACTATTTCTATTGCAATATATGTGAAATCCATTAGAAGAAATTCTAGCTTCATCCTACTTTCAAGTTCCTTTATCTCACAGGAATGTTGTTCTCTCTATTTGATTGTATGTGTTTGTTTGCTTTTTAGGAACTAGTAAATGGAAACTATGGTATGATTGAAGCAAGTGCTGTCTTCCCCAACCTAAAGAGGTCTAGATATGTTGGGTTTCTGCAAGTTATATTCAGGTTGACTAGTGATTCTGGGAATGCAGCCTGAAAAACCATCTGCAATGGGTAAAAAAAGATCCCCTGGAGCCCCTTCCTCTTTGTTGTGCTAGGCACAATCAAGCCTGCAGTTCTGTTTGGCAAGCTTCTGAGAACTTGCCCTGTAATATTTCAGGAATCTTCAAGTTCCTCTCAGGCTAACAAACCTTCACTAGTGTAACACTATCTCTTAGGTTTCTTCTTTACTAAGCCATACACCTTCAATAACCCAAATCATCTAGATCCATCTTAGATTGCCAGCCATTACATTCCTCCATCAGAATTCTCTTTTCCAGAGATCTGTTTTTCAATACTCCACTATCTTTTACCAACTGATCAATCCATATTTTTTTTCCTATAAGAAGATCTTCCTATGGAAGACTAAGCTAATTTTATTTTCAGCTTCCGCTTCTTAGCTCCCTAGAATAAAATCCCTCAGTTGTCTTCATGATTGATTCAGAGGTGTAGCTTCTTGAGGCTGTCAGACACTTACACAAAAATAAACTATGTTTGTTCCAACAACCTGAGCCTGCTTACTAATGCCAGGCATTTGTTTCTGGGAAGTCTGTCTGCAAGATTTATACAGCAATATGGCTATGCTTCTGAATTTTGGAGATACTATTTAATATTTGCGGAACATATAACCTATCTTGACAGTAGATCTGCTTCCAGCAAACCTGGAGGGAAGAAGAAGAAAATCTCTTGCACACAGATTCAGAATTGGCTGCTTACTGAACCTTGATCTGTGTGATGTGAGAAGCAAGGTTCTGCCATTCTATTGGTGAATAGGCATAGCATGATCAGAGGAGTATTTGAGAGAGAGACATAGGCAATCTATAACCTTGCCCTAGCAGAAAGCACACTACTGGGCCTTCTCTTTGCAATTTGCAAAATCTAAAAAATTAGCAAACATATTCAGTACACAGGGAACTTCATTATTCAAAGTCAGGTTACATTATTTGCAAATTGGGTTGGAATGTGCTTTAAACTTGGAAGAGAGGGACATAATCTACTGATTGACTAAATGAATTATTCCTTCTGTTGCCCTTTGTGCAGCAAGACTTACCTCTGCTTTGGTAAGCTGTTCCCTGAGTTTTTCTACTTCCTCCCTCAGTTCTCGGATGATTCGGGCATTGGGATCTTCATTGACCACGGCATGGTTCACAATGTTCTTGGCTCGGTCTGCATACCTCAAGGTAGAAAGTGTCTCATCGTAATTATCTGCTGCTGGACTGACAGTAGCAACCATTGCAGTCTTACTGTTGCCACCAAGGCTGTCCTGGGAATGTGAAATCAGAGAATAAGAATTTGATTTAAAAAAATTATAAGGTCATCCATCTCCAAGATTAACAAGGAGTAACCTATCCATGACAAGGGACTGATTATACTTTAAGCAAAGCAGATGCCATACCACTTACCTTTGATCCCTCTGACAAGAAAATATCTACTGATGATATTTGTACAAAATGCAGACAGTAGGTGATATGTATATACTTTATGTTGGCCTCACACAACCAGGCACCCTGCACAACCTACCTCTGTTGGATAACAGTTCTAGCAAGCAGTTCTCAGACATCTAAAAGTCATTAGGTTGTATAAGGCTGGTTTAAGTTGCCTACAAAATGTAGGTGTGCATAGCTGCTGGGCATCATTCATAAATCTTTTTGAGACATTCCTAATTATTGTGGTGAATTTAAGCTTTCATAACTCCCTAATTTAAAGTTCAGTATAATTTCTTGCACATTTGCTTTAGATGTGGAAAACTCAGCTTTAAATCTATGCCAAGTAATCATCACCTTCCCCTGCCTGAGAATGGAGAGAAATGAAGATAACCCTATTATAATGCATAACTTTCTAAACCTTAAGACAAAAGGCTAGATACTAATCAAAATCCAATCTTCAGCAGTAGCAATAATATATAACATATTCCAAATGTATAAAGTCCTTCAAGAGCATTGTCTAAACCAGAGCTTTTCAACCTTGCCACAGATTGTACCACTTTTAGGAAATGATAATATTTGAGTACCACCAGTGCTTAGCAAGGTGTCAAAAACTTGATGACTAAAAAAAGGGGGGGGGATTTTGGGTTCTACTGATTAGATTCATTTGTTGTTATAGAAATGGCTAGTTTATAATATTATGGAAAAGTAAAAAAGTTGAGGTTCAATGTTAATGCTTCCTTCTACTGCAACAGAGAAAGTCTGCTCTTTTCCCCTTCTCCCCCCACTTTTCCCCCTTTTTTCCTCCCCACTGTGTCCTACTATTTGCTTTTGTATTCCTGTATTTTATTCTGTAATCTAATAAAATATTACAAACTGTAGAAAAAAGGGGAAAAGTACCAGTTTTAATTTCTTTGGTGGCTGTTCCTTTGCTGGATCACTTTCCCTTTGCACTAACAAATGTATGATGAATTTATGCATGTTTATTAATATGCACCACTACCAGCTAGCTCAGGGGTCTTCAAACTTGGCACTTTTAAGACTTGTGGACTTCAACTCCCAGAATTCCTCAGCCATCATGGCTAGATGAGGAATTCTGGGAGTTGAAGTCCACAGGTCTTAAAGTTGCTAAGTTTGTAGACCCCTGAGCTAGCTGGTCGGCCCTTCTTCCTTTCTCCTTTCTGAGCTCTTCTCACAGTATAATAAGAATGCACCACCCCATCCCTTCCCTGTACCCAGAACCGGTAGCTAATTTTTTGTGGCCCAGGCCCAGAACTGACTTCTGGAAGTGGCATCCACACAGAGAACTGTTTGTTCACATATTTGAATCCCACATTGCCTGGACCCTTAAAGACACAGGAATCAAGTGCAAAGCAAAAAAGGCTCACAAAATAAAGAAACACATAAACTCCAGGTTTTTTTTTTCTTTAGGCTGCCTCAGGCGTATTTAATCTTTAATGTTAATTAAGCTTAAAGTATAGAAAGTATAGTAGGGTATTCAAGCCTTTTCACAAGCATTTTTCCCATCTTCCTTCTGTGGGAATAAAATGCCTTCATAGTTTTAATATAGCTGAGCTTGTGATGCTAGAGACTTCTCCATAATAAGGCTTAGCTGATTACTTTTATTATGGACAGAAGCTTTCTTGAAGATACTTTGCAGGCACAAATTCTAAATGAAAATTCAAGGAAAGAACGAAAGAAGAAACGTAACATCTAGGCCCGACCACCGAAAGTTATTTGCAATGTCTCTTTTAAAGTTAACACAAATTAGATTTTTAAAGCAGATACAGAAGTGAATAACTATACAAGATGATTAAATCAAATAGCCATTCAGTGGCATAAAAATCCTGAAGGAAAACAAAAGAAATGATAGCTTCCCCTTACCCTTGTAATCGTTAGAAATAACGTATCTGTTTAGATTTCAAATGTTATGCTAAGCACTGTCAGCTTTGAGCCCAGATTGGGTTCTTTTGCTGTTCTATCACAGTGCTTTTTAGCCAAGCCCAGGAACTCCACATTCCAAGCCTTCTATTCAGCACAGGGGCAACAGTTGCTCAAAAGCATGACTGAAACCTTCAAGCAGTTGAGCACAGAATTCAATGCTCCTTTTCTCTGAAACCATAACACACTCAGTAACAATTAGGAAGGCTGTGATTCTGAACAAAGAAAGAGAAAAGCAAGGAAGGACAATGGAATTTAACCATTGTTGTTTCCCACCTCAACATTGCTCTTTACAAAAGCTGCTTTTTATTATAAGGGAAAAGATTATGACTATCTGGATTCCCCTTCTCCCAACAGAGAAAAGGTTACAGAACATGATTTTTACCCGTTTAAAAAAATTAGAAGGGAAAGGACATAGACTGGCACAGCAGGAATCATCTCAAGCTAGAAAATATTACTATATGTAAATATTTACTGCCTGCCTCTCAAAGCCATCAAGAGACTAGCTAAGGATTTATTAACTTAGAAAGGCAGTGTCAAACTTTATTCATTTGGGGAAATTCAATAATGCAGTAACTGCAGACCTAAGGTGTTTTAGTGCTAGTCTGATGGAAATGCAGGATTCTGGAAGTAAAGAGAATCTTCTAGGCCTTGCTTATAATGAGTTCATGGTAGTGGAGAAGAGTGTATCTCTTTGAATGAAGCTTCTTCACAAGTTTCTTGCCTCTTTGACTGAAACATTTGTAAAGTAAGTGGTTAACGGATTTGCCTTCTGTGTCTCTTGATTGCTGATTATCTACTGTCCTTTCCATTCATTTCTCAGTCTCCCTAAAATCTGATGGGCCAGAAGGAAAAAGCCTTGTTCAAATTCTAGTGCACAGACTGACATAAAGGCTCAGACTTCATTGCTCTGTGATACATCAATCAGCTGTTGTGTTTAAGGATTCATTCTTCTCTCCAATAAAGCTTCTAATATAGCTGACTTGTTTTTTGGAATCTTTTGCCAAAACTAGACTTGTAGGATCAATTATCAACAATAAAGGAATAAGCAGGTGGGAAATACATTACAGACTAGCACTTGGTACAGCTGCTGTGAAGGTCCTGGAAAAGCTATTCAGATGCTGTAATGTATTTAGACTTACAAAGATCAGAACAGTGTACCCCGTGACACTCTATGGAAGGGAAAGCTGGATTCTCAAAAAGCAATATAGGAAAAGTATTGTAGCTTTTGAACTCTGGTGTTGGAGAATATCTGGATAGTCAAAAATGAACAAAAGGATCATGAAACAAATCAACCCAGAAGCAAAAATGATAGGGTCCAAATTATACTGCTTTGGACACATTATGTAAGATGTAGCTCTCTTGGAGAAGAATCTAATACTGGGAGAGGTGGAAGGTAAAAGAAGAAACTGACTAGCAGCAAAATGGATAGATCCATATCTGCAATGGATGCACCACTGGAAGAGCTGAAAGACATCACCCTGGAGAAATTCTATGTAGTCACTTACAGCCAACATCAGCTTGATGACATGTAACCAATAAATTACTCAATAAGACATTAAGTTTCTGGAAAACTGAAATTTACTACTGAAGACTGATATTGTATCCAATCTATTATGTTCTTCTTTCACATAGACTTGGCTGCAGTAGAGTCTTAGATAGATTAGACCTATTCTCAGGCTATGCCAGTTTCTGCTGAAAAAAGATAATTGGGACATCTCCCTCTCTCCATCTGCATATTTACAAAAGCCTTGCATTTCCTTAGAAAATTAAATTCTTATGCCCTCGACTTCTAAGGCCAAACTTCAGCTACCGGGTAGAATGAGTGAAAAAAGCCATTTAAAAGTAGGCAAGGGACCATTTTCATTACCTGGAGCTTGGAATAAGCAAAAAGAAAGGAGAAAGAAAAGGCAGGTCACTGAATCAATGCCCAAAGCAATTATGTTTGCTTCTCACAACTCAGTCTGTATGACACAAAGGCATGTAATGCAGCAATCTCACTTAAGCAAAACCAGTTTGTCTTAATGTCTTTATACAAGACCTCTCATAATATTGTTAGCTGACTTCAACTGAAGCTAAAACCAAGTTTCATATATCTCACTATGTGCTGGCACTTTATTGAGTTTTCTTTGTAATATTGTTGTTGCTCCTGAAATTCATATTTGTGACTTGGAAAGAATTGTGGCTCCTAAAGAACTAATTCATTTTTTTTTAAAGTGGAAGAAAGTTGATGAATTTGAAGTTAGTTATTTATAGAGCCTTAGAATAATAAGCCTGAATATCCTGTACAGCAGTGAAGGTTGCTTTAAAAAAATGAAAGGAGTTTCCCTTGATCTTAAAATAAGTTTGATATTTTGTTTTGTGTATATTTGACAACTAAATTAAGGACTATCTGCAGTTGTCTTGATGTTAGAAACATAACACAGGACATTAACTCATAGGTTTGTTTTCTACCACTTTATTTGGGGCTGAAATCCCCAAATTTGTCAACCTGCTTGTCAAGGAGATAAATAATATTCTCAGCTATGTGCCCTATTTGGAATGTATTACCCTATTAAAAACTATAGAGTCTTCCTGCATAGTTTTCTACTTATTTTTCTGGTATATGTTTTTTGCCAACATTAGACTTAGAAAGGTTTTTTTTTCAACAGAAGGGAAAAGATTTTGATGAATTGTTTTGTAGCTACTTTATCATATAAATTTTCAAGGCTTTTGCCTTTTTAAAAGATCTTTAATTTGTATACATATTGTCATTATTTTTTAATGAGACTCTTCATTTATAATTTATGCTGCTCTTGAGTTTCCTTTCCCCAGTGGATGAAACGTAGACAATATGTATTTCCACCCCTCTCCAAGATATTTAACAGAAGAACCAAGTCTCTCCATATCCAGTTATGGATTTGCTGGAATGAGGAAGGAGGAGAATATTTTCTTCTTTTAGTGATATAAATCTATTAAATAAGAAATAGATTCTTTTCTATACTTATTCTATGGAATTGTCTTGGCAGGAACAAACATCAAGCCACTTCACATCCTGCTTATTCCCTAATGTAAAATCTCTGAAAATATCACTTCACACTATAATATTGAAAAAAGCATAACCTATGTATATAGGAAAGGGGAGAAGGGATTTTAAAACACTGTTTTGGGGTTTCAAGTGTTAAAGTACAGTTGGCACAACCTCTTAGCTTCACAAAAGTTGTCACTTGAAATGTTGCCACCGAATTGCAAAGTTTAATGTAACAGAGATAGCAATTATTAACTACATGAGAAATAATCCTATTGACATAATTCATGTATTTAATTATAGATATGTAATTACTATAATATAATCCAAACTTAATTATTTTTAAATTTCTTCTGTTCCCACTTACTCTTTTGTTCTGGAACTGTCAATTTTGGAATGTGTGATCCCTGACCCCCACCATCCACAAAAGATGAGCATCCTGATGTTAAGCAACAGATGGCACATAAAAGAGCAATTAAAATAATGCTTAATATTAATAAAGATTAAAATGATGAAGGAAGGCTAAACAATCTGCAAATGGGAAGAACTCTCAAAAGCCTTTTTATTTCATCACATCTGTATAGCTGCCCATCTCATATAGTGACTCACACAGTGACAATTAATCCAGGTCCCTGCCCGGTGCATATAGTCAAGACTTAAAACTTTCACCCGTTGGTAATTGGGATTTTTTTTAAAAGGAAAAAAAAGACAATTTGTCTTGCAAAATTTGAGTAACAGCAGTGAGGGAAAGCTTTCATATAATGCTAGCATACACCAAACGAAATTGGTCACAAATTCAGGATGCAGAAGAACATGTAGTACAGGTAGTCCTCGACTTACAACAGTTCATTTACTGACTTTTCAAAGTTACAACCGCACTGAAAAAAGTAACTTATGACCACTTTTCACACAACCATTGCAGCGCCCCCATGATCACATGATTGAAATTTGGATGCCTGGCAACTGACTCCTATTGATAACAGTCACAGTGTCCCAGGGTCACGGGATCACGGGGTCCCCTTTTCCAACCTTTTTACGAACAAAGCCAGATTACTTGACAAGTTACTAACAACTGCAGTGATTCACTTAACAGCTGTGGCAAGAAAGGTCGTTAAATGGGACAAAATTCACTTAAAAAAGTGTTTCACTTAGCAACAGAAAGTTTGGGCTCAATTGTGGTCATACGTCGAGGACAATCTGTACTACAGTTATTATTGAAAGAGGAATTTAAGGAGTTCATTGCCAGCAAATATAGAAACAGGCTTTTTCAGAGGTAAGACAAACATTACAGAAGAGGGGAAGGGCTAGCAATAGGATTTAGCTATAATAACCAAAAGGAACTATTAACTGCATATTCAAAGGCTTTACATGTTTGAATGCCAGTTGGGAAATTGCTTATAAGAAGTCACCAGTAGGGGATCCATTGAGTTTAATAGTATAGTATCCATAAACACTGGAAACAGTGTTCAAGAAGAGCAAGTGTTTGCTTGGAGAACCAGGTGTTGATATAACAAATTGAATTAAAAATCCTTGTTGGCATTAACAGATTGGGATATATAAAGTATAATATTTGTATGAATATATTTTATCAGCCCACAGGTAAAAACAAAATTTAGCAATAAAATTGTGTCATTGAACTCCTGCCAGCATTTTGTTCCTGTTTGAAGTTCTTCCAAACCTGCTGCGTTCTTCCGCAAACACCAAGCCAGGTTTTTTTTTTTGTTTTTTTTTTTTGCAGTGCACTGTCAATTCTGTCTCTTTCATTTTGCAGGAGATTGACCTCCCTTCAACCGTATCTCTTGAGCTATTGCAATCCACACTCATATTCAATGGACATCAAATGGCTAACAATTGAAAGCAACATCTCTGATGTTAGCCAGCGGTAAAGCATGGTAAAGCTTTTATGGTAGAAAAGCTGTGGATGCAGCTGCCAGTAAATTGACTAAGAGAGCACACTATTGATTAGGAACAAGTCTGAGCGTGGAGCCACCTAAGGGGATCCAACTCTCTCAAAAAGCTAGGAAATTCTACTCCTGGGGAAAGAAGACAGCTTTCTGATGAGAATTATTCACAGAGCTACTGTGGTTTTCTACTGAAATCAGCAGCTGCATTTTTTTTATTTTCAGCAGGTGTCCCCTCCAAATAGACCTGAAACAGAGAATGTTATCTTCCTTGACCTCCTGAGTAACAACTCACTTACTTTGAGTAGCCAAGTGAGCACTGAGTCACGATAAGGAACAAACTTGTTCTTATTTTTTCCAGCCGCTTGATCTGCCAGGGCTGAAATGACCAACCCAAGAGTTGTGAGAGACCTGCATTGGGAGAAAAAGATTCTGTAATTATATGGTGATTAGAATCAGATATACACATAAGAATAGATGGTCCCTCTATTAATTTGCATTTTGATTTTAGGGATAAAACTGCCTAAGCATTAACTAATCTAAACAGAACCCAGAACAAAATAATTCTTAATTTTTCTCTTGTTTCTAATCTAATAATTTCTGAGATCTCAGAGACGCAAAGAAGGAAGTCCTATTTCTTTTAAAGTAAAGTTGGAGGGAAAAGTCAAAGGATGTTTCTTTCTTTTTTCTTGTTGTCATTCTGAATAAGTAAAGAACGGTAGGACATATTTACTTTTGCCTTCACCCTCCTTTTAAAAACATTTAATTCCTTAAAAAGGTAAACTTTACTTGTTGATGTTGCTTCCTTCCTTCAACCTATCGCCTGCAGCTCCCGTCTTGGTTGCTCTTTCACTGCCTGCTAGGTCAACCAGGCTCAACTTGCCTACTTTCTCACCGGAGGTCTGTGGAATGAAAATAGCATTAGCCCAATAACATATCACTTCCTCAGCACCCCAAAATACCCTTCATACTTTTTCTCAGTTTGAGAGAAAAGAAAGGAAGGGAAGGGAAAGTGACAATGGGAAAAAAACCCTTGATGCTAAAGAGATAGTTAAGTGTGAACTGTGTAATGCTATTATAAATTATTTATTGTATAACAAATGTGCCTATTCCAAAGAGTTTATAGAGAAATCTCTCGTGGCTTCTACATAAGTTTCAGCTCCCCTAATCACCAAGCCAACAGTTAACATCTAGCACAAATACGTGTGACCAAAGCTGATCTAGATTTTACTGGTGGGGGAAAACAACGGGATAAGAGATTAAAAGGAAATGTAACACAAAATGAATTCCCCATGCCCCATACCACTATAAATAACAAAGCTTTAAAAGCTTTTAAATCAAACTTGCATGTTGGTGAGTTTTAACTTTAATTTTCCAAGAATGGAATAACCAAAATAATTAAGAGAAAAGACACAGGATTAACTAGTCTATACTCAGACAATAATGGCTGCATATTTTTGCTTATAAGAAATCATTCCATTACTCAAAAACAAATAAAGTGAAAGAAGAAGACCTCTATACATTTTCAGGTTCACAAGGGACTTTCAGTTCATGTATTATATTTTAGCCTACTTAGGTAAAGATAGAAGAGGCTTGAAAACTATAAGATGTTCCTAAAACTAAGTGCAGGTGTTCTCAAAATATGTGGAGAAGTGAGGTACCTGCTACTCCAAAAAATGCTCTTCCTTTAATATGGTTTTTTTTGGATGTAAGGGAAAATAGAAGAATGCTTTTTAAAATGGAAATGACAATCCTTAGTAGTGTAGCTAAAAAAATTCAAGTGTTCCAGCTCCAGGGCTTCAACATGTACTTTACTTTTATTGCTTTGGGAAGTGGGATGGGGGAATGGAGAAACACAACAGCTTATGGATGCCTTTTTTAGGGTGTGACTTATTTCTCCTAGAAAGCGAGGGATATATTATCTATTATCTGTAAGCTCCAAACAACCAAATGTTGTTAGGAAATGTTCAGATAACACTGAAACCTCTAGAAGAATCACTTTTCATAAATAAATAATGTTCTCTTGGTTCAGATCCCAAACAAACTGTAGAGAACAGCAACTCTCCCTAAAGTTACAAGGTCTGAGATTTCAACCTGGAAATGTATCCTACACTATTTTTAAAACTCATGGTTTTCAGCAAGTGTGTCCAAATAGCACTGTTGTTCCTAGAAAGGCTATGCTACCTCTCATGATGAGGCTGAGAATCTGTGATCTTCAGGAAGGCTTTAATCCCATCATCTCCGACCTTAGACCAAAATGTTGGAGTTAATGGGAGTATGAGATGAAGAACATCTGAAGACTGCAGGTTCCCCAGTCTGCCCTAGAGTAACAAGATTTATTCTAAAAGCAAGTAAACAGGAATAAAATCCTGGCAAAAATATTTGTTTTGATGTGGCATTTATAAAATTTTTTTCATTCAGATTTTATAGAACTCTGTTATTTATCTGTACTGCAAATTGCAGGACTCACCCCTGATTTTACATCATACAATATGTGTGTGAGGATAATTTTGAAAACAGCGTGGGATCGACTGCTCTCTTCATTCATGTTTGTTGCAGCAACTGTACGAGATTTATTGCCTTCAGACATCAAAGATTCTATATCCTACATAAAAGAATCACAAAACATATTGTATTTTAGTGAGATATGATAACTTGAGATATGAACTAAGCCATGTGACTCATTCAACAAATCATAAACAAACCACAGCTTAATGTGATGTCTTGTCTCAGTCACTGAAGTCTTGGTTTTATCAAGAGGCTAGAGAATGCTACAGTATGTTCAGTGAGCACAACAAGTTCTTATTGCTCCACATAAATCATGGTTTTATAATATATTTCCCTGATTTATCCTAAATGCTATATGCACAGATCAGAAAAATAACACACTGCTTCTGTTTTGTCAAACTGGCTAATTAAAGTATTACTTGACAGCAAAAAAAAAAAAAACATTTTAGTTATCTTTAGTTATCTTCAGTCACCAGGGTGGTGATGGATTTCTAAAATAAAAATTAGGGAAGTTCAAGCAACCTTGGAGACCTCATGTTCTGTGACATGGAATCTCTAGCCACCCACATCTCTGATAGGCATGGGTGCTAGTTCAGTAGAAAGACTATCTATTCTGGAATCACAGAGTTGAAAGAAATCTTAGAGGTCATCTAGTCAAAGACATCTTCTCCTTCTCATTTGGTGTTATATACTTCAGAGACCTCTGCTTAAAAGCCTCCCGTACAGAAGAGTCCACCACTTTCTAAAGACATCTGTATGGCTTCAATATGTTCCAAACATCATTTGTTCAGGGGCCTCTAGGAGTAAGGTCTGAGGAACTCAGGTTACAATTTTGCTTAGTATTTTCATTAGGACATATTAAAATTTTTCAGCTAAAATGTGAGTATTGCATCTGAACTATTTGGGCCTTGATTGCATTCAGTATGCTTAATGTCCTTATTTGAATAAGAGAAATTCTCCTACTGAAACTTGGAAGTGTAACAAAAGCAAGACATGATGTACGCATGTGCATAGATGCATGCTTTACATATATTCATTCATTAAATCTTACAGCAGCTTTATATAGTAGATTAGCATTATTATTACTCTGTTGCAAGGCAAGCTGAGAGAAACTAAGACAGATGGCTTTAGAACGTGGTGGACTCTCCTGTATCGGAGGCTTTTAAGCAGAGGTCTCTGGGGTACACTGCACCAAAGGCAGCCATTAAATGGCCTTTGAGGTCATTTTCAAATGGATGATTTTATGAGATGACTGGATTATGTTAGACTACTCAGCAAGTTTGCTGCAAAAGTCAACCAATAAAATTTATACTTTATTTTAAACCTCTGAAAAACTCAAAACAAAGCAGTATTCAAATTTTAGTTTACAAACAGAACAATTTCATCAAAACATCATGTGCAAATTTGCCCTAAAATTACACTGAAGTTGGAGGAAGAGTTTTTGTCTGCAGTAGTGTACATGTTCTGAACAGGAGTCATGATTTATACTCAGTGTAATATATTTCCCTGTGTTTTTGACTTGGTTTTTTGTGAGTCCCAGTTAGATTGTTGAAGTGCAAATATTCTCAGACACTTCAGGCTATTGCTAAAGTTCTGCAAACAAGCCTTCCACAATTTCTTGCTAAACTAGTTTTGCAAGATCTTTCTCTTCTTTCTTTAAAGGCAAAGATAAAATCTCCTGATGACCTCATGAAAACATCCGGGTAGTTTAAAGGTAAAGGTTTCCCCTGTCCAGTCATTTCCAACTCCATGGGATGGTGCTTATCTCCATTTCTTAGCCAAGGGAGTCAGTGTTGTCCAAAGACATTTCCATGATCATGTGGCCAGCATGACTGTGCACCAAGGTGCACAGAACGCTTGCTAATAATATGGAAGTGGTTTTACCACTCCCTCCTTCTCAGATGTTTTTTCAGCTGATATTTCCCATTCAAATGGTCTCCCATTCAAATGTTAACAACTCCACCCCTTCTTAACTTTCTGAGCCAGCCAAGTCAGTTAGGAGCTGTGTTATGAAATCAGAGCTGATACCCAAGATTATAGTTCTATAGATGCCTTCCTCATTCTAATTTCCACTAGAATGCAACAGACTAAAATATCATCCACTATCAACTACCATAGTAATGCTAGTTGCAGACAACAGGAGTTGTAATTCAGCAAATTTCTGCAGCATTACGTGGGTTTATATGGCAGAAATGAAGATGGGGGCAAACAAATAATCTTAGTGTGCCTCGTTAGCTTTACAGCTATAAACATTCGAAGGATGAGAGCCTCCTAAAAGGCAGTTCATAACTGCAAGGGCACTGCGGGTGGAAACATACTGGTTAGGCAAATACAGCAAAGATATTAAAAACAAGATAATGATATTTCAAACAACACTTTATCTTTGCTTCTGGTGATGCTGGATCTCAATTGTTAAACTTCATCTTAAAATACAACACAAGAGAAGTATCTTCTGTAAAAAATGTGCAGGTGACTTCTACCGTTAATCTTGGAAAGCCATTGCTAACCAAGCACAAGGATCACTAGGCCAGACAGATCAGTTTGTCAAAGATCTGTTTAACTGTACTGAAACCATGATGCTCCCTCTCATCAATCCTGAACAGACCATGGACAAGATGGGGAAGGCATGAGGTTTTCTTTTCCCTCCCACTGACTTTGTTTCTGCACTTCAATTCCAGAGATCCTGTGCAAAAATCCCTAGTGAGGGGAATTGGTTGGACCCTTCCTTCCAGTGATTTTGCTTACTGAGAAATCCCAGGTTAACAGATTAGAATTGCTACATCTTAACTGATTCACTATTATTTTCTAACGTACTGTAAGCTGTTTTGGATATATGTTCTTGTAGAAAAGAGGTATATAAATAATTGGGTGATGATAACCATTCCACTGAACATTATTAGGTAAGCCTATTATAATGAATTTCTTTACCTTGTAATTGGCAACAGCTAGTTTTGAAAGACCATCTACATAAGGTCCATAAACACTGTGCTCTCTGACTTTTAAAGATTGACGGCTCCTGTTTAAAAGCAAACATAGAACAAGAGGTTACATTTCAAGAATGTAAATGGGCAATATTGTCCATGCAATACTGTCAGTGAGGCACTTCTGAGTCATGCTGATTCACATTTGCTTAGACCTTTCCTCTTAACCTCAAATCAGGTTTCAATTTTGATTGGACTGTGTCCAGCATATAAAGATGCTTTTGGCTGACCAATTTCAGTGTCCATCTTGGGGGAACTAATTCACTCTTCTCAAGGTGAATTTCTCAACAACAAAAATACTATCACACAAAGATAAGAAAAAAGACAGAGGCTATCCAGATTGCATGTTATCAAGATAACAGTCAACATACTGCTCCAGGGACTATTTAAAACATTTAACAGATTTTTGACCTTAAATTTCCCTGAGGTAATTTTGAGATTTAAAAACCTACTCAAATAGTTAAGATAGTTATTTTCCTTCCCACTTCTCCCCCACCCCAGCCAATTACTGGGTATAGTTAACAGAAAAGGGGCAGGATAGATGGAACCATGGATTCCCATTCTTCCATGAAATATAAGAAATCCTTTACACCTAGGAGCAGCATCAAACACTGTCAACACTATTTTTGAAAAACTCAGCAGACTCTTACAAGTAAATTAAGCTTTATTTTAAAAAAGTAAATGGATTTTTTAAAAAAAGTTTTAAGTAAACCTTGTCTGAGAATGCTAGAATCCTGCAAATTTCAGTATTGGGAATTTCAGCAAGACTTTAAGAATTTTGGAGGGGAGAGGGGGCAGAGAACTACTTGAAGACTGCCATATAGTGGGTGATAATATAGATTCACTTAGCTGAGTTCTGGTGGTGAAGCAAAAGAGAGTGGCTCTCTTAAATTCCAATGAAGACTCTTTCCCGGCCTATTTAGGGAGGCTTAGGATAAAATTAAGCTCTTTCTGCATGCAAAGCATATGCTTAATTACCGAAAGAAGGCCCATCCCCAGAAACAAAAATTACTGGTTTTGCTCTGAAGGAATGCATGTTGACCTTGTGAGGAATGCAGAAGAAGGAGACTTCCACGCCCACCAAATGATTACGGGGTTGCCTGCAATCTCGGTGTTCCCCAAACCCTTCCTTACCCCTTTGGGTCCAGCAGATCTCTGACTTTCTCATTATAAATCTCCATGTAGGATACTTCCACCTTAAAACTCTGCTCTTCGCTCTCCTCTTGCTGGGCTCTTTCAAAAAGACTGCTACAGAGCCGAGGTATTAGTCCAGGTTCATCAGCTGTGCCCATCATTGTGTAGGATTTTCCAGATCCTGCATAAAAGAGAAATAAAACATGTTTTAAGAAATTAGAAATGTTGGGAAAGCCCCTGAAGTTTTAGTGAGGACATTTATAAATAAATCTACAAGCAGATTTAGGTAACTCTTCCATTATTAGGGATGAAAAGATGAAGCAAAAGTATTATTCTGAATTCATGGGAAAAAGTTCCTTTACAAATATTACAGCCCAACATTTCATGCCTTACAGAGTGTAAATAAATGGTTATAGTTCTACAAATCAAGCTAAGTCTAATTGAATTTATTGACTGAGCTGGATGAATAAATTACTATAACTATCTTGTTTTCTCTATCACATGGGAAAAATGTGTAAACATACAAAACTGGTTTGTCAAATTGCATAGGTGAGTTGGAGCACTGTAACGGTCTCCCTGTGCTATTACATCAAGGTCAGTTATACCACTGGCAGCAGATGCTTATCTGCTTAATGTGAAAAAGAATCAAGCCGTAGATAAATAAGGGTTATATCTGGTTGCATCCCTACAGAACAAATATTATCCTGGATCTCCAGCTCTTTTGTTTGCTATATATAAATTAAACAAAATATATCAAGGAGAGTCAAGGATAGGAAATTCCTGTCTTGTCCTCAACCCATAGTTACCATAAATATTAACTCACTATTATTCTGTGCCCAATAGTAGCTAGTATCTTCAGTGGCTAATGGAAAACAAAAAGACAAGCTGTTTTTCCCTTCTCTCCCTTCTCCTCTCCCCTCTCATTTTTCTATTTCTCTTAACCTTACTGTCCTTCATACCTGTGTTTCCCCCAAAATGCACCTGCATTTTCTGCATTGTTTGATAAAAGCACATCTTCTTTCCTCTGTCCTTACCACTTTCTAAAGAGGGATGATTGAGAGCATCCTGTCATATTGCATTACACTCTGGTTTGGAACCATCACTGCTTCAGACAGGAAGGCAGTGCAGAGAGTGGTGAGAAAAGATTATTGGCAATTCCCTCCCTTCCATCCAGGACATAGCATAGAAGCATTGCTTGAACAGGGTCTGCAGGATTGTCTGGAATGCTACACATCCTCTTCACAATCTGTTTTCCTTGTTACCTTTTGGGAGGAAGCTTCATGGCATCCAAAACAGAACATCCAGATTCAGTCACAGTTTTGTTCCATACAGTATTAACCTTGTGAACTCTCAAGCTTCCTCTTTCCGCTATGTCTTCAAGATGGACAGTGATTAATATTTATATATAAGAGTGTAGGTATATACATATGTTGTATATAGCATGTTTATATGTGTGTTATGTATGTGTACACTTTTGAGAGCAAGCAACAGAATTTCATTTTTAATGTGCGCCAGTATGTCCACGGTAAAAAAATGACAATAAAAGTTATCTTATCTCTTATCTTATAAGACCAGGTCTTATATTAATTTTTGCTCCAAAAGACGCATTAGGGCTTATTTTCCAGTTAGGGCGTATATTCGGGGAAATATGGTACTAAATGCGACTTTCTGGCTGACGATTTTAACGGGCTTATTTTTGGGGTGGGGCTTACATTACGAGCATCCTGAAAAATTATGCTAGGGCTTATTTTCAGTTGGGTCTTGTTTTCAGGGAAACACGGTATTATCTTTACCAAGTTAGAGCCATGTGGAGTACAGTCAACATTAATATAATTGTTTAAAAAATGACAATAAAACATCTGGCTCATATTTATAAGCCTGCATAGTGGGTTTCATTCATTTGGCATTTTAAAGAGGAGTGAACAACATTTTTGCAGCTAGTGTCAGTTGGTCTCTGCAGTGGTTGTGGTTGGTAATAACATCTAAATAGATAAGATCAAATTTTCATTCTTTCCTGTGGGGTTAAAACTGGAAAGCAAAACTGATGCCTGGAGCCAAGTAGAGACTCATAGAAATAGTTTTCTCCTTAACTTCCCCTGGTTGGCTCGGGAATTCCGGGAGTTGAAGTCCACAAGTCTTAAAGTGGCCAAGTTTGAGGACTTCTGCCCTTATAGAAGTAAATCAATTTGATCCAGAAAGATTTGGGTTTTATTAATGAGAATTTTATTTCAGTTCTTAAAATTCTTCCCAAAATCTAACATTTTGGTCTTGCTAATTTCTGATGTATACCTTGGAGGTCTGTAGGTTGGCTATCTTTGCTTTAAATTATGGCAAAATGGCAGAATGTTGGGGGATAATTTTAGAAAATTTAACTAATTTATTCTTCAATATGTCTAAAGAGCTACACTCTGAATCAGTCCATCTAAAGCAGAGGTGGGGAACAATGGCCTCTTTATGAGTTGTGCACATAACACCCAGAATTTCTGAGACAGCATGGCTGGCTCAGGAATTTTGGGAATTGAAGTCCCCAAGTCATAGAAGGGCCATTGTTCCCCATTCCTGATCTAAAGAATAGTCTACTCCCCATACAACCTGCTTGTTTTGATTGTTAACTGCTTTGTGGTTGACTCAAGTTTGGTAGGTGAATATGCTGGATTAGGACTTCTTACCTGCAGTTCCCAAACTCCCTCCTTTCACCCCAAACCAATCATGCCCAAACCTTTCCATTAACTGTAAACTAATATTAAGCCACTATGTGTGAGTTGTGCAGCTATATAACTCTGTTAAATAAATAAATAAATTGGTAAACATTTTTTATTATTATTTAGCTTTCGATATTGCATACTTTCCTCTATTGAGAACCAATTTGGTGTAATGTTTAAAGGCAGCAGACTAGAAATGGGGAATCTGAGTTCTAGTCCTCCCCTAGCATAAAACTGTCAGGTGCAAGAAGTCAGGGAACCAGAGTAGAATTCAAAAGTATTAAAGTTTATTTCATACTACCTATACACAATGATCTGAACAATCAAGGCAAATTGGCACCAGATAAGAGTCAATGGATTTCAAGGATGGGGGCTGGACCTAGGTCTCTTATTGGGGCATAGAGATTCCAAAGCGATGATGCATTTGACCCTGCCCTTGGGCTCAACCTGGTCATCTCCTACAAGAACTAGTTGAATTATTTGGATCAGGCACTCTAAGTGCTAGAAAGAAGACAATAGCTACTTCCAAAATAGTTATCAAGAAAAAACTACCAGGATTCAGACTGACTCAAGGAGCCATTGCAACAGTTTTATCTATCAATATTACACCAAATCTATTTTTCTGTTTCCCTTTTTATTGCAGTTCAGATGTGCATTACATTACTTAAGGTTATCATTTTTTTTAAAAAAAAATTGGGCTATATTGACAGCCTTGCTTGAAAGCAATATAAATATGAGCCACTCAAGACAGATAAGGGAGGAAATAGGATAATCATTCTATTGTACTGAAAAAAGCATAAGAAATCAAAACCAGCATTTGAAATTGAAGAAAGTATGAATAATTAAATTATGACTTATTTCTTTTACCTTGATGTGTTGTTTGATATTGTTCCTAATTTGTTCAATAATCAAAACTAACACATTTTCTTCTCCCTTCAATTTCTACCTTGCTAATGCTTACCAGTCTGTCCATAGGCAAAAATGCACGCATTGTAACCGTCAAAGGCATTCTGGAGAATGTTCTCACCAAGGCACTTGAAAACAACATCTTGACCTAAAATTAGAACAAAAAGATTCAGATTATGGGGGGAGGAAGAATAAAAAAAAATACCTTTGTTAAACCTCTCAAAAGCTTCAAACACTTCTAATGTGTGAAAACATTTAATGTTTTTCATCTGTGTCCAAAGTCAATGGAGCCTTCAACGGTGGAAAGCACAAAGCAGATACTCATCTTGACTACGCCAAGATATCCAGTAACTTCCTTTGGAGTTGCTCTGTGTTTAGCCAGCACCGGATGAATTATACTGAAGCATATCTTATGAAAAAAAAAAACCCTCTGACCTCAAGAAAACCACTGCCATTATTGTTGTTGTTGTTATTTGAATTCCAGGCAACCCCCCCCCCCACCCCAAGAACCTTACTAATCACACACTTTCTTCCAGGAATCTCACAGAGGCATGTATAGGGGTTATCTGATTTTATATCACAGCCATTTTGCAAAATTTATTTGGGTAAGGAATTGATGACCTTCATTAATTAAACAGGAATCTGAACCCATCCTATCCCTAGTTTTGAGTCTTTATGGTTAATTTATTCAAACTCAGCCCACAGGATTAGGCTAAAATGAGACTGAATAATTTATAGTTCAGCACGTTATGGGAATCCAGATCATGATGTTAAATCATGATATATTTTTTAGGCATGAGATACTGTGAACGTGCAATAACTCTGCTTTGTTAACTTAAATTTAGGGTTTAACATGCTGTCTGAATCTAACAATAATATCTGATCCCAATCTGTCCTCTCAAAAGCATAATCTACATCTTCTTCTTCTGTTTTGTTTGGGTTGTCCCTTGCTTTTGTTCTCCTTTGTATGATAATAATGCAAAAGTGACTTGGTATCTTCTAAATGCTATGCTCTATAATAGAGGGAAATCACATGACAGCTCTTCAGAAATAGAGTTGAGGGTCTTCTGGGGAAGAGAGGGGAATCTGATGCTGGTCCTGAAATTTATTTTCTTTTTCTAGAAATGTGTTCACAATGAGGAAGCTCTCTTAAGTTCTGGAGACGACCTTTAAATCTTCTCTAACTCTTTTGAGAAATGATTGCTAAAGTCATTGTTCCCCTCATCAGCGTTCTTCACCATTACAATGATACCTGCATATTTTTCTTTGTTAGTTTCATCCATAGACCAGAAGCAGTGATCATAGGCAAACACCTGCAGAGATATAAATACATTATAAACATTTAATTTAAAAGCTTTCTATGATATTGTGGTAAAGTGAACAAGCCAATTAGCTGATCTGGTCATATACAGTTCTGAAATACTTGTCTGCCCACTTGATTTGATTTGATTTCTAGAATTTCAATGATACTCCATTCCAGGCTTGCTATGAGGATACCTACAGTATTCAACTTACAACCATAATTGAGTCCAGAATTACAATCATTAAATTATTGCAGCTGTAAATTGAGGCATTAAGTGAACACCATGATCGTTAAGCGAATGCCATGGTTGTTAAATGAATGCTGTGATCGTTAAGCAAATCCATTTTACCCAACGAGTATTTTTTTGTCACTAAGCAATCAGTCATAAGTCAAGGACTACCTGAACAGTTCCTCCCTGTACAGCAGCTAATTTTCAACAATACAGATTTCCTCAGCCTGGATTTACCAGACATATTGGATTACAGCTCCCATCATCTCTAGCTTGTACCACTACTTGCTGTAAGCAGTGATGGAAGTTAGAGGGAAGCTGTAGTCTGACCCACCCACCTAGAAACAGAATAATAAAGTTGGAAGGGATTTGGGAGGTCTTCTAGTCTAACCTGCTCAGACAGAAAACCCTATACCATTTCAGAGAAATAGTTGTCCAGTCTCTTCTTAAAAATTTCCAGCGTTGAAGCAACCACAATTTCTAGAGGCAAGTTGTTTCATTGGTTAATTGTTCTGTCAGGAAATTTCTCCTTAATTCTGGGTTGGTTCTCTCCTTGGTTAGTTTCCATCCATTGCTTCTTGTTCTGTCTTCAGGTGCTTTGGAGAATAGCTTGATTCCCTCTTCTATGTGGTTGTTGCTCTTCTCTGTATTTTTGCTAGAGTCTCAACATTTTTTTTACATTGTGGCAACCAAAACTGGATGCAATATTTCAAGTGTGGTCTTACCAAGGCATTATAAACTGGTATTAACTCTTCATGTGATCTAGGACTGTGTTGGCTTTTTTGACAGCTGCAGCACATTCCTGGCTCATATTTATGCTGGAGAAGACTGAAGAGCAAGACTGAGCAACATTAATTTTGCCTCCTAATTTTGCTTTCACACACTGCCTGGAGCAGATTTCTTCTGACTTCTATTTAAGTAAGTTTTTTTTACAGTTTCCAATTGCCACAGGTTAGAAGAAACTAATGGTAATAGTTGCACATTTCTAATTCATACAATGATACATATGTATGTTATGGGATTTGTCCCTGACCCCATTCTAACCTATTGATTGGGGGTTGAGACTGATGCCAGATGATATGTTTATTTATGTTAAGAATCCACTGATTCTTATATCCATACATGGCTATTTGCTTATTTTCTAATGTATAAAGCAAAAATAAATATTTAGAGAAAAGGCATGAGAAAGAAGATAAAGTCTTCTGCATTTTAATTCTTCAGTTGCAGAATAAAAAGAAACTACTAGGGAACAACAACTGCAATCTGAATCTGTGCAAGGATGAGAAACTGACTCTAAAACCAAAATACAAAAAACAGAAACAAAAAACAAAACCCCCCAAAACCCCTAGCACTCTTTTACCCACAACCCTCAATCCTCAATATGTGCTACTGTTTTCCAATTTTTTTCTTCTGATTTATGACTTGGCTGCCAGTGAAATATGTGGCTTGTTTTAAAGAGAGAGAAAGAAGGAAAAGCAGTTTCAAATGTTTTCCCCTTCCTCTTGCAATAGTACTGAATACATCTGGAAAGAAGTAGAAAATATTTTGGCAAAGTATTGAATATGATTCACCACCCAATGCTGCACAGTATTATAAAAATCTTTTACCTTTGCTTGGCTCCTTCAGTTCCATGAGGAAACACAACAGGACATAACAGAAGAGGAAGGGGGAAGAAAAGAAACTGATTAAAATGTACGTATTTTAAATGCAAAGGAAATAGCAAATTTAAAATACATTAATCAACATCAGGTCAAGAAAACCCACATATGCAATGTATTCTCTTTGAGTTTTGGAGAACTGTGAAAAGAAACCCAACTGGCTTTGAATACAAGAACTTTCTTTGGAAGTGATACAAGCATAACAAGGTCAACAAACAAATGCATTTCGAAAGAAGGAATCCAAAATTTGCAACAAGATCGACACAGTGCTCTCATTATCATCATTATATCTTAAATAGTAACAGTAAGTGTTTTCTCCAGTTTAATGTCCTTCAGATATGTTGGAGCTCGGTCTACAAAGAACTGCTGAATGCCATCTTCTTTCTGTTCATGGAGGCAACCATGTTCTCGTAAGCTATCCCTTACTCACCAAATTTGAGAGGCAGCTACTCTAATGTATTTTAGGCTCCATTCTTCACTCATGCCTTTCTGGTTTGTATTTTCAAAGAATAATTCTCCATTTTCAATAATAATAGGAATAAAGCTTTATTATTCAATATTGTTTTAAAAACTACATTTTTTTACTTCTGCTTACTGCTTCAAGAGGGGGCATATCAATATACTGCATTAAATAAATAATAATAATTCCCAGCTACCGCTAGCCATATGCCCAACATATTTACTAGATGAAGATAGGAGAAAACTACATTCATAGATTGAATGAGATAACATCTTTGGGTGATTTTAAATTGTGGTTTATAAGTGTAATGTTGATAACATGAATGCTTCAGAGTTTACATTGGACTTTAGTTTAAGGAGGGTGACTTAAAGACTCTTGTCTGAATCATATGCCACATCATAGCTTGAAGTAACAAAACATGGGAAGTCCTGATCTTATATACTCCTCTCAAGTGGGGGAAGAAACTGGAAGCTCCACATGACATGAAGTTTGCTAAGGTTTATCCTTCTAACAGTCAACAATATGCAAACCAGATTATAATGCTAGTTATATTTATATGACTCTGGTATCATGGATTGTCATTGCTCCAACATTCATTCCCCTCCCCCCCCTTTTGATATAATTGTTGGCCATCCTTATCTCTGACACCACTCACAGAAATTCAAATGCAATACTCAGTTCATATTGGCTGTAAAATCTGAAAAATCTGGACAGGCAAGAGAGAAAAAACAGCAATGAAATATACTGTCTAGTGTAAGAGAGTGCCCATTATATTTTATTCCTCCCTCACCTCACTATGAGGAGAAACAGGAGGAAACCAGATTCTCCTTTTCTGGTCATTTTTGCTTCAGTAAAAAAGAGACATTTGCTTCCTGCTGGGTCATCTAAAGTTATCCTTAACCATTCCTGATCCTTTCATATTGTCCATCACATTAAGCGCCTTTCTCTACAAAAAGCAGTTAGCTTTTTATGCTTACTGAGCTTTACTATTTGGAATATTCTCCCCACCCCCAATTCATGTAAGAATTTTTTTTTTTGTACTTTGACAAACTGGGATTCTATGAACCTGCCTATATATCCTTTATATAGGGGGGAAAGCTATCTGAGAAAGAATTTTCCATTAGTTTACACAGAATGGCTTAATTAAGACATATGGCTAAATTTTACACCTCCTAATCAATCTATACAACTAAACTGTATGGAAGTCACTCAATTGTCCAGACCCTAAAACTACTGAGACGCATTATCAAGTGACTGTACAATTATACACTGAGCTCCTTCAACTTAGCTCTTCATAGTCATCTAAATCCAATAATACTATAAACAAATTTCAGTTTCTTATCGGATCTCTGCCAAAAGATTTATAGCAGTTATCAATATCTTTTTGCCATTCCATTAAAAGAGTATCTGCTTAAAGCTCTACCCAACTGAATTAGCCCTAGCAAATTGGAAGTAAGGTAGAAGGGTGAGATGAGCCTGGCAATTTTTATAAAACATGGACCCAGAAGTGGAAAAATGTCAGATGACTCTTTTCAATTAATAGATTGAATGAGGTTTTCTGATATAATCTTGCCAAATATAGTATAGAGCTTGAAGATGGTACACAAATTGATCCACTAGACATGTTTATCTCAGGAGTCCAAGGAAACAATAAATCTCCATTATGATATCTAAGTGTTTAAACAAGCGCAAAAAGCCAATAGCAAAATGATATTTAGACCCACCTACATTCCAAAAACAGATAGATGTTATTACTTTGGTCTTACATAGTGATGCCCCTCCCATGTTCTCACTGGGTTACAAACAGCAGTAAAATATAACTCCAGTAAAAATATTATTTTTTGTACAAGGTTATTTTAAATGGGGGTTATACTTTATATATAAGCAGTTCAAAAGGCTAATGTCAACTAACCATTGTATTCTTTCAACATCAATGAGAACACAGTTTTTATTAATTTTATTTTTAGAACAAAAAACAAAAGCCTTCAACTGAAAGGAAAATTCTCACCTAGCTAAGAGAAATGGTGGATATAACCCTGTAATACCAACCATAACATGGGCATATAGGTATGTAAGTTTACATTATTTTTTCATATTTTCTTTTGAAAAAGTACTAAATAAATTATCTATAAAAGCAGATCTACGTAAATATTCTGGAATTTATTTTCGCAGACAATACATTCTTATCTTCAAAATGCCCTTAGAATTTAAAATTGCAAAATCCAAATTCCAATGTGGTATAGCAGGTAATACTCAAATAATTTTTCATCAAACAGATTTCTTCAAGCGTGCCATGAAACCTCAGACTAACCCTAAATTTAATGCATGATAGAAAACAGAATGACATTTTTTTAAAAAAAATCTATTTCCATTTCCATAGTTACCACTGCATGATTTATATTTTAATTATTTTTATCTCTGCTTTCATTATTTTAGATATATTCCCGATGTTACAAATATATAATCTATTCTTGTAAAATTTTTATGTCTACTAGAAAAATATGTATATTTTTTGATTGCCATGTAATTCTCTCCGAACAGCTTTTAATCTATTTCTATTAATACATTTTCTTAAATCTGTATTATACTTTGTTTCTGCTTTTGATGGATTAGATTTATCAATTTCTGTATCCATAACCATATTATAATCACCTGCCATTATCACATAATCTTTTTTTATTTCTTCTATTTCTTTATATATCTTATTATAAAACTCTCTTTTATTTGTATTAGGTGCATACAAATTTGCTAAAGTGACCATAAATCAAACCTTGAATTATAAGAAATCTTCCCATATCATCCCTTTTTATGGCTTTTATCTTAAATTCAGTTCTTTTAGCTACCGTGATTGCTACCCCTCTTGCTTTTGATGTACCAAATGCCTTTTAATATACATAGCCCAATATAACCTAAATTCATGCACCCCTTCTTTCTTTTGATATGTTTCTTGTAAAAATACAATATCTATTTTCTCTTTGTTAATTGATTTTTCAATTTTGCTTCATTTTCTTCACTTTTCTCCGGATATCCACGTATACGTAAATTTGATTGGCATTGACGATCACATATCTCAATCAAATCCTTTTTCACCTTATGCATCATAGTTGTCTGACTTTTTAACACCTTCTCATGTTCTCCCATCTGCATCTTCACTTCTGTATTATTTTGTGTCATATCCTGACTTTGTTTCGCCAGATCTGTTATTCTTACATCCATATTATCCATTTTATCTTTTATTTGCTTCAAATCCTCCTTTATATTTGTCTTCATTTCTTTTATATTTATCTTCATTTCTCTTAATTCTTGTAAGAGAATATCAAGTTTATCTGGTTGAGTCAGTGACTTCTCAGGCAATTTTTTCCTCACATCCATTTCTAAAGCTTTTTCCACTCGAATCAGAATTTTTACACAGTCTATAGTCCATACACATCACTTCCTCCCTTTATCTTGTCCTTATCAACTTATCTCTGTGAAAGCAACATGATGAAAATAAATAAATCCAAAGGAAACAACTATCTTTATTACACACGCCTTATCAAGGCTCTGTCTTAAAGGTGTTTAATATTTTCACTTTCTCTAGATCTCAACACTTCGACTGAAAGGAGGGAGTAATAGGCCTTCACACTGTACACTTATAAATCAGCTATTATGTTTTCAGCTGTACTCCTTTAAACTCTCTCCAAATTCTTTCTCCTATCAGTCTTCAATCATAGGGTCCTTCCTCTCCCCATCAGCCTTCAAAGGCCTCTCAAGTCTCTTAGCAAAACATCCAAATTCAAAGCTTCTCTGGGAGAATGTCCAAAACTGAATCAAATACAATCCAAACTTCAGGAGGAAAGCAAGAGAAGTAATGTTTCATAATCTCTTAAATTTTCATAGTCCTTAATTGGGTGTTATATTTCTTAATCAATTCTCTGCGATGGTCCTGTCTGTCACCCATCCAAGCCACCTCCGACCCCCCCACACACAGAATACATTTATAGCCCCAAATAATAGAGCCTTGTCATAAACAAAGCCCCAAATCACAAAGAATTGAACAGCAGCAGAGTTTCAGGCCTTCCAGATAAAAAGAAAAAAGAAAAGCACCCCACATATACAAACATCAAAGCCAACCAATATATGGCTCTTCCTTTAATGGTAACAGCTGGCGAAAGAGGATGTTAAATAGATCCCTCTTTGTTGGGAATTAGTTTCACATGAATTAGAATGGAGAAATATATATTTGTGGGACTTCAAGATTATAATTTTGTTCTGGTTCTATTGACCTTATCCCCTCTTCACACTTTCTCTCTCTTTTTGTTATGTGTGTGTCTGGCTAAGAGACTAAAAAGGAAAATATTCTACATTCTAATATATAACAATATTAATCTTAAATAATAAAACGGAGTATTTCTGTTTTTAAAAAAGCCCTTGGAGACATCAGAATTACAGATGTTTTATTTGATGTTTATTCATTTCATCTGTCTAAAAATATACAAACTTAATTTTTGCTTCTCATTGTA